TTTCACTCTGAGGGGGGCACAACTATACATTTTCAGTTGGGGGGCACTGTCAACTACCAAAATTCCTTGACAAGCAAAAAATAATAATAATAATAATAATAATAATAAAATTGAATTAAATTAAAAAAAAGATAAGGTCATCAGACATTATTATTGAGGGGGCACAAGCATATAGTAGGTATGTTTTCTATAGTAATCTATATATCGGCAAAATTATTGGGGGGGGGGGGGGGGTCGGCGTGGGCACGCCCCCCCCCCCCCGTTTCCTATGGCCATGCTAATATGGGTCTGCATATTAGACCCCCTGTAGAATAAACCTTTAAAATATAGTACTTTAATATTACATCTCTTTTTTCTTCACATTCTCTGTAAAATTATTATATTTAATTAAGCATTGAATTCTTATTTTTGATGTCATCGGTCGTATAACAGCACCTTTCCGTGCCGAAAAATTATCATACCGGGCGGCCGTGCCGACACATAGAATACTGTGCGTTAGTGTTAGGGTCGATATTTGTTATAAAAGTTAGGGTGTAATATGGAAAAGGGTATGTTATATTATGTTTATTAATATTTATCAATAACATACAACACACATCTACTTCAATAACTATTGAAAGTGCTCCCTGTAGCTCCTGTAGTGTATTTTACACTCCCTCCCTTTCCAGGAACTTGAACTATTCCAACAGGATGGTAAAAAATTTAAAACATACAATTTTACCGGGGGAGGGGGGGGGGGGTCGTCTGCTGTATGTGCAACTTGTAATGTTCAAACTTATTGAATACCCAGCAGAAATAAATTTAACAATTCTAAAAGAAGACTCACAACTCTAGATTACATATTTTGCTTTTGCCTGCTAGATATCCAGAAGCATGGATATTTAAAAAGAAACAATGAATTTTGAATATATGATTAGCGATAACATCGAGACAAAGGGACATGACCATTAGTTTCACAATTGTCAATACTCAATAGTTTTATTCACGTGCATACATATAGTTTGTCCGATGTAAATTTTTTTTAGGTATGATGCATTTCCTGGGTATGATCAACTCCATACTGGTGCATGATCCTTTAAAGCTGAATATGGCGTAAATAGGAATACGCCATATTAGTTTTCCTATCTCCCATATCAGCACGGGGTTATATAAACCCTTCGCATTCGTTACACCTGACTGTTTTTATGTGGTTATTGCTTCGTTTAGTGCATGTATATCACACGTTGTCTTTTTGTATGTTTGGTAACTACTCCCCAGACATGATTCTGAAGTGACATTAAAAAAGCGGATTTATAGACGACCACAAATAGGCCGGGGGTCTGGGGGCCACCTAGGCCCCCATAAGCTCTGGGTCTAATGGTGCAAAATCCTGCATTCTGAGCATTTCCTGAGACTTAGTTTTCACTCTGATATTACATGTATCTTTTTTTTAAAGAAAAAAAAATTACAAATGTTACTTATTACCAACGTTTTACCGTACTCTTTGACACTTTTGTTTAATCAATTCACGTCATTTTTCACATTGGGCCACATCGCTCACCTGAGTAACTTTGGCCATGCTGTTCATTACCAGACTTCCCCCCTTGTAATACCTATTGTGGCCCCGCCCTACCCCCGGGGGCCATGCTTTGAACAATTTAGAATCTACACTACCCCAGGATGCTTCCTAATAAGTTTCCGCTTTTCTGGCTCAGTGGTTCTTGAGAAAAAGATTTTTAAAGATTTTTCCTATATATTTCAATGTAAAACTTGGATTCCCTATTGTGGCCCCGCCCTACCCCCGGGGGTCATGATTTGAACAATTTAAAATCTACACTACCCCAGGATGCTTCCACATAAGTTTCAGCTTTTCTGGCTCAGTGGTTCTTGAGAAGAAGATTTTTAAAGATTTTTCCTATATATTTCAATGTAAAACTTGGATTCCCTATTGTGTCCCCGCCCTACCCCCGGGGGTCATGATTTTAACAATTTAGAATCTACACTATCCCAGATGCTTCCACATAAGTTTCAGCTTTTCTGGCCCAGCGGTTCTTGAGATTTTTGTCTTTTCTTGATTATCTCCCCTTGTAAGGGGACTTGGCCCTTTATTTTAACAATTTAAACTCCCCTTCACCCAAGGGTACTTTGTACCAAGTTTGGTTAAAATTGGCCCAGTGGTTCTTGAGAAGAAGTTGAAAATGTGAAAAGTTTACAGACGGACGGACAACGGGTGATCAGAAAAGCTCACTTGAGCTTTCAGCTCAAGTGAGCTAAAAAAGTTTAAAAATTGTGTGAACACACACTGGTGATCCATAAGCCACAGCACTTATATGCCACTTTGCTATACATATTAACATTCACCTCAAATTAAGTGTCACCAGAGTTATGTATATTAATAAAATTAAATGCAACTTGTGCAGCTTCAGTTTTATGTAAATGGTATGAAAGAATTTGTGTGAATGTAATTCCCACTCTTTCTTACTAACGACCCGCACTCCTATCCTAGACATTGAACCGGTTAGATGTATTAGAACTTCAATAGAACTTCCATACAGATAGTAATATTTGTATTCCTACTTGTGTGTGTCCCGGTTTTTCTTTACCATCTTTATTAAAAATATTTGAACCTAATGCAGTCTTTATCTGATTTTCTACTTCAACGGCTACATAAGGTTAATTGACCCTGTGGAAAGAGAGACAACTCTCACTGGGATTAATTACTCTTTAAAAATCTGTCAAATATACACCACAAGGTATGCTAAAGTTTTACACATGTCAATCATAATTTTGATTTCTTTTGGAAAATCATTATCATTCTAAGCAAAAATGTTATACGAGTGACCATAGGGAATAAACCCTAAGAGGGTCTCAAAAACTGTACAGTAGAAATTTGTATTCAAACACTGATATTTCAAATACCATTGATATGTCTAAGTTATTTTGAAGTCCCAATCACTTTTTTCTTTATATTTTGACCTTGATATCTCAAAATCCTTGGATATATCAAAGTTTTTTCTCAGTCCCATCAAGTTCGAGGTAAAAGGTTTGACTCTATATACATTTGAAACTAACACTTTGACAAAATGCTGTCTTGTTATTCTTTAAAGAATATGTATATACTCCAATGGAATTCTATGCCAATATTGGTGAAAACTCTTTAAGAAATTGAGAATTGTAAACATTCACAACAGCACACAGCAGAAACAGGTACCAGATAAACTGACAAGAAAAAGCTTATATTCTCAGATTTAGCTTAGTAGAGCTAATAATTACCGGTATGTGTTTTAGAATATGTAGCTATATTTCATAAAAAGTACCTAAATAATATTTTAAAACTTTTATTAGAAAGTTTCTCAACTGACAGTGTACATTTCTTAAATCTATTCTACAAAAAAAGTACATGTATTATGTAATTTAAAAAAATATACAAACTTGTATACTACTTAAAATTGGAACAAACAAAAGTCATACATGCACAATGTGCAATGTAAAGCTAATTCATAGTATTCCTCACAAAAACAATATGCTATAAACAAAAAGAAATCTGACATAGCTTTTCTAAAGTAAATTCTAAATATCATTACAAAACTACAAATGTCAACACATTTACTTTCACTAAATTTAATGATGACATGGTTGGAATGTTTCATATCTTAACAAATAGACACTTTACCAAACATAATGCATAGGCTACTTAATCTGAATTAGCTAAAGAAAGTAAAATATTATCCCAAAGAATAAGAATTCTAATTTAAAGAAGACATTCCAGTAAATCAGCAGCTAAAGAATAATTTTATTCAAGAGTAGCTAAATCATTTTGTCTAAATAAGTGCAAAAATATTTTGTACTCCATACACCATATAGATCTGATAAATTCTCACATAGCTCACATGAATTCACACTGACAAAAGTTAGGGCATTGTACCATTAAGACACTATAATGGGTGTTGATGATTAAATAAAACAATATTACAAAAAACACTCTGTCAAAGGCCTCTGCATGTCAATGTTATAATTTCTCAATGTGAGGGTACTTACGAAAATCAAAATGGAGGAAATCATTAAACAAAATGAAACAATTAAATTACTTGGTATCTTCAAAGTATGACAAATTTAAAGTACAGTGAGCAATGATAATGTGACTTTGGAATCTCATCAGAAAACATCAGAGACAGATCTGTCCTTGTTTGAAGTCTGCATGAACACATTACTTACAAAATTAAATACATGTAGGTTTGTTTTCAGAGCCTGCATATTGATGTGTCATTTAGAATATTGTTCTGCAGCACCATTACATGAACACTGGAGACAAAAGAGAAATGGATTTCCAGCCTGAATTAGTGTCCTTATACAAAAATTAAAATCTGAAAATAGCACTTGAATATACTTTATGATAAATGATTTTAACTTCATTTTATATTGATCAACTTTGATATTGTTCAATAATCGGCCTAACAAACTGACAAATTTTCATTACATATTAATTTTCACAACTTTCGAACACAAATCTACTATCTTTATTGCACTGCTTTTTTTTCATAGGAGATGTACAATGTTGAAGAAAGTCATGCTCCAAACATTTTTCAAACTACTGAATAATCACAGTGCAACTTTTGAATAAGGATACAGATTACATTACATTGCAAAAAAAAAAAAAACTCAGAATCTACACGTTAATTGAAATGCACAACCTACAATTCTTGACTAGAAATATTCACAAATCTTTTTTTTATACACATCTCACTTTTTTAATGGTAAAAAGTATTGATAGATGTTCTTCTAGTGTATACTAATTTAAACATAGTCATAATAACCCAGTCTTTGAGAACAAATATTCAACAAATATAAAAGTTGAAATACAAATGCAATTTAAACAATATTCAAAAGTTTAAGTACAAAGACCATAAAAAAAATGTATAGTTGCCATTCTGGAACAATTAAGAATAAAAGGAGATCACTTACTTTATGAAAAATCTGAAATATTCTTAAGTCTTAAAACTGAAAAAGTGGGGGGTATAAAAATGTACAATTTCTATAATGCTGTTACTTTGTAAACTTTCTTTCAATTCAGTAGACAAAATGGGAAAAAAGACTTTTCAGCACAGTATTACATTATTTATCCAAGTATTACATTTAATATTTACAGTTTTACAATTTTGATTACAACTAAATTGTGAAATTGTAAATTGTTAATTAGTTTATGTTTCTACAATATCATTAGGTCATAACCTGAGAACCAGAGCAACATCCACCTGAGATAATTCTTTACCTTGATATGAATTGTTCAGAAATTTTCAAAATATAATCTCATAATTCTTCTTATTTACCACTTCTGGGGCCCTTTCATACATTTTAATACCCTTCTTGGGCCTCCACCTCCTCTTTGTGGGCCTTACTTTTCATATGCATGGTATAAGGCTGAGGTCCATTAAAGTCCTTACAACAGACATCACATCTATAACTGGTGGCCGGTTCTGCCTCTTTAGGAGTATCTCTAGCATATGCTGATTTGTATGGCTTGTATTCAACTGTCAAACATCAAAATAATCAACATTAAAATACTGTTACCTAATCAGTAATTTATTAACATCTTGAGATTTTTATAAGTCAAATTGTTATAAACTATAAGATCCAATTGTAATCCTTGATCTTAAACTTGATGGGACCAAGTGAAATATTTGAGGTATCTGCAGATTCAAGACATTGAGGTTAAAATACCAAAAGGAAAAGTGGTTGGGACTTAAAACTAGGGATGGGTATCGGCAAAAATTTCGTATCGTGATATATCACGATTTTTTTCCCAAAAATATCACGATAAATTGTGATATTTTTACACACAATTTTTACTACAATTTCAAATGAATTTCCATAACATTTCTTAAAAATATGCTATAAAAATATAACTTTACTTTTTAAATTTTCATTTATTTAATAAAAAGCATATTTTGATGCCGTTGTTTAACTGTTTTCAACCTTTTTTACACATCTTATAATTGTTATTCAATAGTTTGAACAAATAAATGAATAATTTCTGGAATTTATAATTATGTACCAAATACCGGTATTTTAGTCTCCGTATCACGATACGTATCATGCAGTGAAAAATTGCGATATACCGGTATACCGATAAAATCGCGCATCCCTACTTAAAACTCGCTTCCAAATACTCAGTGTATTCAAGCTGTCAAAGTTCAAGATAAGGAAGGTATAACTGTATACGAAAAAGAAAACAGATACCCTCAAATGGACTTTGAAATTACCTAGTACCTGATATTAGAAATATACAATATGTATTTGTTCCTTCTTTTATTTGTAGACTAAGTTAAAAATATATCAGATGCATAATTAAAGTCACCTTTTTCTTGTGGTATAGCAGAGGGGGCTTTCAGCCATGGCAATCGGTCATTTTGTTCTGTAGACTGAATTAAATAAATGAAAAAGTAAATCTATCAATTCCTACTACTGCACATTTGTGGTATCAAATGGTGGAAATATATATACACGTAACATCCTTATGGCAAGACACTGAAGGTAGTCCAAAAAAAGCATAGCTTGCAATATTTCTAGAATGAATTTTATTTAAATAAATCAGAAGTCATTAAAGCCACTGTAGCTCTGAATTTGTTGAAATAAAATTTCTAATTTTTTAACATAATCTCTACAAGCTTATCTTTTAAAAAGATTAGTGAGTTAGCGCTGTAGCATAATAAAATACAGAAGATATCTGAACCATTCGTTAAATTTGCTGAATCGATTATTTATTAATGAGAAGGCACATTGGAGTGGGGGGGGGGGGGGGGGGGGGGGATGGTGAATCTAATGCCCTGTTCACACGGAGAGTTTAATTTGTAGTAAATTAATGCGAAGTAAAATGATGCGAATTAAACTAATGCGAATTAAATTGCGTTCACACGACAGCTAATGCGAAGTAAATTAATGCGAATTATAATTTTATTTCTACAACAAGGCTATTCAGTGAGGCTATTATGACGTCATTTACAAATCACATCATACTATGCAGAGCAGATACATGTGTCATAGTGTCTGTGCACATTTTAGTGATTAACATAATTATGCCCCCGGATCGAAAGATCCCAGGGGTATATTGTTTTTGTCCTGTCTGTCTGTTTGTCTGTCTGTCTGTTGTCAACCTTAACCTTGTCCATAACTTTTGATTGGTTGGAGCTATGACTTTCATATTTCACATGTGCATTCCTTGTGACAAGACCTTTCTTTGGGTACCATCATATTTGACCTTTTGACCTTGACCTTGGAGTTTGACCCACTTTTGCAAAATTTTATGAGACATTATCCTTGGCCATAACTTCTGAACAGTTTGTGCTTGGGGTTTCAAACTTCACATGTATATTCTTTGTGACAAGGCCTTCCTTTGGATACCAACAACTTTGACCTTTTGACCTTGACCTTGGAGTTTGACCTACTTTTGAAAAACTTTAACCTTGGCCATAACTTTTGAACAGTTGGTGCTTGGGGTTTCAAATTTCACATGTGTATTTCTTGTGACAAGACCTTCCTCTGGATATCAACCTCTTTGACCCTTTGACCTTGACCTAGGAGTTTGACCTACTTTTGAAAAACTTTAACCTTGGCCATAACTTTTGAACGGTTAGTTCTAGGGCTTTCATACTTCACATATGTAATCCTTGTGACAAGACCTTCCTTTGGATACCAACAACTTTGACCTTGACCTTGATGTTTTACTTACTTTTAAAAAAACTTTAACCTTCGCCATAACTTTTGAACAGTTGCAGCTAGGGCTTTCAAATTTAACATTTTTTATCTTTTGGCCTGGATTTTGACTTGCATTTGAGAAACTTTAACCTTCGCCATAAGCTGCCATACGGGGGCATCAGCGTTTCACAAACACATCTTGTTTTCCTTTGTTTTCCACTCAAATAGCACAAGTACCTATATTTGACTATCGACATATGGTCTGTGACTAAATTCTGCCCTTACGCATGTGTCAAAATTTAATTCGAATTAGCTTCGCTAAGCGTTCACACGGAGCTAATGCAAAGTAATTTAATGCGCAGTAAACTAATTCGAATTAAACTAATTCGCATTAAATTCTCTGTGTGAACGCGGATCAAATTTAATTTGGAGTAACTTACATTTAATTCGAATTAAACTCTCCGTGTGAACAGGGCATAAGAGTGGGCTTCCCGTCGGCAATGGCATAACTCCTAACTGTGCTTTAAGCATTCTGTATTCTACTGTTATTTAAATTTGGAGGTGAAAAAAGGTCAGTAGAACCAATGAGCACCTAGTTTAAAATATTCCAGTGTGGTACTGTTTTTCAGCAATCGCATCTTCTCGGAAATTTCCGGCAAGCTCGGTAAACATATCCGAGGTTGCGGCGGTTTTCCAAACTTGCCGGAAAAATCAATGAAGGTAGATTAGAAAAGCTAGGTATTCATTACAATTTTAGAAATAACAGTCTTCCTTTTATAAGACCAGAGTAACTGTTACTTTTTGTTCATTTACGTGCAGGATAGACAACAAAACACGAAACTTCAGATCATATGTATTTTCAGATGATAAAAACTAAACTGACATGTCTTTCCAACATACTCTGAAAAGATTTTTTTCCGAGCTTGCCGAAATTATCCAGGAAGGTGGTATAACTGTGAGGAAAGCTAGATGTCTAAAATCTTGGCATTATATGACCTAAGTTTTTCTTGTACTTTTATGTGTAGGTTAGACAATAAATAAAAAAAATTCAGAATCCGGATCTAGACTGGTATTGCCTGTCTCTAATGTATATCGCACATATCAAACAGGAAAGGCTAGTGTAAATTCTGATCATATCTATATTTTTTATGACAAAACGAAATTGTTATCGCACAGTCTATCTACAGTAGTTTTCCCAGCATGCCCAACCGTGAAGTCGAGAATGTGTATTCCAGAAATATAGACTAACGTAGTTGCTAGCAATAATATAATTAAAATGGAAGACTTTTTAGCAGTTTAACTTGGCATAAAGCTCTGATTGAATGGAAATTGAACAAGAGGCCCATGACCCACAATGCTCACCCGAGTCACTTTTTGCCCTGCTGTTCTTCACACAACTTGATATTGATTTGCTTATCAAGTATGATTTAGTGTGGTCTTGCTACTTTTGCAAAGATTTCTTCCCACATAATCCCTTGTAAAACTCTGATCCCTTATTGTAGCCTCAATTCCTAAGTGCCCTGATCTGAACAAATTTGAATCTAAAGTACCTGAGGATGCTCGCATATCAATATGCCTATGAAGGGCTTAGTTGTTCATCATCAGAAGAATTTTAAAATTTCTCCTATATATTCCTATGTAAAACTTTGATCTATTGTGGCCCTATCCTACTCCCCAGGGTCATTATTTGATCAAAACTTTGATTGCCCATTGTGGCCCCACCCAACTCCTAACAAATTTGAATCTACACAACCTGAGGATGATTCCATCAATGCTATTTAAACTACCAAAAAATGCCAAATTATGGCATTGCTGTTCTTGAGAAGGAGATTTTTAAAGATTTTTCCTATATATTCCTATGTAAGCCTTTGATCACCCATTGTTGCCCCATCCTACTTCCAAGGGTCATGCTTTGAACAAATATAAATCAGGGATTTATCTACCTAATTTGTTTGACTACCTTTTTCACATAAAGGGGACACAATTTCAATATCAGCACTGGATGTGTGAATACACTTTAGAAGTCTGGGGATATGCCCCCCTCCCCCTTGAAATTTTCAGAAAAAAATTGCTAAAATTTGTATGCTGAGAGCTAACTGTGGGGTCATTTCTAGAACTATCATAAAAAAATTTATTTTAAATGTTACATGTATGTTTAATCAGGATATTTTCCATAACTAAAAGGGGAATTTTGACATTTTTTTTTTCAAAATGGGAAAGGAACCATTTACAGGTAGTTTAAATAGCATTGATAAACCCTTGCGAATTTACAATATGTAATGAAGCTTTCACCTAAGTCTTAACTTTTTTGGTTCAGTGTTTCTTGAGATTTTAAAAGATACCATTAAATTTTCATTCTTAATTGTCTCCCCTCAGAACAGGGCTTGATCCTTTATGTGAACAAATGTGAATCCCCTTCACCCAAGGATGCTTTGTAGCAAGTTTATTTGAAATTGGCCCACTGGTTCTTGAAAAGAAGTAGAAAATGTGAAAAGTTTACAGAGAGATGGATGCCTGAGAAAATGCGACCAGAAAAGCTCACTTGAGCTTTCAGCTCAGGTGAGCCGAAAAGTTTAAAGTGAAAGGTCAGAAAAAAATTATTTTGAAAAGCTAATGTGAAAAATTTGGTCAGGCAAACTAAATACAATGATAATCTTTTACAGTGTATTATTTCTAACTTTTTATAAAAAATGTCAATATTTTGATTTGGTTTCATAAGGAGGAATATTTTACTCAAAACACCATATTTAAACTTGGACTAGTAATTACTCACAATGAGGTATGAGGAGGGGACATAACCTTCACTATTTCCCATCTGTACTTTACACCACATCTTGTTCTGTGGGTAGTACTTGATGAAGACGACATTATCTTTCTGTCTGATGGACAATTCTGGTTCATCTAGAGGCGTATCTCGATTAGCGTTGTAGGTGAACTTGACCATTAAGCTCTGTCCCTCCTTGAATCCGTCTCCAGTGTCTGTCTCACAATCTGCCCAAGCTGTAAAACAAATTAACTTGATAGAAGGGTTACTTAATATAATGAAGCTTTTCCCATTTTCTTCACTGCTTGTATAAAAAGTCTAACTATATAAACAGAGTATTTTATTTCCATGAACCCTTTATTCTTGTGAAGAAATTTGAAATTAGCAAGCAAGATTCATTTCAGTTTACATGTTTTCTGTATGTTTTTTCCCTTAAGTGAGTTGACGTAAATGATAAATTTTCATATGACGTTAAAGTGGCAGAAGTGTTTTAATAGTTTCCAGTAAAAGAAAGTCAATGATCACAAATTTTCCATAGTCAAAAATGGTATAAACTTGAACATTTTACATGCATTTCTTTTTTTAAAAAAAAAAGAAAACTTATTAGCTATTTTGTGAAATCATATAAATAAAATACCAGAGACAAAAAAAAGGACATTGATCAAGTTGTTATTGTGATTAAATTTCATCATGCAATCAAATAAGAACAGATGTATTTCAACAATTTTTATGAAACCCTAATTTTGACGGCAAAAGGAAGTCTAATCATACTTCTAAAGAATCAACTCCTACAAGAGTTGTAACCATCATGTAAATATCATTATGTACTCACAAGACGTGTACTTGATTTCTGGGGAGGTAATGGTGTCAATATCACAGTGAACGCTGCTTGTCTCGATCTGAAAGGCTTTCGGCTTTCTTAATGGAGTTTTACAATTCAGAAGAGCCAGCACCCCTCTACCCCGACCCTTTGCAGCCTGCATCTGAAAAAGACAGTCATTTATTGTAAAAAGCTGACCTGGGTTTTAAACAGTTGATCATAAAATAGTCAAAGATGATTATGTCCATGTTGTCAAGCATATAATTTATACATGTACATATTGTAACAGTACATGTATACATTATACTTACATACTCAGACTTGGCTAAAATAAGGCCTAAAATGAAACAAGAGATGTTTGTGAAACACTTGTGCCCCCCACATAATTGGAATTTTTCTAAGTCCAAGGGGCATAACTCTTTCAAAAATTGCTCGATCGTACCCAAAACAGAACTTGACCTAGATATTCTTATGATAAATCTGTATACCAAATTTCATTTTAGTATGTGCAACCTCTACGAAGAAAATGAACAGAAACTGCAAATAATTGGAATTTTCCTAAGTCCAAGGGGCATAACTCTGTCAAAAATTGCTCGATCATAACTAAAACGAAACCTGACCTAGATATTCTTATGATAAATCTCTATACCAAATTTCATTTCAGACTGTGCAACCTCTGAGAAGAAAATGAATGGAAACTGTAGGTGGACCGACAGACAGACCAACAGACAGCACCAAAGCAATATGCCCTTCCTTATTCGAAAGGGGGGGGGGATAAAAAAAGTTTGTTTTGCTTTCAGTCTAAGCAGCCACTTATGGCTATTGAGATGAGTATGAAAAAAAAATTTCTTTGCATGTTTTATGTAAAAGGTGTTTTTGTTTATTTCATTGCAGTAGATATTACTTTTGATGATGGCAGGGGTCATTAGAGGCCATATTTACATCTCAAATTTGAAAACATGTCTACCAATTATATTATTTACATTGATTACCGGTAATCATGTGAATAACAGAGGAGAAAAAAGTAAATATCCCCATACATGATCATAACACTAACAGAGCCCCATCCTAACTCCATAGATTTCACAACTTTGGAAGAGGCACCCCTGCTCCTCATATTATGATTCCCTTTAAATGCATGGTTAGACATGCACTTAGTGTGTCTGCTTTATAACCAGGAGCAGAGAAGATTTTCAAACTATTTATGCAATTTCACTATATAAGATCAATGGAGCCACACCTAACACCAGAACCCCTGACAAGGAGATATAATAATCACAATTTTGTAAGAAGCAATCTTGCTCCTCATAATTCTGCACTTAGTTTGTCTGCTTAATACACAGGAGCATAGAAGAAGATTTCAAAGATACACCCTTGTTCATCGTAACCATGCACTTAGTCTTTGTTTAATACCCAGGAGCAGAGAAGAGGATTTTAAAGAATTAATGCATTTAACTATATGACATATGGAGCCCCACCCTTACACCAGAATTCCTGATCCAGGGGCAATGAATTTCACAATTCTAGAAGAGGCACCCCTGCTCATCATAAATTTGCACTTAGTTTCCCTGCTTAATAGCCAGGAACAGAAAAGAAGATTTTCAAATAATTTATGCTTTTTCACTATATGATCAATGATGTTCATCCTAACTCCAGAACCCCTGACCCAAGGGCCATGAATTTCACAAATATAAAGAGGCACTGTTGCTTATCAATACCATACACTTAATTTGTATGCTTAATAGCCAGGAGCAGAGAAGAAGATTTTTAAAACAATTTATGCAATTTCACTATATGATCAATGGAGCCCCATCTAACACCAGAACCCCTGACCCTGGGGCTGTGATAATCACAATTTTGAAAGAGGCACTCTTGCTTATCATAAACATGCACTAAGTTTGTCTGCTAAAATACAGGGTGAGAAAAAGATGATTTTTGAATATTTTATGCATTTTCACCATATGACTTATAGAGGCCAACCCTAACACCAGAAACCATGAACATGGGGCCATTAATTTCTAAATTTAGGTAAGACGGCTTAACGCTTATAACAATCATGCCAACAATTTGACCTCTTGATGTCCAGGAGTAAAGAAGATTTTTAAAGATTGCACTAATTTTGATGGTTTTAGACCCATCTCTTAGGGCTGTAACGATACGCCCTCTCCACGATACAGTACGTATCGCGATACTTGTATCACAATTCAATTTTTTCAACATTTTAAAAAAGAAAGAAATCATAAGGTTAAAGAAAACATGTATTCAGATTTCAAAAGGCAAGTAAAAGGTGGTGATACAATAAAGAGCACTACTTGTGCTTCTGTAGATTAAAAGAGCACTTTGTTCGTGTCAATACTAGCAGTGGCAGCCTGCTCTGAAACTTTCTCTGTCGCAATTTTCTCCCTCGTTTGTGTCAAATTATTAAAATGAGGTCGAACCCAATCTATTTCAAGGAGTAACCAAACCCGATTATAAAAAAAAAGGAAAATCAAGATAGTGAATCAAACATTGAACCGAGCAGTAATATTGAACAATATCGATATTTTGGTGAATCGTTTCAGCCCTACCATCTCTCAGGCCCAAGTTGGGCAGAGACCACGAAATCTATAAATTTTTATCTGTTCACCCTGGCTGCTATATATGCCAAAATAGACAACTTTCACATTTACAAAAGTTATTTCCCTCTGGGTCAACCGGCGTAAGACACTGTTTTCCCTTTATAACATTACCAACAATGTTTTACAAATGAAATCTGCTTAAATAAGTTCATTATGTTTTTTATGTTGCCCCATACTATGGCAATACAGGAATGAATCAAAATTGTCAGATAGCGTTTGTGGGTTGAAAATATTTACAGGTAAGTTACAAAGGATATAGTGAAAAAATGAGTGTTATGCCGACAACGGGAGATAACTCTTAAGAATGTTAAGAGTTATTGGTTCAGAGAAGAAGCTAAAATGTTCAGATGTTAACAGTACTTAACACGCTATGGACAATGCACAAAAACGTATAGCAAAAGGTTACCTGATTGACTCAAGTGTCAGATCTAAAAACTAGGTAGTATACTGAGTAACTGGGACAGTTTTTTATCCAACAGGAATATGTCACAAAAATTTTCTTTTCTTCCTTTATGGGGGTTTGATTAAAAAGTATTCCAGAAGCATTGTGTCATTATTCAAGGTGGCAAGAAGACATGCCCATACTCTAAAACCACAGGTTAAGCAGTCAGGGGTGAGACTGAAATCCGCCATTTCTGAAAAATGATGGATAATCGTCATATTTACTAACAACGTATTTTCGTTATTTTTGTCAATATGACTTACTATCGTCATATTTTCTTTTTCAACTTAATTTTTCTATCCTGGTTACATAAAAGCGAAATTTGAATTCACCGCTGAAAGAAGAGTGTTTACACAAGTTTCATTTCATCCGGGTCACTAATTACTGCCGACCACGTGCGTTAGAACATCAACATGGAAGGTGAAAGTTATTATTTAGCGGTAAAATGTCGAATTTTTGTAGAACTAACTCGCCATTTTTACATGGCTTTTAGCCCTATAAAAACATATAGTACACCGTCTGGAAGTATACGCACTGGTAGAGAAAAGTCTCAACAAAAAGTTAATAGCGATTCTCTGTAACCACTTAAACTTCTTTGCCACGCATGGTCACCGATTTTGATGAAACTTTGCCCATTATTACAACTTGACACCAGAAACATATTTCAAATAAAATTTCGTTGCTATGTGTCTTGGTTGCCTAACAGCCAGAAAAGTTGGAAAAATTGAGATTTTCAGCTACTTTGAATCTTTATTAAGCCCTAATAAAGACTAAGAAAAACAAACAAACCATTCTCACAAAAACCTGACACCTTGTTGCCACTTATCCTATAAAGAAACTATTTAGAATTTATCTCTAAGTAAGTGGTAACCATGGGTACATTTGGAATACATTTTAGATGCTGAAAAATGCTCAATATTCACTAATGATAGGTGTTAAATGCTCAAACTCAATCAACAACTTAAGAAAAACAATAAAAATATTTAACATTAAGTAATTAGGTATTGGCAATATTATTCTAAAAATAACTTTCATGGTTGCCATGGTAACACAGTGTTACCATGCAAAATGTGTTGCTAAGATTGGGTTAATGCTACTATCTTCAGGAAAAAGAATAAAATTCATGACTGGCACACATACATCCTTAGGACCTTGCACCACCGACAACATCAGAAAAATTGGGATTAATTGTTACTTTGCAGTGTAACCATGGAAACAATGTACCAGTTGTTTAAAGCGATATTTTTTGCTGCCTTAGGAATTTACTTACCTTTTATTCAAGAAACATATTATTTGACTCACCTTGAATAGTACTTATCTGGTAGAACTAATTTAAAAGTTGAATATCATATATTGATAACGTTTGTTGAAAAATACAACATTGTTGCTATGGTAACCAAGTAGAGAAAATGTTCGATTTTGTTAATTATATATCAATATTAAACCCTATGTGCCAGCTTTTTGCATCCAGTTAGAAATTGGGTGGCAGTCAAAATTGAAAGTCAGGTTAGTTGTTCATAATTAGCAATCATAAAAGTTTTGGGAATCTACATACAAGGGTACGTATCTAAGGAAACAGAATATTTTTCAGATTTTTATGCATATTTTTTCGGCTTATTTCCATAGCAACGCTCTATTTAAAGAATTGAATTTGAATTTTTTGAAATGTGGAAATTAGGGTCACACCAACGTCTTTAAAAATTGATCATTAGTTATATAAAAATATGCTTTTTAGAAAGATAGGATTAGATTTAAACACTAAGAGAGTAAATTTTAAATCCCTTCTTGGTATTAAAACCATGGCAACCATTGCCAACCTATAAGAAATATCACATTTCTTCCTTGGTATATGTTACAAGGATCTTTTGTCTATTATTTGCTTGCATTTCAACCTATAATTTTTTTTATTCTTAAGTGTATGATTTTATGAAATTAAATGAGCAAAATTATTACTTTTGAATACTTTGTTTCCATAGTAACGTATGTAAAAGTTGATTTACCAAACATGTTTATCATGCATTTAAGACATCAGGCCTTCAACTTTCAGAAACAATTATTGCCACTTGTTTGCTTTGCTGCAAACGTTAACTGTGGGACTCTGAACATGTTGAAAAATGCCATTTTTCAAACTGTAGGACATGTTGCCATGGTAACCATGACACGTAGCAACCAATTTCTGCCTGATTTGCGTTAACGGTATCGAAGACTTTTATCATAGAGAGTTTGGAGAAATTCTGAGACTATGCGTGCCACAGCTCCTATATAAAAGTTCAATTCGTTACAGAGAATGGCTCTTAAAGCCATAAAAAAGTAGTGCGCCCCGTAAAACAAGCGAGATATTTCAGTGCACCCAGACCCTCCATTTTGAAAAAAGACGGAATATCGTCATTTTCGTCTTCTTTCCTATTTAATGCAAATAAATTGACAAATAACTCTTCCACTCTTATTTTTGCTTGGGAAATTTGTACTGTCAACATAACCAGTATTGTAGTCAACTGTATTAGAGAAATGAAGTTTATTTACGATGTTTTTTGTCCTTTTTTCGGTTGGTGGATCTAACATTTTTCAAAGAGAGGTAACTTGGTATTCTAGAAACACTCTAAATTTTTATGACTGTTTTTCGTCATTTTCTTAAAAATGACGAGTTTAAGTCATAATAAAAATTTTATTTTATGACTAAAAATCGTCATTTTAAAAATGATGGATTTCAGTCTCACCCCTGACTGTTAAGAGTCAGAAATACCTATTATTTGCAATTGTGTAATAGGGAAGGAGAAAATGTATGGATGGACTGGGAATCGAATCCGGGACCCCTGAATCACTCTACTGACTGAGCTACCCAGGCTGATATCCATGGCTCAAACCATAACATTCCTCCATCCTTAAATTGTCTTTGCCTCTGAAGACACGATCAAAGTTCTTATTGCCCCTGGCAGGACTTTCACCTGCAAGTCCATGACTGGTCAATGGCACCAAATTACGTAACAGGAAAGGAGAAAATGTATGGCTGGACTGGGAATCAAATTCGGGACCCCTGAATCACTAGTCAAGTGCTCTATTGACTGAGCTACCAAGGCCGATATCCACAACCCAAACCATTACACTTGTACAGTCATTTAGGGTATTCTGAATCATCTTTTACATTTTGACTGCAAACAATTTTATTAACAAGTTTATAAATGGTTGTTTTGGTATTAAAGGAAAGCCAATTCTATGAAAAATCAGATCTACATTACAGGGCCAGTCTATCTTCCATACAGCAGTCTTGACGGGGTTATATTTATATCACCTTTTTAGTGTATAGCGGGTCACTTCTGAGTATTTCGTATCACCAGGTAAATGGCTAAAAAACGGTCAGATAACAACATTACAATTAATGAATTAGTTGGTATTGTTAACCAAAAGCCTAAAAAAATAAAAAGAATTATTTTCTTGTTAATTGTTCTTGTTTATTTATTAAGCTATTAAAGCCCCCCATGGGAAATCATGGTATTAAATGGCGTTCTCAGAGGCAGAAAAGCAAATACCAACAAAGTAATAGCTTAATTCAGAAAATTAAATTAAATTGTTGTCCTGTAAATATAATTAAGTCATTTTTTTTTTACCCATATGTGAATTTTTTTTTCAATGCAAAACAATTAACATTGAACATGTAATACTTATAAATATTTTACTTATGATCGTAATTCTATGAGTAGGCTACCCAAAGATGATAATTATGATGATAAAAAAATGTATGAACAGGAATTAAACCAACTCATGTTTATATAGGTATCACGATTATCAAGTATGACATATATCACTGCATAACTGGCACATACTCATACTTGTACATATATGTGTACACATGCCTGTGTCCGTATTTGTACGATAAAAAGATCAACAGTGATCAACACTGATCAAGTGTACACTGAGACCAGGGCTGGTCTTATTAGCTCTTGCTTTGTCAAATCATTACTTTCATACTCCTTGCATTTAAGAAAAACAAAGTTATAAAAATATCTGACAAATAACAAGTGTGTAGCATGTGCAATTTATTCGGCTGCGGTCATGTACACAAGTGGTTCGAAATACCCCAAACTGTAGGGGGATACAAATGCGACCATAACTAATATATATCTGAGGTGTTATCAAAAACAATTAATGCTCATGAAAGCTATAAAATTGATGTTCTATCAATACCTAATATGCCATGCCAACACTAAAATACCTATGAGAAATATCATGCAAGATTTCTTCACGGGCATGTTCTTATACATGTACATGTGTCGTGAGAGGTACAGCTGTAAGGTAAATTACCAAGAGTCGCGATATGCAGGGTGATTCGGAATACCCTAAATGACTGTTCTTAAGCAGTGACTAGGGGTGAAACGATACACCTCCTTCACGGTTCGATATGTATTGTATAATTTTGTCTCGGTTCGGTTATTTTCGATACGATACATTTTGATAGAAGGAAACAAATTCTACGTTGTTTTATGCTTTCTTTTTCTAAATCTAGTCACATATTTTACGAATTTTATTTGGAAATTGACTAGAAGAAATTGATTAAAATTATTTGACTGTCAAAAATTATTTTACAAGCTATCAGTCATCAAAAATTTACGTTTTCTATACTTATTTATTCTGAGTAACGTGTTATACCTTATGCCAAACCCGACTGAATAACGATCCCGACCGAAAAATGAACCGAACCGAAAATTAGAGATTTTGCACCGTGTATCAAACCGAGAAAAAATACCGTGGTGCATCGATACCGCGGTGAACCGTTTCACTCCTAGCAGTGACTTTTGTTTTTAGAGATATACTACTTTAATTCTTAGTCTAATGTTACAAATATTTTCTCAGTTCACCATTCTTTACCCTTACAATTTTGTCTTTCAACTTGCAGCACATATATCAAGACGGCACTGCAGGTATAACATATAACAGGTGTGTGAAGGTAATCATCAGCATATCTCTGTAGGCCTCTAATGAAAATCTTCCACCTACTAACATTTAGAGACATCCTACACTTAAAAAACACTTGAATTATGACAAGTTTTTACCATTAAGGACTTTGGAGACAGTGTTCAAAGATCCCAGCTTCAGCAACCACTTTTACCTCGTAATATTTTAATTTTCGGCGGGAAATGTCGATTTCAGTAGGTCTCTAGCTTGAGTCGCCTGAGACAATTACCAGAGAAATAAAGATGTTGTGATGTAATATTTGACAGTATTGATAATGTGTAGATAAACTTATTTATTTTACCTGTTAATTTGAAGGATACCTAGTTGTTTATGCGTCAATTTATCTCTTTTAGTCTTTATGATGGGATATCGTAAACTGGTCTCCAGTTCCTCGGGATGTCTCTAGAATCACTATAACATTTTATGAGTGTTTCACAACCAGTTTAATGTTGACATCCTTTCGGTTTCCTCGGGTGTTATCTCCAACTCTTTCCAACAAAGATGGACTGAGTCGCAGACTCAAAGTCACAGAAGACTATGGACATGACCAATGATGGTAATTTTATGAAATCAAAGTTTAATGAATTGATAAGTCCTCATCTCACTATGATATAACAGGTTCTTTAGGACAAACGAGTTCCTTTGTGGGTGTTTACTATTTTTAAGCATTATGATATAATCACTTACTGTAAATTTATACATGCTCTATCAATATATGGTTGTACTGTTGAACTCTCAGAGTAATTAGGCATTTAATGAAATTTATATTATATACCAATTAATCCACGAAAGATCTGCGAGTATAATGAATATTTCATAAAAGTGTCACCCGATTCGTTCTTTAAGTCTACATGCAGAAATATATATTATGATTGTACATTATGAGTGTATACAACATAAGGATTAATAAATCAACCTTTCTTGCTTACCAAGTATTCTAAATGGTAGACAGACATCTCGGCCCAACGACACCTCGGCCCGTCATGTTTGACACCTCGGCCCTGACAGGTCGGCCCAAGATAATTGACATGTCAGCCCATAAAAACCTCTGACACCTCGGCCCAAGCAAAATTTTAAAATAGAAAGAATTAATCCAGGGTCTGAATTGATATTATTATAGATATAACTATTCTTTGTAAGGATTAGATGATTTTCTTCACAAAAATCAAATTGAGAATGGGGGGTGTTTTTGATAGATAATTGGTTGATTTCTATAATTAAATAAATAAAATCAGTTAAGTCCTTAACTTGGATCTCTCTCTTGTGGAAAATGCGCAATATATATGTAATACTATATTTCAACTTACTAGCAATTCTTTCTTACGATTTTATATATTTCTATCATAAGAATCTATTTTATAATATCATTTTGCAATGTTTCTCTGACGATTTGAAATGTATGAGATAGGTCAATAATCCGTGAAAGAAATGGATTACATTTAAACTTTTTTGTGCTTGGGAGATTAATGCGAGAATAATCAGATGCATCCTTCATGATTTTTTTGAATCTACATTGAAAAAGTTCTGTAAACTGTTTGATAAAATATTAACTTTTTTAAAGGAGAAAATATTCAATGGATGTAAATGTACTGTCTCACAATTAAACCTGCTCGTAATTAACCCCTCATTGTCACCAGTATGACATGCACTTGAGACTCCAAAGGATGCGCCACAGCATTTTGTTTGCTTATCAGTTAGCACCCTATATAATTATATAAAAATATTAACTTTCGTAAAGGAGAAAAATGACACACACTTGAAATTTTGCTTGGGCCGAGGTGTCTTATAGATGGGCCGACCTGTCTGAGCTGAGGTGTCATTGGGCCGAGATGTCAATGGGCCGAGGTGTCGTTGGGCCGAGGTGTCTGACATTCTTTTAAATGTGTGAAACATTGGTTTATTACTTGTCTTTATATGAAATAAAAGTCAAAGATGATAAACCAATGTCTTAAAGGAAGACAACATATGTACGTGTGAAACTTGGGGGGGGGGGGGAACAAATGTTAGAAAACATTATAACTTTATCAGCATGAGCACTGAAAATATTGTAATGGTTTGGACCTGGATATCGGCCTAAGAAGCTTAGTTGGTAGAGCACCCGCATGGTTAGCGGGGGGTCTTGGGTTCAAGTCCCAGTCTGGCTAGCTGATATTTCATCCCGCTGACATTATATAGGTACCAGTTTTGAGTCCCAGTCTGACTAATATTTAATCCCACCTGTTACATTTGGCACCCAACAACAAAATACAATTTGGTTTAGAAGAGTCTTGGTGAAGTTTTCAAGATGGAAAACCTCCAGATAAAGGGGGAGAAGTGTAATGGGGATTAGGTACTTTGGCCTGGTTGCTCAGTTGTAGAGCTCCTGCACAGTTAGTTGGATGTCCTGGGTTTCGAGTACTAGTCTGCCTGACATATTTTCCTGCCTGTTTTAAATACATAGAAGAATAAGCACTAATAAAAATGTGCTTGTAGATAGCTAGTTTAAATAAATGAAATCTTAATTCATTATTGAAAGATTGTTAAATTCTGTATAAGAGCATGTGCCTAATATATGTATATGCTGTGCACTACATGTGAATATGCAGTTATGCACCCATGTACTAAGGCAGCCCTGGATTAAGATTCATATTGTTGCGAAATGATATGTCTAAAAGTGCACTATGTCATTATCTGAAGCACACATGCATATATATTATGCCTTGATCAATCACCTGTAGATTGCAGCAAAATCAACCCTTGGTTTCCAACAAGATCTACATGCATGCTTATTAGTTCATATTTTTATTTGCTTATCTTTTGAAGAGGAAACACAAAATGATTATCAACTGTATCCTAATCTGCTAGAATTTAGACCCTGGGTACTTATTTTATTTACTTTGATTATAAAGATATCAAAGACAAGCAGGAACAAATTTTGTACAGTTCAAACAATATACATGTACAAGTCATTATCATGTTAAAGTTTGTTTTTTATCTATTAAAGGTCTTCATCAAAGTGGAAATTTAATAGATAACTGTCTTTATAATCATGTAACTGAGTAAATATGAATCGGGAAAAATGCTATAGTTATTTTTTTAATTGTTTTTTGCTTAAGTTTGATTAAAGTCCATGAAACATCCAATCAGTTTTCAATAATTAACTTTATATTTTCAAAATAATATATAGATTTAAGAAAAAAATGTTTATTTCTTATGTCTGTGCTTATATGTATGGAAAAACCCGATATTTTCTTATTTCTTTATACATTGTAGTAGGTACTTGTACACTAACCTATGAGAGTGCTGCTCTTGGATACAGTGACTTTCCATTGACAGAGGAACCAGTGTATCTACTGGGCATAAAGTACAGTGCTTTATATGGTAAGACATCGATAAAGTGCTTTAAATTGTAAGCTATAGATAAAGTACAGTACTTTGTATGGTAAGCTATAAAGTACAGTACTTTGTATGGTAAGCTATAAAGTACAGTACTTTGTATGGTAAGATATAGATAAAGTAAAGTGCTTTATATGTTAGGTATTGATAATCATAAAGTACAGAACTTTGTAAGGTAATAACATGGCCGTAGGAACCGGGGGGGGGGGGGGGGGGGTGCCCCCCCCCAATAATTTTGCCGATATATAGACTACTATAGTAAACATAGGTAGTATATGCTGGTGCCCCCTCAATAGAAACTGATGACCTTTTTTTTTTTTTTTTTTTTTTTTTTGCTTGTCAAGGGATTTTTGGTAGTTGATTACCCTTTTTTTTTTTTTTTTTTTTTTTTTTTGCTTGTCAGGAAATTTTTGGTAGTGCCCCCTCAACTGTCATCTGAAAAATGTATGGCTGTGCCCCCCCAAACTGAAATTGCTTCCTACGGGCCTGAATATCCTTTCAAGGTCCAGGCAGTTCTAGAGCCGCACGGCCTTAGCATAATAAAATGAAAGATATCAAATTTCCGATTCATATAGCCAAGGCTGTTTTTCTGGAGGACAACTGTAATGTAATAAAACAGATGTAAAATAAAAAAAATATATATAGCCACAGCATAAAAACAAATAAATTTTTTCTTTTTTCATTTCATTATATACAGTTGAATTTCATTATCTCGAACACTGATATCTTAAATACCAGGGATATGTCGAAGTGAGTTAGCAGTCTCAACAACTTAAGCTTTATGTTGTTATGGTTTTTTTTTTTATCCTGGTTATCTTGAATCATCAGATATCTCAAAGTTAAATCTTGATCCCATCAAGTCCGAGATAATGAGGTTTGTCTGTATTCCATATAAACTTTTAATACTTTTATGCATTAATATGGCACAGTTGTTTTAGAGTCAATAGATTTTTTTCTAAATGATTATGTTTAAGTATGCTCTGACTAGATAATATGTGCAGTCTTGAAAATGCCTCTAACTGTTTCTAACATATTAATCTGATGTTAACTATTGTATAAATTTTGTTACACTTATGCCAAATTATAAAGGCATTTGTCACTTGTATTGTTTTTGTTAGAGAAACAGCATCTTATATAGTTTTCTCTCAATAAATATCAATTGAATTTGTTTTGCATAGCTTAGTGTGTTACAAAAAAGATCAGGAGTTGAGAAAAGATAAACACACCTGTTATCATAAATTTTTTGTGAAGTATGTAATACGCATTTTTCTAAAACTGTATTAATATGAATACTGGTGAGCTTCGGTATCTCGAACACTGATATCTCGGCCATTGCTATGTTGAAGTGATTTGGAAGTCCTAACCACTTATTCCATATGTTTCTTTACCCTGATATCTCGAATTCTTGGATATCTCAAAGTTTTTTCTCAGTCCCTCCGAGTTTGAGATAACAAGGTTTGACTGTAGTAAATTATAAAGTTCATGTACAAAGTACAGTACTTTCTAGGATTAAATATATATAAAGTACAATACTTTGCATGGTAAAATATAGAGAGAGAACATTAATTTGTATGGTAAAATAAAGATAAAGCACATTGCTTTGGTAAGATATATAAAATTTACAGTACAGTTTATATGATAAAATAAAATACAGTACTTTACTACTTTGTTTGATAAGATAAAGTATAGTACTTTATTGGTAAGATACAGTACAGTACTTTGTATGGTAAGATGTAGATTATGTATACATAAAATGCATTAATTAATTGTTTTAGTGAGATATATAAAATTAAACCAATAAATAAAATTATAGCTGCATGTTATTTTGGAACTTTTGCAGTGTAAGCTATTGTTTGTTGGAATTGTGATTTTTTTATCTGGAATATCATGGACATGTTAAAGTATTGGGAAGTCCTAACCACGTATATCTTGAGTATTTTTACCCCTCGGATATCTCGAAGTTTTTTCTCGCTCCCATTGAGTTTGAGATAACAAGATTTGACTGTATTTGTTGATTGTGTATAAATTATCATAAAACTGTAAATAAGTTCATCAATTATAAGAGGAAGTGGTAACAATTTATCTTTTATTGCAGACAGAGATGACTTAAAGAAAGATTTTCTTTCAAGAATATGGTGTACCTATAGGAAAAACTTCCCAGCTATTGGTAAATTTTACTTAGATAGCTGTAATTGTCAACAGATGTTCATGTTTACAAGATTGATTTATGTACGCTAACTGTGATTATTTATCAATACTGAATAGAGTAGACCCAAACACAAAGACAATATCATGTTATCAAGTTAAGAAGTTGTATAGATACTTTATCATGCTTGATATGGATTTTGGTCTGATGGACTTGACTGACAATCTAAAGGACCATTGTTCAAATGCTTGTGGCATGGAATAAGGTGATGTATATCATGTCTATATGGAATTCACTTGATATATGTTAATGAGGAAATCCCAACTATTTTAAATTCATTCAATTTTTATTGACAAAAGTGAATGGGATTGGGCAGCAGGCTCAGCCTATTTTAGCCCTCTCCCTACATCGAGGTCAATCAAGGTGAATACAAAAAAAAATTAACATTAAATAAACAAAGCAAATAAGTAGAAAAAATACCAAGAAGAAAAAAAGAAAAGTTAAATATTAAGCAAAATTACAGAGAAGTACTGTTACATATACCCACACCCCCTGGTATATGACAATGTTTAAAAAATCAGTTTGTTGTTGCCCAACTATAAATGAAGGGAATGAAGCTAAAATTATTAGTTGTATATATTCAATAATGTACAGAGTGTATCTTTAATTCACTGGGTCTCATGGAAATTTGGATTCAATTAGAAATATCCTATCATATGATCATGGATTAAAGTAAAAAATGTATTTATAGGCGGAACAGGCCCAACATCAGATGCAGGATGGGGATGTATGTTACGGTGTGGACAGATGATGCTCGCCCAGGCTTTGGTGGTCAGGCACTTAGGGAGAGGTTTCCATCTAATTTTTTCTTATTACATCTAAAAAGTAACTTTTAAGATCTAAAATCTTGTTTTGTAAGGCCTCCACATACATTAAAAAATTCACTTATAGATCAATAGTGGAAAAGATGACTGGGTTGTAGACATTGTACTAGTATAGTTAATGTTTGACAGAAATTGAAGATGGTACTTTATTTTATTGTAGATTGGAGATGGAATCCAAACTGCCATGATGAAAGTTACAAAAGAGTTCTACAAATGTTTGCAGACAAGAAAAGTGCAAATTACTCCATTCAACAAATAGGTGTGCATATAATCATTATTTCAGATTCAGATAATCTTTTTTTATTTAATTTGGCCAGTTTTTTAGATAATTGGTAAATACAGTTTCACCTATTGCTAATTTTCAATACACATTTTTGATAAGCAAGTTCATTGTAAATAAAATATCCCTATTGTGAAGAAGTATCTTAAGCTTAATTCCATACTTAATAGCATCCATGGGAGTTTCTGAAGGTAAACAAGTTGGATCATGGTTTGGACCAAACACAGTGGCTCAAGTATTGAAGTAAGGCATAAATGAATAATCAATGTAAAATCTGTGTAACTTGAAGCATATACTGTTGAATTTTCACGAACATCAATATCTTGAATACAATTGATAGGTGGTTTAAAAGTCCAAAATATTTTTACCTCGACGTCAGTACATGTATCTTTAATCCTCAGATACTTGGTCTCTGATAGTTTGGGATAAGGAGGTCAGTTACTCCTTTACCTTTAAAAGTTTTGCTTAAACAATGTTTAATTATCAAATGTATATGTTATCATACTGTTATGTTAGATTAGCTATTAAAGAATAAATTGTCATTATGATGGCTGGTCAATACAGATGAAATATATGAGAGAAATGACTATTCACATCTCATCTAGTCAAATATCAATACTCAACATTTTGTGGAAATTAATTAACATTAAATGGGAGAATTTTCAATGTTAATTGAAACATGTTTTTGTGTATTTTCTCTCACAAAGGTCTATTAAATATTCTAATAAGATAAACACTTTTTTAGTTTGACAGAACAATTGGTTTTCTCCATTACAGTTTTGCCCTTTTAACAACTTTCAACATTGTTTGTTACTAATGATCCACCATTTTACACAATATGAAGCTGAAGTTCATTAACAAGATTAATGTGATAAAATATTGTATGCTAAAATTCTCAGGATCTCATCAATATTTTCTTACCAGGGAATTAGTAGCTTAATTTATAAACAATGGTAAATAGTATATGAATATACATGTATATGTACAGGTATTTATTACATTTTCAACAGTGAAATATTGTAATTTATTTTTTGAATAAAAATGATATTCTGACACAGTGTGAAAGGGTATCAAAATGGTATTCTCACAGTGTGAGAATATCAGAAGTGCGACATAATTCTCGATTTTCCTTTCTATCACGAATAATGTTTAAAAAACTCCCTTGGCCTGTTACAAGATAGAGAGAGTAAATGAACAATCCTGGCAGAAACTAAAACTGCCAAAGTTTCTCCAAATATGCTTTGCACTCGTGAAAATATAAAAAAAAAAATCCTGTCCCACTCGTGAAATAAATTCCATATTCATCTACAAAACATTGAATATTCTCTATATATATTTCTATACTGAATCTGTTCACATATTTTTTCTGAACAGGAAGTTAGCTGTGTACGACGAGTGGAGTTCTCTTGTGATTCATATAGCCATGGATAACACTGTCATAGAAAATGATATAAGTATGTTATCTACAAGTGGTGAAGGCTATCTCCTTTATTTAACTATGAAATGCCTTTTTGCATAAGGCTTACACACATGTTTAATTTTTTTCTTGACTTTACATGTTTTTTGAATGATTAGAACTGAGAAATACTTCCATGTATATTATCATTTAATATCATTGGGACCAATTTTAGACCCTAAATGTTTTATTTCAGGGAGTGTTTGTAAAGGAAATGAACAAAGTGACTGTGATATTATTGGAGTTAGACAATTAAAACATAATTCTGCTGCCATGGGACAAAGCAAAAGTTCTAGTCAAAATTCCTCGAACCAAAATAAAAACAAACAAAATACAGTGGATGTCAAAAGTTGGAAACCACTTTTACTTGTAATTCCATTACGACTTGGATTGACTGAAATTAATTCAGTTTATGTGCACAGTTTAAAGGTATGCGATTCCTTTTACTTTACTACATGTATAACTTGCCCTACTTTAATTAAGAATGTACATTTTATTTAAGGTACATTTATTGTTACCAAAAAGGGAAATAAAAAATATATTGATTTACTTATTTGTAAGGAAACTCTTTTAAATTACAAAGGAAAAACTTAATGTTACATGTAATAAAATGTACTTGGAGATAAGTCTCAAAAAGCCCCACACCTCTAACTTTCAGGCTTGTTTAAGTTTTCCCCAGAGTGTGGGTATAATTGGGGGCAAACCAAACCACGCCCACTGGTTCATTGGTTATATGGGTAAGCATATATTTACATATTCTGTGTAGATTTCCTTTACTTTTGCTCATGTTTCTAATCAATTTTTTATTCTTTAATATTTGAATTTATTTTTCCTTTCACAGTTTCATCAAAACTTTAAAGGTGCTTGGACACAGATTTGAAGTTAATATTTTCTCAAATTTTCTGTATAATTTCATGACTTATATGTTGCTATAGCATTTCATACTAAAATATAATAAAAATCTTATTTCATCTCGTAGTTATTGAAACTTCAAATTTCTGAATGTGTTTGATTGACACATCCTTGCACTTTCACAAATTTTAATTTTATTCTTAATACTTAAGAAAAGTGGCAATTTTGTTGTGTATTAATGAAAAAAATTAAAACTATAATCCAGAAAATTCAGAGTAGAAATGTTCGAAAGCAAAACCCACTCACAGTATTGTCAGTCCGTGCTCAGTGGTGTGTGCAGAGTTTAACAATTGAACACACCCGGTGAATCGTAAACATTAACAATAACAGAGCTCGTGCCCTGTTTACAAAAACAGTTTACGTTTCATGGGTGTATTCAATTTGTTAAACTCTGTACACCACTGAGCACGGGCTGACGATATTAGTGAGGGTGTTTGCTTTCGCACATTTCTACTCTGAGTTTTCTGGATTATAGATGTAATGTTTTTCATTAATACACAACAAAATCGCTTCTTTTCTTAAATGTTAAGGACAAAGATAAAATTTGTGAAAGTGCAAGGATGTGTTAATCAAACGCGTCCACGAATTCGTAGTTCCAATAATTTCCAGATAAAATAAGTTTTTAATTATATTTTCGTGTGAAATGCTATTGCAATATATAAGTCGTGATATCATACAGAAAATTTGAGAAAATATTAACTTCAAATCTGTGTCTAAGCACCTTTAAAGAAGATAAGAAATTATTTTTTAGAACTCCAAAAGTACATACTGGTATATAATTTCTTGATTCTGAGCTTCTACGCTAAAAAGCACTTTTATTTTTAGGGGATAAATTGATTTATCTTGACCCACACACTACGCAGCCATCAGAGGACCTGGACAGTCCAAACTTCCCGGATGATAGCTACCACTGTCCTTTTCCTTCCACAATGAATGTTATGGATTTAGATCCTTCGATAGCACTGGTATAATTGCATACAATCATACATATATGAAGATCTATTTTAAAATTCTGAATATGATTGTTCTGAAGTTTTAGAACAACAGTAAAAGCAATTTTCAGTTAAACTTGGTAATAACAATGTCCTGGGGACCTGTGAATTTACTTTGTTATATCCGTAATTCTTATATCCATATAACAAATTCATTCAAGTATATACATGTACATGTATAGCAAATTTGCAATATACGTGTTTCCCTTTAAGTATGACTACTGAATTTGGTCAGGGAAGTATCAAATACAAAACATTTTCTGATTAATTTCAAATATAAATACATGTACATGTACTTATGGAAAATGATGTCAGTTAAATTTTTTAAAGTTTGAGATCTTTAAAATGGCTAAAAAAGATGTAAATTTCATTATTTTTAACCACTACAAGACATAAAAATCAGTTCGCTATATCCATAAATTTGTTTATCTGTAAAATTTTACAAGGAATTGTTAAAGATTTTGTTTGGGATCAAAAAAGTTCACTATAGATGACTTGTATATGTACATTTGCTACACTGTGTGTTTGTACTAAATGAGATTTACTGTGGAAAAGTTGAACACCATTATTATTTGGTATGACTGGTATAGAATCAACTGAATTATGCAACTGTTGTTGGATCATTTAGCTAGATTTTTACAAACTTTATTATGGAGGAATATTATACAATCATTGCTGGTTTGTGAGGTCAATACAATGATTTAGACACCTGAGGAGTACAATATTTAACCGAGCCCGAAGGGCGAGGTGAATGTACTTCGAAGGTGGCTAAATCATCGTATTGACCGAAAAAACAGCAATAATTGTTTTATTATATGATTAAATGATTAAATGACACACCCTCATTAAGCAATCCATGCCATCTTACTTGTTTACATCTACTGAAGTACTAGCCGAACATAATGAGAGAAACGGGGTTAAAAAAAAAAACAGTTGTATTATTTTGGAATTTTTAATTCTAGTTTAGATGCAATGTAGAAAAAAATAAATGTCAGGCACATATATAGGATTGATTTTGAAAAAGGGGGCATTAAAAGGGAAAAAAATAATAACTAACCTGAAAACAAATCTTTGACTACCCCCCTCCCCCCTCCAAAAAAAAGGAAAAGAATTCTCCCAACTAAAAATTTTATTTGGTGGGATGTAAAGGTCCATAAACGAGGGGAGGGGGGCTTTTATTGAAACTTTTATCCTTAAAAATTAAATCAAAACTTTATATTCTCAAAACTGTGAGGTGGGGAGAGGGGCAGGCCTCCTGCAACCCCCCACCCCACCCCTCACCCAAGAATCTACGTGCCTTAATGTTATGTTCATATGAGTGGAAGTCACTTGGAAGTGAAATAACTTTCCAAAACTATTTGCATCAATTTGGAATTTCCCTATCTATTTTTGGTCCAATGTAGAATAAATAATTCCTTATATTGACCTGGAAGGTCACGTGCAGGTCAATATAACGTAGTATTTTTCTAACATTGCTGGATCTCAGCCAATCAGAGAGATGGGAATTATTCAATCATATAATAATTCTTCTTATTTTGTCTATAAAGCATCTTTTAATAAATTTACCCATGAAAAAGTTTCCCAACCAGGTTTTAAACATGTGTACCTGTATTTTAAAAATACAAATGTATTAAATATCCAGTTTCAAATTCATTCATTGAGCAGTAGGGTGAACTGGGTAAAAATAGAATATTTGCAAAATATTGAAAGAAACAATATTTAAAGATTGTTCAAATAACTTCAAAAAATATTGTTTAGTATACTTAATAATGTCAATTTTGTCTACTAAGGGGTTTTACTGTGGAACAGAGAAAGAGTTTGATGATCTCACACAAAGTGTTCAGAAGTTTGTTGTCAGCTCCAGTAAAAACCCCATGTTTGAACTGTATAAAGATAGACCCCATCACTGGCCTCCATATGAACCATACACTGCCCAGTCAGCTAGTGCAACAGGTAAGGTCATCACATGTGGACCATATTAGTAGATCTTTTCACAATAAATCATGATAATTTTCCAGCGTAGGAGAAATCTTAGGTGTTTATTCCTTTTCACAAAAGTTCTATCAAGATTCTTAAGTGTAAAATTTAATTGTCATTACTTTACAAAGTCATAATCCTATTGTAAGTATTTTAGGACCTATTACTAATATATTGTAAAAATATTCTGGTAACCAATAAAACCAAAATTCACTTTTAACTGTTCTTTTTCACACAACTACAAAAGCATTTTACATTTTTTTCACAATTTTTGTGAATTATTGTAATTATTATATACTCCTACTACAAAATATTTACGATGACAGTTTAAGATTTTCATATGACCCACTTTTGCATCAGATTTGTGATTGTGAAGTCAGATTTCAAACTTTTTGCTTCACAATCAATTACACCTGTACATTCATTATATGTCGCCAATAATGTATGTTTTGCTGACAAGTGATGAAAACTTTGCTTTATTTTATTTTCATTCACTTTTTTAGCTCACCTGAGCCGAAGGCTCAAGTGAGATTTTCTGATCGAAATTTGTCCGTTGTCTGTTGTCGTCATCGTTGTTGTTGTTGTAAACTTTTCACATTTTCATCTTCTTCTCCAGAACTACTGGGCCAATTTCAATCAAACTTGGCACAAAGTATCCTTGGGTGAAGGGGATTCAAGTTTATTCAAATGAAGGGCCACGCCCTCCTCCAAGGGGAGATAATTATGAAATAGCAAAAAATTAATGGCATTATTGAAAAATCTTCTTCTCAAGAACCAATGGGCCAGGAAAGATAAAACTCATGGGGATTATTGTCAGGTAGTGTAGATTCAAGTTTGTTCAAATCATGACCCCTGGGGGTAGGGTGGGACCACAATGGATGATCAAAGTTTTACATAGGGATATATAGGAAAAATCTTCAAAAATCTTCTTCTCAAGAACAGCAAAGCTATGATTGGTCATATTTATATGGAAGCATCCTCAGGTGGTGTAGATTCAAGTTTGTTCAAATCATGACCTCCAGGGGTAGGACGGGACCACAATGAAAGTTCAAACTTGTAGAGAAAAAAGTCACAGTCAAAAAATCATGTAAGCATTCTTAGTCAGTGTAGATTTAATTTTGTTCAAATCATACCCCCCCCCCCCCCCCCACACTCCCTTTTAGGGGTAGGTTGGGACCACTTACGCATTTAAGCTTTTCAATACTTAACTGATTTTTCCTCTTTTCCTAGCCACAGTGCTCAGGTGAGCGATGTGCCCCCTGGGCCTCTTGTTTTAGGATTATAAAGCATATTGAGGTCATTGCTAAGCATGAAGTTTGTGATAAGTAAAATATTAGTTTAATCTGTTACCAATGTGTTCATGAAAAGCACTTAAGATTTGTGGTAAGAGATTCTCAAGTAAAAATTTTACACAAAAACTTATAATTTTTTGTGAATATGGCTACAGGTCCAAGTGTTATTTTAAACAATTAGCAACAAGACACATTCTAGGTAGTAGAATTTAGGAACAAGAATTTATCTTTCTCTGATTATAATTCACATTTCTCAATTGTGAAATTTTATTTAGAAAGTCAATGTTTTCATTGTCAAATTCTTTGATTCACTGATCATAGGAAGAGTTGAAAGAGTTTGTGGATTACCCAAGTCACTTGGACATAAAAACAAAGTCTTTTTGAAGTGTTGTCTGCTTCGTACTTACCGTAATCATAAGGCTTACTTTGGACAAATCATAGTCCTCAACTGAAAAATGAACTAATTTTTTCAAAATTTTACATCTCATTAAGAGTAACCTTAGAAGAGTTAAGACATGCAGGTAAACACTGGGGTTGATGAGGTTTTTTATTTAATATATTTTCACAGGATTTACTATGGTTGATGGACTGGATACAGAAGAAGAATTTGAACTCATAGGGTAACTACAAAGGTTGTAGACTGAACCTTGAATGGATGGACAGATCCATTGAGATGGATTTTTAGTATAGTTCAACATAATTTGTGCCTGTCATGAGAAAGGACAAAGAGAGCTTAAATTGTGATATTTATTGTATAAACTTGATTGTGAAAACCCTCTGTATACTGTTGTATATTGTAAGCATTTACCAGAGCCTTTACAATATTTCTAAATGTTCAAAATGTATCCATGTCATTCATTTCAAAGTATAACTTACTTTCAGTAGAAATTAACTTGTACATGTATAAAAATATTGAAAGATGAGCCTGAAAATTCTCTTATTATCCATGCTTCCACTGATCTTTTTCAGTGTATATGTAAAATCTTTCAAAAGCACATTTTTATGATGTATCCAACTATCTATTCTGTCATTGTTAAGTTGTATTCAATGTTAATATGCTATTTTTTTCTGTTATGTTTTGTGTGAAAGAATTTAAATATGATTTTGCAGTAATTAACTTCATGTTCATGTAAAAAAAAGTTCTCCAGTTCATGTTAGCATGACTCCACTTAATAACTAAAGATTAATAGAGAGAATACAAATCATAAATCACGTGACTTACCGGTATTATAATATGCAAAATTATTGCTCAGAAATAAGTTTAATTAACTATATATGTAAATGTAAATTACAGAAATTCTCTTAATCTTTGTTCAATTTTAGAGATATTTTAATTCAGCATGTTGCAATGTAAACCGTTTGTTATTTTAAGAGACTGATTAAAATAAAGTTTCTGTTAATTTTAAAAGACTTCGTAATTTCTGGCTATTGCTGATAGTATCATATATGAGAATTATTATTTCAATGGATAAGGCTTTGAAATAATAATGATACAAGTACAAAGTTTTACTATACAGTCAATCATTCAGGTTCTATTAATTTATTTATCTTTCATAAAAGAAACGAGATTTTTTTTCTTCAAAATTGCTATAATTTGTCGTCTTCATTTTGCATGGATAACAAAAGAGTTTAAATTCTCTTAAACTTTTGCTTCGATTGCGCCCACTCCAACTCGCCATCATCGACAGCACAAGCACCTCCACTCATCTGTTTTTCTTGAAAATCTTTATTTGCCGTTTTTTGGAAATATTTACAATCTTTTTCTGGAAGTATTTTCTTCATTTTCTTTTCAAACTTGCTACGAAATTTCGTTTCGATATTTAAGATTTCTTCCCGGGCGGCTGTTTCCATTTCCTCCGAGAACCCAGACAAGAGTTTAGCTTCTTCTAGAAAAAAATCTACATCGCTCGACTCTTTGATATCTTTTAGCATATTTCTGTGAATTCTTTTCAATTTGGATAAAGATTCTGCTATTTCATTGTGCATTTCTTCTTTCAATAAGGTGTGTTTTTCTTCATTTTTCTCGTCGACGTTATCACAAGGGTTAGAATTTACTTTGTTTTGGAACCCCCTTGTACGTCGGAATAAACTTCTAATGTTAACTGCAGATGGAACATAATTTTCTACCTCATTTCTTCTTGAACTTTTTTTGAACAAATTTTTGAAAAATCCTAACGACTTGCCTTCTTGTTTGTCGTCTGCATTATTGTTTGTACCTGTTTTCAATTTTGTTCGAAGTGCAGCTGCATGACAAATCTCTGCTTTTTCCATGGAAGTTTTCAGGTTGTTTACAATACCCTCCACCTTCATTTTATACTTTTTATCCACTGATTTCATTTCCATTTTCCAGTATGTCTTTTCACCACAAGCATTTCTCATACTTCCTATTGCTCTTTTCTCCATCTTGTCCACAAAATCTAGCTGCTCCAGCATTCTATCGTGTTCCTTAATAAGCTCAACTAATTGATTTTTCAGCTCCTTTTTGCGAAATATTTGTACGTCTTCTCTTTGAGCGACAGAACTTTTGGAGAAACCGATCAGATTGTTTCCTTTGTTTGCGTTACAATTTCTAGAGTCATCTCCATTTGCATTGTTATTAGTGTTTTCTTCATATCTGCATGATTTTAGAAAATTTGAAACAGTTTTGTTTAGAAAATAACCTGTATTTACCATAACTCTGTATTTAACACTTGGATGATCTGGTTTCTCTGCGTGAGTGATTTTGCCTTCAATGATTACTTTGTTATAATATTTAAAAGCTTTACTTCTCCATGATGCTTTGTTCCTTTCATAATCTGAAGAACTATATCCATAGTGTCCTATAATACAGTATTTTCGTTTGGTCTTCTCCTTGGGATTTGGCAGAATTGGAATCGCTTTTTTGAAGCCCACATTTTCAGACAAACTGTCGGATTTCGTATTGATCATGCTATGGTGTACGGTTTGAAGACTCCTTTGATAACTTACCGCTACCATAGACCTAGATCTATGCCGCTACCCACTCTGTATAGTGTTCACGATTCTTTATTGTGACGTAATAATACTTCTACGTCATAATAATGAGACCAATCTCGAAACGAACTGTGTAGTTCTGTCAATGATCAGTTGATTTTGTTTGAATTTCAACCAATTTACGGAAATGTCCATTAAATTAAAACCATTATACCAAGATATAATTAATATCTAGTAATTCACAATTAAAAAAAAGTCTGAGATATTACCCCGACCCCACCCCCACCCAAATTTCAAGAATTATTAAATATATGGCAATCCTAATGTTGCATCAAAAAGATATTTGAATAAATGAATTTTTTATCCGTCTATCTCTCGTGATCTTATCGATATCATTAATATTGTGTTCATTGATCATTCTCTTATCGTCCGTCGTGAAGCCTTTTGGAGTTCCTGTAATATATATTTGGTAGTGGCAAGTGAATTTGAGTTATGTATAACATTGGAAGGGGGATGAGCACAAACGTGCAAAAAGCAGATTATTTATATCAAATTCCTAAAAAATCCTGCAAATGTTTTTCCTACATTAAAATCTATGATAGTCATTTGGTATGTTTCGTTTGTAAAATACGTCACAAAATTTCAAATTTACTGTAGTAAACAGTTGCTGGCGAATTAATTCCCATTAAGACTTTTCTTGCTTAGATAATTCCGATGTAACGTCAGGAATTGAGACCAACAAGAAAATGTACTCACTACTCTTAATCCGTTTTCAGCTAAAATTTCTAGTCCAGTTCGGACGATAAATATGCGGTGTTTTATATGAAAATAAAGTTTTTTTCCCCCTCTCCAATAGTAATATAAAAATAAACATAAATCCAAAGGTATTCATACATTTACAGGCCACGTCGTTTTCTGCATTGTCCCGTTGTAACAGAGAAGCACCTTCAACAGATACCTTTAATTTCTCGAAAAAGTTCAAAAATCTCCTCACAGCTCTCCGAAATGTTCATATTTGTTGAGAACCTCTGTTTAGAGAAAGGATACGGAATCCGAAAACCGCTGAAACAAAGGTCTTTTAGGATGTCCCATCATTCAAAGACATGTTAGGTTACCGCAATATCAATAGGTAAAATTGAAATAAATTTGATTTGACATACACCGAGTACCCCTAAACAATTATACTTGTTTTTGAAAAGTGAAGAAGTTTTTCCATCCATTCCTGCAAACACGTCCCGATGCTTAAATGACGTCATGTCAAACATGTATTATAATTAATAGCTTATGAATTTATTCCGAATTTAAGTTCCAAATTGATTGAAATTTATTTCACTGTAAAGTCCAAAAAAATACTTAAGATACATGTAGGTTTCATCCGATCTTATCGTTTATTAAGGTCAGACGACACGTTCCTCGAAAATACATTTTCCCAAGAATTTGTCATTGAATTATAGCTACTTAAACAAGTTTCCTCACCAAGAATTGAGGTACCTTACTAGGCATTTGGGCATTTGGGAGGGTGATATTTTCTTATATAATCCTTATTGGTAATCTTTTGAAATGCCAATGTCACAATTTTAGGTGTACTAATTTTTTTAAAACATATTGAAAACAATTTAGAAACAATCACTAGAGAATGACAATTATGAATATTTTTTATATAATACCAAGGTATACAAAACATATATATTTGAGGAACGTGTCGTCTGACTTTAAGAAATTTAGAACAGAATTGAAATGTGTTTCGGAAGTGTCCCCTGGCTGGCTAAAATGACGTCTGACGTTCTTAGAACGCACAATTCGGGAATGAACGTTTACGTGCATTTCCTATTTTTCTTTATTAATTAACGTATTTTTGTACCCTTCAAACTTTACATGTACAATTTTGGAATATGCGTTTGTTTTTCCTTAGTATTGGGGTGGGGTGGGGTGGGGGGTGATAAATAGATAATCAACATCAAACAATTATCTTCCGGTAAATCTGCATTTGCTTGACCTCATATGGAATAGAAAATACTACAATAGAAAATTAGAAACATAATGCTCATCTCGATGAATTGCTTTAATGGTAAGAAAATACTTATAGCTAAGGTTCTGACTACAGATTACTATTACTTCAATGTGATTAATTATTCCCTAAATTCGTATGAACAGCGCACGTCAGAACAATCCCTTTCGATGTCATTTTCAGCGTTACAACGTTTAGTAGCAATTCCTGACGTTGCGTCTCCATCATAAAGCAACCATATTATTTATGCCTCTGGTAAATGGCATGTACAAGTAGTGGCGGCTTTAAGGGGCTCAAAATTGTCTACGTTAGCGTAAATCATAGTTTCGTCGAAAAAATGTGTACTCGGTAGACCTCATTTTTACCCAAAAACTCCAGAATCCAGGAGCTTCCCCCAGACCCCCTGTCTACTTTTTGCACCCCTAACTTCAATTTCTGGATCTGCGCCTGACAAGTATGTCTTGTACTTATTGACGAACATGTTTGAATATTTCGTCTCAAGCTCAAATCCTATTACAGGTCATGTATGATTTGGGGGGGGGGGGGTGTAAGTTTCTGGAGGAGGTAGTTGAATTTTTTTTAAACCAACTCCCCTCAAGTTATCCAAATCACCCTCAAATGAAAGAGCAGCGAGCTGGTATAATTAGCACGTAAGTCATTCATCATCAGAATCTTTTAAACTACGTTTTACTCTGCAAAAGAACTATTCAATAATTATAAAAATAAATAGTTTTCCAACAAACCCACACCTTTTGCAAATCTTTATGGAGAATTTAGATCGACCCAAGAGCTTTACATCGCCTATATATCCCTGTTTTAAGTCTTACTATGTTTTCCCTTGTTATTAACACCTAAACATTAAATGTGACCAGATAAGAAATATTCAGAAAATATCAAATACCCAAATGTGAGGTCCAACATGCAAGACTTTGAGTCAAGAATCCATTAATATGTTCCCCAAATATTGTAAGTTCAACTGAAACTACACTGAATGAAACAACAAAAGATTTACTGTTCAATCTAAATCTATAGAATTTAAGAGCCATGTAATTTTTTTCTAATACTTTTAATTAATAAAAAGAAACAAAATAATTTACAGAATCATCAGTCATTTTCATCATCCCCACGTAACTGTTTTTCATACTGCTTTAAATTAGTACCAAGAGTTTGTGCATGAGAATTCAGTAATGTTGATGTTTTTCCACCTGCTGCTAGACTTAAAACACCAGCTATTTCACTGTGTCCCACTTCTAGGTCAGGCATTTTAGAATACTGTAGGATGCTTTCTCGTGATAATAAAATGCCATCAATATAACCTCCTGAAATGACACAGATTATGTATTACTGGTATGCTTAAAACATTATAGAAATTTTACACATATCTTAAAAAAAAAAAACTTTTCTGAAATGTACTTAATAATAAAATTTTCATACTTTTAACAAATACACACATTGGATATATCTTCTTTTGAATTATACTTTTCATTTTTGCAAATTTAATCAGTCAGATTCAGGGTAAAATACATGTATATTATACCTAATAATAAAAATTCTGGCATTTTCCTGAGGATTACTGGTAGCTTTCTAAAGTCCGCTCCATCAGGACTTGTGATCAAAACATTATGAGATACAAGGTAAGGAGCTAGAGCTTCAAACTTGGTGCCAGGTATATTCTTCCTGTAATAAACAATTTAAAAAAATCTTTTTTATTTGCTAAACATGAGTTGTCACCATTTCACAGAATTTATCAAGAAAAAAAAATTCAATCATACCTAACTACTACACTTATATGTGCTTGAAGTGCTAAAATTACATTGACAGTCTACAAATATTTACTTTTACTACTTTATATTACTGAAAAGCATTCTCAGGAAGTGACTTATATATATACAGTTAAACTTGGGTATCTTGAACATCAGTATCTTGAAAATTTAGTAATCTACAGTATTTAATGAAGTTTTCACAGAAGTTTCAATTCTTCTGGCCTTGTGGTTCTTGACAAGAAGATTTTGAAAGATTTTTTCCCAATATATTGTTACTGGGTATGTAAGTGTTGATCACTCATTGTGGCACCATCCTATCTTTTGGGGTCATGAATTCATGATTTGAAAAAAAAAAAAAAAAAACTTAAATCTACAATACCTGAGGATGCTTCTACATAAGTTTCATCTATTATGGCCCACTGGTTCTCAAAAACAAGATTTTTTTTTAAAGATGCTTTTAATTTTTTAATAATTTGTTCAGTAATTATCTCCCCTTGGAAGAGTGCTTGGCCCTTCACTTGAACAAATTTGAACCCCCTTCACCCAAGGATACTTTGTGGCAAGTTTAGTTGAAACTGAAGTTTGATTTACAGACAGACAGACAGATATATAGACAGATGGATGCCAGACAAAATGAGATCAGAAAAGCTCACTTGAGCCTTCATCTCAGGTAAGCTAAAAATGAAACCAATCACACCCAATTTTTACCCTTTTTTAGCATTACTTAAACAACATGGGACTCTGCAACCTCAAGAAGTGATTTATGTCAATCTTGTCATTTATCTAATCAAATTGTACATCTAAATATTTAAGATTCTATTATCTGTATTATTTAAAAATTTTAAATTTTTTTTTTTTCATTTCATATTAAAAGGTTTATATAAACATAGGTAACCAACTGACAAAGATTACAAAGCTCACCTCAATGAATGTAATATATCTATAAGTAAGCTTGGCTCAACAAACTAGAAGTCTGAAAATTTTACTTAGACCTGACCTCAACTTCACTATACCTAAGTAATATTCAGGTTCATAAATACTGACATCAAAAGACTACAGTCAAATAAAGACATCATCAACATGAACAAATTGATGGTTATCATAAGTTGGTCTTAAATTAAACACCTGGTCAAATTAAACAAAATGTAATGTGAGCTCACTCATAAAATAATAACCCACCATGATTTTTTTTAAAGTGCCCAGTCAATTTTTGTAAATGTGACCTTGAACTTGCCAAAAAGTCCTTGGTAAAAAAAAAAAAGACTCATCATTTCTCGTTATTAGTAATCTTTCAGTGAAATATGGACATGCAGTGTTTCTCCATTAGAAAAATTATAGACCTATTATGAATTTTACACTTTTTATACCAGTGACCTTAAACTTGCCAGAATGATCTTGGGCCAAGGTCACGATACATCCTGAGGTCATAAACAATCTCTGTACCAAGTATGAGCTTCCAATGATTCTCCATTACAACGTTATAGTCCAGAAAAGAATTTTGTACTTTTCTATAAGTGACCTTGAACTTGCCCAAATGACCTTCGACAAAGGTCATGACAAACCCTCAGATCATAAGCAATCTCTGTATCAAGTATGGGCTTCCAGCCTTCCAGTGATTCTTCGTTACAAAGTTATACATGTAGCCCATACAAGAACTTTTTTTACTATTTTCTGCCAGTGTCCTTGAACTTGCTGGAATGATCTTGGGTCAAGGTCAGAAGAATCCTGCAGATTATAAGCGATCTCTGCACTATGTACGAGTTTCCAGTGATTCTCCATTACAAACTTATAGCCCTGACAAGAATTTTATACTTTTCTGCCAGTGACTTTGATTAAAGGTCATGACACACCCTCAGATCGTAAACAATCTCTGTATCAGTATGGGCTTCCATCGATTCTTCATAACAAAGTTATAGCCCAGACAAGAATTTTATACTTTTTTCTGCCAGTGATCTTGAACTTGCCGGAATGACCTTGGGTCAAGGTTAGTAGAATCTTACGGATCATAAGCAATCTCTGTACTATGTTTGAGCTTCCAGTGATTCTCAATTACAAACTTGTAGCCCTGACAAGAATTCTATACTTTTTCTGCCAGTTACCTTGAACTTGTCAGAATAACCTTGGGTCAAGGTCATGACACACCCTCGGATCATAAGCAATCTTGTACCAAGTATGATTACAGAAGAATTTTAAATATTTCCATTACTGTATATTAGCTGGGTCACTTGATTCTAAGCACTTGTCAGGTTTATTTGGCTTAGTTCGGCAAATTATACTTTAGGTAATGAAATCACATCTAATTTATTAAATATATTGATAGATCATTGTGAAAAGTAATCATTTCACCAGTATCTAACCCTAGTAATTATAGTTTGCAAAACTTTGGAGATATAATTACTACAGTACCTTAACAAAGTATTTGTCATTCCAAACTGTAGACGGAAGCCTTTTTCTTTCATTATAAGTCTATAGTCATTAACAGCTTTTGCTGTGACTGGATTCCTGTGACAGATCAAGAAGCTCTCATCTCTTGCTAAGAATTCTTGACAGAGTTTATTCCGGTACTCAAAATATGGGTTTGGCTGTAACAAAGGATTCAGTATTAAATAATAATGCATTACGGCATATATGTAAAACATATCAATAGCACTGAATTTTTTTTCTTGAAAGACAGAAAAGGGGTTCCATCATTTAAAACATTTACACTGATAATCTGGACTTTTGGTTGTCTCTGACCAACAACAAAGTATGCACCAACTCATATCTGTGAAATTTACAATATATATTTCAAATGATAAAACTTGTCCTGATGTGAAATGAACAGCACACATCACTGTTTGACAGTTTTCTGTCATGCAAACTTAAGTATGTCATCTTCTACTGTAAGTCCAGACTATGAATGAAAACATAATAGAACCATAAACCTTAGTACAATGAAAGTAAGATAAAAAAAAAATCCTTTACCACTTCCTCGTCATACATCTTGTGAGCTTTCTTATACTTGGTACAGGATACATCTCTTGGAGGTTTAGGGGGAACAATAACAATGTCTTCAGTCACAAATTCAAATACACGTTTAGACATCAGGTTGGTTTTTCTCTTTTTGAAGTTGCCTTTCTGAATATAACGAGTGGTTACAAAGGCCCAGTTGTTGAGCTGTTGCCATCCTGGATTTTTTTTTAAGAGACATGAATAAAATCAATAACAAATATAGCTATCAGCCAATTCTCTGTAAAATTAAAAGATTTCTCTAGTAAATATTACGAGGGCACATACAATTACTGTAGGTCACCAATTTTTTGCATATCTGTGTGAGAAATTTGTTTGGTACATGTATCTATTAGTGATATATAATTTTCGCGAATTTTTTTTATTAGATATTGTTATATATAATCTTTGAAAATACAAATGAATGCAAGAATAAAATTTTCGCAAGCAGATCATGAGATGGTCTCACATTATTAAATGAAGTTCTCTTGAATAAATTGCGATTTACAATATAACAACAGATTTAATTTGTTCAATTCTTCAAATGGCAGACCAACTAAACACGCTTTCAGATCTAAATTGGATCGAAGTCATGTTTAAGAATAACTGTATTCACTAGTACAGTTGCAGCTAGACACCAAGTGATGAACAGTAATATTAAACAGGTCATTCGAGGATAATCTACATGTAGGTTAATACAGTCATAACAAAGGAAACTACAAGTTTGTTTTGAATGTTTGCATGTTTGTCGGCTTATCTCCTTATAAAATGATACTATTTTGATCAATATACAACTACAGTTTTCTTAAGAACCTCCGACAAACATGCGCTGACTATATATTAAATGTTAAAAAAAGCATAACCATAACCTTGATCATATTATCTATTGATATTCAAGAAATCTTCGGGTCTGATCGACATGCCTTAGATTTTTAATGGATTTCCTTGATAAGAAATTTTTAATTAATATATGTTATCGAGAATACACATTTAAGAAATCAGTGATTTATGTTATGGAAAGAAATTAACACATTTTACAAAACTTTACGTTTTTTGAAGTCCACTCATTCTTTATATCGCATAATATGGTGGCAAAGAAAAAATTGACACCCAGTGGATTAGGTGATTGTAATTTATTTTATCTCCTTTTCTCTACCTCACTCTCCCCTGTCTCCTTTTTAGATATGTTAAGAGCATCTAGAACTTATGGCCTAAATCACGTAAAATTTTAAGGAAATTCGGGACTCCCGACTCCATTTTGCATTCGGTGTCTTATTACGTTAAATAATTTTGATCATTACTTCAATGTAGTGTATTATTAGCCCATATAATTTACTAACTATTAAATCTTCTCAAATGACGATAAATATACGGAAATTCTTACTACTCACCTGGCGAAATTTTTTTCAACAAGACAGCCATTGGAGTTTGCATTCCGATCCCGATCTTCAACACAAGCCGTCCTCGAGTGTACATTTTCGCTAAATTTCTTTCTTTTTTTTATTTAAACTACAAGGAGGATTAGTGGCGATAAATTATGGGCGCATCAAAAATGACTTAACTACATGTGGCTATTTTTTGCTATTAATGAATTAAATTCTTATTTTTATTGGGGGGGGGGGGAGGGGAGCTTTTGAAATTTTGCTAACATTTCTGAATAATATTTTCTTCAATTATGTAAGAAGGCTTTGCAGATATACAAGTTATTCAAATTTCTTACCAAATTCTTGAAAAAAAAGAATTTGATTTACTGGTAACCTTTTTTTCCTGTTTTCTAATATGCATTGCATGTTATCAATAAATAATGTAACTTTTTCGTCTCTATGAGCTATAATAATTTTTTTTTTTTGGACAGACCAATTGATTGTGAAATTATCGTATATAGATCTACTATGAACCAAACAATCATCGCCCCTGCTCAACATATAGAAAATGCGTATGAAAATATTTGTAGATTAAACTTGTGCGTTTTACTTATGATTATCGAGTTTGAGAAAGCGTCCAAGAAATGTCACAAGCCGTAAATTCCATATACATAATTATATATATCTCAAATTTCAATTTTGACACAACATAAAGAATTATCAAAATTGAAAATCAGCTATTTCTTAGAGAAACATTAAAAAATTACCCACCCCCAAAAAAACAAAACAAACAAACAAAAAATACACATAAACATCCCCTACGAACGTCAGTATAGATGAAGGAAATTGAAAATCAGCTATTTCTTAAAGAAACATTCAAAAATTATTTGCTTTTGATAAGTATACGACATTTAATTGGTACAATCGACTGAACAAGGGACTAATAAACCAACTATACCCGAATCAGAGGAGACTAATTTAAAATGAGGTCATGTGTATTGCAGTTGATACAAAAAGAAAATCCCTCACTGCTCAATGGCCATATTTAGTATAAAGTACAGCTAGTTTCACCATGCAATCGTTGATGGGGTACTGTAAATAACTTGAAGATTCTTGAAGCTCTATAACCCCCTAAATAAAATAAAACACAGCAACAACAAAAGACAGCCCTTGCAAGGGAGGGTATTTAAGACTGACCGATCATTGTTGTAGTTTATCGTCCCTTTTAAGACCATGTATATTTTACTCGTACGAGACGTTACCTTTATGTTGTGAATCTGACAGAAAATTGGCTTTTTATACGAATGGGTAGAAGGGAAATTACTCTTTTTCTTTCAATTTATTAAACTAAAGGCCCATGGGCAAGGCTAATTGTATTCGGCGCGTCGGCGCGCCAGCGCGTCCATCTCAACCCGATATCACAAAAGTATTTTCTCCCTGCATTAAAACACTCAAATGACATCGATTTTCTTTATAATTTAAGCATTATCGGTTATATTCAAGTCGACAGCCCGAGCCCGATTGTATTTTTTTGTTGGGTGGATCCAGAAATTTTTCCCTAGGAGGTGTTGGCTCAAATCGCAAGGGGAAGAGGTCCAAGGCAAAGCTTTAGTAATTTTACTATGTCAGTTCAAATAAATTTGAATTTTCCAGGGATCCGGATCCCATTTGATCCATGCATGCCTTACCACAATTTGTGCTAGAGTAATCCGAAATACCCCAATTTTTTGAGTTGGCCTATACTTTCGATTTCTCTCTCTCTCTCTCTCTCTCTCTCTCTCTCTCTCTCTCTCTCCAAACATTAACTATATACATGTATAGCATTTAAAAATATTTAGTGCTTTGGTTTTTATAAATTTTCTTTATGTATAACAAAAATTTACCGGTATTACGTAATGACCCTAGACATTAACTATATACATGTATAGCATTTAAAAATATTTAGTGCTTTGATTTTTATAAATTTTCTTTATGTATAATAAAAATTTACCTGTATTACGTAATGACCCTAGACTCTAGAGTTTAACCCCCTTTTTAGAGACTTGATTATCATGGCAATAAGCTGCAAAACATTGGTATCAGTGTTTGACAAATATTCCTTGTTACGTATTAAAATATTACTACTACTAAAAATTAGCTTGTTCTTTATTTGAGCAGGGGGAGTAACTTTAGTTACAGATACATAAAGTCCTGCCTCCCCATATTGTAGTCTTCTCAACCACTAAGCTCATTACAAATCCAATCATATAAAATACATCTACAATGGTTCCATCAACATTCCTTAAACATTAATTTTTTTTTTTTTTTTTTTTTTTTTGTTTGTTTTGCAGAGTGAAAATTAAAATAGAATTTGATGGTCATTAAAGTAAGAAGCATACCAAAAAGGTTTATGATGACCTGTGTTTACGAAATACTGAATCATTCGCTGATTGCACAAAAATTGATGCCAATGAAAATTGATAAAACTAGTGTATTAATTAGTGGATAAAAGAATATGAATAAAAGAAACAACAGGCGGTTAAATAATGGTATCAGGTTCGTTCGCCCTATCTACCTGTTCGCATGAATCCGTTCGCGCAGGGTCCGTTCGCCATTATTCTTGTTCGCCCTATATCTCGTTCGCCCTATTATATATACAGTATATAGTAAATATCAACATTTATTATTAATTTTATTAAATATTTTACTTGGTGTTTTTTTTTCAAATGTTGCTACAGTATTTTTTTTTATTAACCGTAATCTTAATGAAGTAATTCAAATTTGATATTTATGCTCTTTACATGCTTAATTGATTTAATTATACTTAATAATGTCACTGTAATTTAGGGGATCATACAATCTGCGTTATGTTCAATTAAAGGACTGGGATGTTAATTTCTGTTGGTCTGCTGGGTCTTTGATTAGTACAGGTATAAATTACCGGTATAGTGTGACCACCAATCTAATTAAAATTAGATGTTCCGAATCCGCTACCGCTTCTCAAACGGTAGAGTCTATTACTTAACCAGTCAGGCAGTTCGGAAAAACAAATTCCGGTATGACTCTAGATTATGTAATTGGAGAGGGAAGGCCTAACCCGATTGAATTGAATGACCTAATAGTTTATGTGTTTTTCATATAGATGTTGTAAAATCCTTTTTAGTCTAGGTATCATTAAGTAAAGCAATTATTTGAACTTAGGTAAGGAAACTGCTTATATAATTTTAAAAAAGCACAAATATAAATTAATGGAATGGAATTAAGAATATTAAAGAATGGATTAAAATAGCTAAAAAAAAACCCCTGTCCGCATCCACCAATCAACAAAGGAATCTAAAAATTAAAAAATAACAATAACCCCAATCTCACCCCCGAAAACTAAACAAAGGCAGTTTAGAACTTGGTTATCAATTTCAAGCAGGTATGTAAGGGAGTCCATTTGTTTCTTTCTGGCACGTTGTATCATCTTTGAAAAAAAAACGAGGGGAGGAGGGGAAGAAAACAAAGGCAACTTGCTTAAAATAACTTTGACAAACCAACAAAAGAAAAAAAGAAGGGGGGGGGGCAAACTCGAAAATCTTTTGTTGTGTGTATGTGTGTGTGGGTGTGGGGGGGGGGGGGGGCGGGGTTAAGGTTAAGACTTCTTTCACAGCAAAATAATGTTTATACTTATTCATACACATTTGCCTAGTTTGCCTATACTGCCAAAAAAAAAGTGGTGGGCTAGGCAGCTTTTCAACGAACATTTTAAACAGTAAAAGGATGTGTCCCCTCCCCGCCCCGTGATATACTACGACCCTGTACATGTATTTATTAAGGAAACGGAACAAAAATACTAGTACATCTGATTTACACATGAAATAAACATAAAATATAAGTGAAAGTAACGGTTAAGCAGAACATAAACGGTCACTTTCATAGCTATCCCAGGTTGGTTAAATCCTTATCCAGCCTGGAAGGAATAAAAACCATTTGCTAAGAACATAATCCGCTCAGGTAGACACATTATCAAGTAACTTTTAAAACCTAAAACTGAACCTAAAACATTCAGTTTGAAACCTTACCAAGTCGGGCAGAAATTATGAATAAGGCAAATTAGAAACCTAATCCACTCATGCAGGAACTGCAAATAGTCAGTTTAGAATGTAACCCAGTCAGGCAGAAACATGAACAAGTCAGTGAAGAACCTAACCCAGTAAGGCAGAATCATAAACAGTCAGTTAAGGCAGGAACATAGAACTGTCAGTTTAGAACCTAACCCACTCAGGCAGACTTATAAAACAGTCAGTTTAAAACCTAACCCAGTCAGGCAGAAACCAAACCCACTCAGGCAGAGTCATACAACAGTCAGTTTAGAACCTAACCACTCAGGCAGAATCATAAAACAGTCAGTTTAGAACCTAACCACTCAGGCAGAAACCTTACCCACTTAGGCAGAGTCATAAAACAGTCAGTTTAGAACCTAACCACTCAGGCAGAATCATAAAACAGTCAGTTTAGAACCTAACCACTCAGGCAGAAACCTTACCCACTTAGGCAGAGTCATACAACAGTCAATTTAGAACCTAACCCAGTCAGGCAGAAACCTATCCAAGTCAGGCAGAATCATAAAACAGTCAGTTTAGAACCTAACCACTCAGGCAGAAACCTTATCCACTCAGGCAGAGTCATAATACAGTCAGTTTAGAACCTAACCACTCAGGCAGAAACCTTACCCAGTCAGGCAGAGTCATAAAACAGTCAGTTTAGAACCTAACCACTCAGGCAGAATCATAAAACAGTCAATTTAGAACCTAACCCAGTCAGGCAGAAACCTAACCCAGTCAGGCAGAATCATAAAACAGTCAGTTTAGAACCTAACCACTCAGGCAGAAACCTAACCCAGTCAGGCAGAGTCATAAAACAGTCAGTTTAGAACCTAACCACTCAGGCAGAATCATAAAACAGTCAGTTTAGAACCTAACCACTCAGGCAGAAACCTTACCCACTCAGACAGAGTCATAATACAGTCAGTTTAGAACCTAACCACTCAGGCAGAAACCTTACCCACTCAGGCAGAATCATAATACAGTCAGTTTAGAACCTAACCACTCAGGCAGAGTCATAATACAGTCAGTTTAGAACCTAACCACTCAGGCAGAAACCTTACCCACTCAGGCAGAATCATAAAACAGTCAATTTAGAACCTAACCCAGTCAGGCAGAAACCTTACCCAGTCAGGCAGAGTCATAAAACAGTCAGTTTAGAACATAACCACTCAGGCAGAATCATAAAACAGTCAGTTTAGAACCTAACCACTCAGGCAGAGTCATAATACAGTCAGTTTAGAACCTAACCACTCAGGCAGAAACCTTACCCACTCAGGCAGAGTCATAAAACAGTCAGTTTAGAACCTAACCACTCAGGCAGAATCATAAAACAGTCAGTTTAGAACCTAACCACTCAGGCAGAAACCAAACCCACTCAGGCAGAGTCATAAAACAGTCAGTTTAGAACCTAACCACTCAGGCAGAATCATAAAACAGTCAGTTTAGAACCTAACCACTCAGGCAGAAACCTTACCCACTCAGGCAGGGTCATAATACAGTCAGTTTAGAACCTAACCACTCAGGCAGAAACCTTACCCACTCAGGCAGAGTCATAAAACAGTCAGTTTAGAACCTAACCACTCAGGCAGAATCATAAAACAGTCAATTTAGAACCTAACCCAGTCAGGCAGAAACCTATCCAAGTCAGGCAGAATCATAAAACAGTCAGTTTAGAACCTAACCACTCAGGCAGAAACCTTACCCACTTAGGCAGAGTCATAAAACAGTCAGTTTAGAACCTAACCACTCAGGCAGAGTCATAATACAGTCAGTTTAGAACCTAACCACTCAGGCAGAAACCTTACCCACTCAGGCAGAATCATAAAACAGTCAATTTAGAACCTAACCCAGTCAGGCAGAAACCTTACCCAGTCAGGCAGAGTCATAAAACAGTCAGTTTAGAACATAACCACTCAGGCAGAATCATAAAACAGTCAGTTTAGAACCTAACCACTCAGGCAGAGTCATAATACAGTCAGTTTAGAACCTAACCACTCAGGCAGAAACCTTACCCACTCAGGCAGAGTCATAAAACAGTCAGTTTAGAACCTAACCACTCAGGCAGAATCATAAAACAGTCAGTTTAGAACCTAACCACTCAGGCAGAAACCTTACCCACTCAGGCAGGGTCATAAAACAGTCAGTTTAGAACCTAACCACTCAGGCAGAATCATAAAACAGTCAATTTAGAACCTAACCCAGTCAGGCAGAAACCTATCCAAGTCAGGCAGAATCATAAAACAGTCAGTTTAGAACCTAACCACTCAGGCAGAAACCTTACCCACTTAGGCAGAGTCATAAAACAGTCAGTTTAGAACCTAACCACTCAGGCAGAGTCATAATACAGTCAGTTTAGAACCTAACCACTCAGGCAGAAACCTTACCCACTCAGGCAGAATCATAAAACAGTCAATTTAGAACCTAACCCAGTCAGGCAGAAACCTTACCCAGTCAGGCAGAGTCATAAAACAGTCAGTTTAGAACATAACCACTCAGGCAGAATCATAAAACAGTCAGTTTAGAACCTAACCACTCAGGCAGAGTCATAATACAGTCAGTTTAGAACCTAACCACTCAGGCAGAAACCTTACCCACTCAGGCAGAGTCATAATACAGTCAGTTTAGAACCTAACCACTCAGGCAGAATCATAAAACAGTCAGTTAAGAACCTAACCACTCAGGCAGAAACCAAACCCACTCAGGCAGAGTCATAAAACAGTCAGTTTAGAACCTAACCACTCAGGCAGAATCATAAAACAGTCAGTTTAGAACCTAACCACTCAGGCAGAAACCTTACCCACTCAGGCAGGGTCATAAAACAGTCAGTTTAGAACCTAACCACTCAGGCAGAATCATAAAACAGTCAATTTAGAACCTAACCCAGTCAGGCAGAAACCTATCCAAGTCAGGCAGAATCATAAAACAGTCAGTTTAGAACCTAACCACTCAGGCAGAAACCTTACCCACTCAGACAGAGTCATAATACAGTCAGTTTAGAACCTAACCACTCAGGCAGAAACCTTACCCACTCAGGCAGAATCATAAAACAGTCAGTTTAGAACCTAACCACTCAGGCAGAGTCATAATACAGTCAGTTTAGAACCTAACCCAGTCAGGCAGAAACCTTACCCAGTCAGGCAGAGTCATAAAACAGTCAGTTTAGAACCTAACCACTCAGGCAGAGTCATAAAACAGTCAGTTTAGAACCTAACCACTCAGGCAGAGTCATAATACAGTCAGTTTAGAACCTAACCACTCAGGCAGAAACCTTACCCACTCAGGCAGAATCATAAAACAGTCAATTTAGAACCTAACCCAGTCAGGCGGAAACCTAACCCAATCAGATAAGTAGTGTCTGGAGTATAAATATCAAAATACTAGTATATCATTGAATAAACAACTGGTTCTTTATATGCAACAATTGGTCTTGTTAAAGCTGAACACAACTCTTAAATAGGCTTAATTAAGCCATATTATTTTTCTTGTTTCCTATGTCAGCACTGGAACCCACACCTGACTAATTTAACCTGGTCACTGTTGGGTGTAGTGCATGTATTTTTTTGTTTACATTTTGTTTTATTGAGGGTGCATTTATGTTTATTTTACTTTGTAATGCATTGACCAGTGCAACTGACATCGAATATCTTTGGTAATTATTTTTCATGAAGTGGCAGAGGCACACAGATGTCATTTCTGTTGTGCCCAAGTCCATCATAATGACATGAAAGAGATGTCTGTTCAGGTAAACTCTGTAAAGCTAAATACATTGAACATGTTTTCTGTGCTTTCTACATCTTTATTCTTAAATTCTCCCATATCATTCTTGAGGTGTTGATTTCTCAAAGTTCAATTTTCACCATTTAAGGACAGTGCAATTATAGACTTACTCTGTTGTCCAATCCACTCAGTATATTTGTATTTTATATTTCACTTTATAATCACAATTCGTGTGTATAAAAAGGAAGTTTTTTTTTTTTTAAATCACCACCTTTTTCTTTAATTTGAACTGAAAATGAACACAAGAAAATCTACAGAAGTTCATAACTTTATTGCTTTCAATCCGTTTTGTATTCTCTGTGTACATTACTACATCATTCATCAAGTGAATTATAAAGGCCTAAAACAATGAAATTACAGTCAAACTTTGATACCTCGGACTCAACGGAACTGAGAAGAAACTTGGAGGAATTGAGAGACCAATGATGAAATATAAATACAAAAAAGTGACTGAAACTTCCAAATCACTTTGAATTATCCATGGTATTTGAGATATCAGTGTTCAAAATACTGAAGTTCAACTGTACTTAGAGTTCCCTTAATCCCCCAGTCTAGGTTCTTAATGAAGCAAAATATAATCTAACAAACATGTAGTAATGTGACTGAGGTTACATCAAATTCTTCAAATAATAAACAACATAATATTATACAGTTATGGAATGGGTATGAGGGAAATAGCAAATTTATGGTTCCCCAAGGGAGGAAACTATTTCCCGAGGCAGCGAAGCCGCCGAGGGAAACAGTTTCCTACCGAGGGGAACCATAAATTTGATATTTCCCAAGTACCCATTCCATAACTGTTTTATTATACCGAAACAATCATGGGAGATTTATTAAACTAGAGACTCAGACATTTTTAAAAACAATACAGAGGTATTTAAATAATCACAATTGCATATGATCAAAAATATTGTAAGATAACTAATGCATCAATACCGAGGAAAATAGAATTATTAAAAAAAAATATAAAATAATTTCACTGACACTTCGAAGGATTATTGTTGCCTTCATTTTGCTAGAATATTTCAGTATGATTTTGACATCGCATGTCGAAATGTTTTGACGTCATACTTACATTGCTAATAACATTACGTCACAGACTCGAGATTCCTTGAATGCTCCGCCCACTGTTCATTTTAATTGGTTAAATTATTAATATTCATGAGGGAGTAGTCCCAGGGAGTAGCTCCGATTTTTCAGGGAGTAGTCCTCAGATGAGGGAAATAGTATCTTCTCAGGGAAATAGACAGTTTTATGGTATTAATTTTATATAGAGTAATAACAGTAGAGGTATAATAATAAAATCTACAGCACAATGTTCTCTGTGTACACTTCTAGATCTTTCATTAGAATGGATTATATAGGCCTAAAATCAGTAGAATTTCGTGTTAAATGCTTCAGCCAATTTCCTTGAACAAAGTTGCCCATGTGGCACAGTAGTAAGAGCGTCCGCTCTAGAGTCACAAAGTAAGGAGTTGATCCTTACGTCATGGGTTCGAATCCCACTGTGGGACGTGGATACCAGTCCTTCGGATGAGACTGTATAAACCAAGGTCCTGTGATACAGTAGGTGCTGACACAAAAAAGATCCCTCACTGCTCAATGGCCCCGAGTGCTGAGTATAGGTCAAAATTTGCAGCTCTCCACCAGCAAGTGGTGGCGTCTCCATATCAGTGAAAAATTCTCAAGAGGGACGTTAAACAACAAACAAACAAACAAACGATCAAAGTCTTTATGTACATGAAAATAATTAAATTATGAAAACAGAGCTTCTAACAAAATCTTCTATGAAATATACATGATGTAATACAAGAATTATATCTACAATACAACACACATGCACACATACATCTTTAACAATGATATGCTATACTATATACAGTGTTCAGTTTGTTTTACGATGTAAAGCTAATCTCAGCATCTTCTTAAAAATTATTGACAGGCTGGTTTCTTTCAAGCACTGGCACCAAGTGAAAAGAAGACGTTCACAGTAGGATTTAAACATTAATTAGCCCCAAAAAATGCAGATCAATAAGAGACAAGTATAAATCTAGTACAATAATACTGATTGTGCATCATAAAATGATATACATGTCACTGACATTGAAGAACAATAAATTGCATAAACACAATGAAAGTGCTGAAATTTTTAACTACATTTGATTTACAGCGAGTTGGCAATAAATAAACAAAACATTTCACTAAAACATGAAGTCTCAATCGACTTATGGACCTGAATTTTTTTACACTACAATGATTATAAATATAGACTGGTGACTAGAAACCAAAATGTCTTAGATTTATACATAAGACTTATACATAGAATAGTGTAGCTAATCTTTCTGATCAAATTCTACAGCTGCATGCAGAGAATATGACAGATGATTTGGTGACAATAATTGACCTGCATGCCAACACTTTCACTGAAAGGGAGTGAATATTCCCTCGTAAGTGCAAACATGCTATATGTACATTTGCAATGCAACTGATTTGTTGTTTGTGATCTTAGTTAATCATACTTATAAGTTAAATTATAGACATTTCTATTTTAAAACATCTTTTATTCCTGTCCTCATATGTCAGGCCAGTACTGTGGCAAACTAAATTTGTAACAGCTTCCTTTAGTATCACAAATGGAAGGCACTTGTGTCTCATTCTGAAAAAAAAGGAAAAATTTCAATATAATAATATTCTATATATATATATATATATATATATATATATATATATATATATATATATATATATATATATATATATATATTAGGGATGTCAACGAGTACCCTGTTAACTGGGTACTCGATCGAACGTCCGAATATCGAATACTAAAAATGGTACTCGGTTACTCGGATATGTATTTTTTCTTATTTCAATGGACATATTTTTTCAAAAACTTATCAAAAAATAACTTAAATATGCATATGGGTAATTAGCGTGTCATCATCTACACATGTAAACACCCAATATAGCCTATGGCTGTGTATATACAGTAATTAGTGACCAATCACCTGGTACACAGCTGTTCTCACCTATTGTGGTCCTTAATTTTTTTTGGCTTCCATGATTGTTTTTCAGTGAACATTGTTTAATATGGACTATTATCTTCAAATCATTTTTACATAATTTAGTTAATATACGGCGGCGAAATCGGACATGCATAGAAATGCCCCTACCCATTTCAAAATGAGTAAAGATTTAAAAAAATGTTTAAAGTCAGTTTCCATAGTAAGTTTAGTGTATACAGGGGAAACAACCAACATATGAAAAAATATTAGACTAGCGATCCAAACAACATCCGTTCCTTCTCTTTCGCTAGTCTAATCATCACAAATCTGCATAACAGATTGTCCTCCTTTTGCATTGATGAAATAGATCCTAAACAAGAACTGTAAACTATCTGTAATTTTGATGTATTAATTGCGTCATTTGTGTTAATTTAATAAATAAATTTAGTACCAAAAATCATTTCTGTTGGACTCCATGTCTCCATGTTTACATACATTCATAAAAAGCGATAAAAACAGCTTTGGGGTTTAACAAATTAACAATTAAAAATTAACAAACTTGTATTTAAATTTATATATATATATATATATATATATATATATATATATATATATATATATATATATATATATATATATATATATATTTGTGTCTGCTTTCCTTTGATACCAAATACAAGAGACCCATGGGCCACATTGCTCATCTGAGCACATTGGCTAAGAAAAAGCACAAATCAGTTTAGTATTGAATAGTATTTGATTCCCCATTGTGGCCCAACCCTGGCCTAACCCCAGGGGTTATCATTTGAACAAACTTGAATCTACACTACCTGAGGATGCTTCCAAATCAATATGACTGATAATGGCTTTAATGTTCTTGAAAAGAATACCGGTTATTTTTAAAGATTCATTCTACCCCCGGGGATTATCATTTGAACAAACTTGAATATAAACTATGTAAAGAAAGTTTCCTATAAGTTTGAACTTTTTTGGTCAAGTGGTTCTTGAGAAGAAGAATTTTAAAGATGCCACCACATTTTCACTTTTTCTGAAATATCTTCCCTTGAAAGAGGACATGGCCCTTCATTTGATCAAACTTGAATCCCCTTTACCCTAGGATGCTTAGTGGCAAGTTTGGTTGAAATTGGCCCAATGGTTCTGGAAGAGAAGTCGAAAATGTGAAATGTTTACGGACAGAAGACAGACAGACTACAGATAAAATGTGATCGAAAAAGCTCACTTGAGCTTTCAGGTCAGGTGAGCTAAGAAGTATATGTAAGGAAAAGTCCTGAACTTCTATAATTTTCTTGGATGTTCTTAAATAGAACAGGACAGGACATCTACTGCATAAATGTATCAGAAGGAATAAACTTCCAAACTTACCAAGAAAAATCAATCAAGATCCTTTCCAGTTCTTCATTTTCATAGTTAAAAAGAACTCTGCTCCAAAAACTTAACCTGGGACACAAACACCAATGCTGAGGGTATCACATAAGGTTCCCCAATTTCGTTGAGTTGAGCTAAAAACTAAGAAATTACTTTTTGTATTATATTCTATGACATTTCTTGTATAAGTATCTCATTCAATTTCAATTACATCATTTACAATGATATATTATCATAGGTGAATAGCAGAGGGGAATAATTTCTCTCAGTAGAATATAAATTAATGAAGCCCAGTTCAAGCCCTGCCCCAAACCCGGACACTTGACCAAGTGTTCCAAAATTTAAAACATTTGTTAAAAATGCCCTTGCTCAACACAACTTTGTACTCTTTTTGTCTCCTAGTTGCTCAGGAGCATAGATGAAGATTTTCAAAGAAATAACGATGTTCAGATTCCACACAGCCTCACATAAACACCAAAAGACCTGACTCAGGGGGCTATTATTTTCATAACTTTAAAAGAGGTATCCTTGCTCAACATAACCATACCATTCATTTGTCTGCTTAATACCACTAGGTAAAGAAGAAGATATTTAGAAAATTTATGCATTTCACTATCTTACCTAAAGAACACCTAAACACTCTGACCTAGATTGGGCCATGAAATTCACCATTTTGAAAGAGGCACCTTTGCTCATCATAACTATGCTTTTATTTTTGGTTAGCTCAATATCCAGGTGCAGAAATGAAAATTTCCAAAGATATATTGCATATATATATACTTTAATAGGCCCCCAAAACACCAGAACTATTGACCTTGGAGCACCACATTTAACAATTTTAAAAGAAGTTTCTTGCTCATCAAGCACTAAATTCATGTGCTAAATACCCAGTAAAACCTCACCCTGACACCAGAACCCCTGACTTTGGAGCCACTTATACTTAGATTACCCAAGAGCAAAGAAGATTTTCAAAGAAACACATACTGGCACACAAGCATCAATAAAGCCCCACCCTAACATCAGATCCCCAGGGCCTGGGGCCAAGAATTTTACAATTTAAGTAGAGGTGCCCTTGCTTATTAGAACCATGCACCTAGTTTACCTGATAAGTTATACAGAGAGGAGAAGGTTTTTAAAAAGAATTTATCCATTTTCATTATATGATCATTAGAGCTCTGCCCTAACTCCAGAATCCCTAACCCTCCTTCATGAATTTCAAAGTTTTGGTAAGGGCTCAGTGCTTATTACAATCATGCCAACAGTTTGACTGCCAGATGTCCAGGAGTTATGATGAAGATTTTGAAAGATAGCACTAATTTTGATGGTTTAAACTCCACCCCTCAGTCCCCAGGGGGAGGGGGGGAGTGACCATGAAATTCAACATTTTTGTACCCCTTCACTTATTAATGCTATTCCAAAATTAGTTGAAATTGGTTCAAAGGTTCAAGAGAAAAAGCTTAAAAAAAGACCTATAGTTTATGACCAACAAATGACACACATCCACAGAAAAGTGACTCAGGTGACCTAAAAATATATTTCTTTGTACATAACTTGTCTCCTAATGCGGTCTTATCCTATATGGGGGTCATGATTTGCATAAATTTGAAACTGCACTACTTGAGGATCCTTGCTTATTAGACTTCCTTAACAAAGCCAAGCTGCTCTTAAGAAAAAAAAAGATTTATAAGTATTTTTCCTATATATATGTATTCCTGTGTCAAATCTTTCCTGATCCTAAATTCTGGGACCACAGTTTGAACAAATTTGAATAGATCTACTCTTTTGTCTAATCCTAATATAAACTCCTTTAGTTGCATGATAGGCTTCTTGATTGTAAACATGACCTTTTATGCACTATAGCTACATATAATCAGTACAATATAAAACAAGAGGCCCATGAGCCACAATGCTCATCTGAGGAATACAACCCTTCTTCATCAACAGATTCTTTTTCCTGTACATATTCCTACTTAAAATTTGATATCATATTGTAGCCCCACCCTTTTCCCAAGAGTCATGATTAACAAACTTGAAATTACACACCCGAGGATGCTTCCATGTAATCATGACTAATCATGACTTTGCTTGAGAAGATTTATACAGATTTTTCCTATATATTTGTAGGTAATACTTTCATCCTCTACTGTGTTCCCACCCTACCCCCAGGCATCATGCTTTGAAAAACTTGAATCTAAAAAAGTTGTTGTGGGTGCTTTATTGTCAATATGACTAATCATGCCTTTGCTGTTCTTAATACAAAATAAGATTTTCCCTATGTATTCCCATGTAAAACTCTGATTGCCCGCACTTGCCCCACCATACTCCCAGGGACATGAATTGTATAAAACTTATTTTATTCTATGTCAGGAAGCTTTTACTTGGGTTTCGTATTTTCAAGCCTAGTGGTTCTTAAGAACATTTGAACGATCATACCAAATTTTTACTGTTTCTTAATTATCTCTGCTGGGAAGAGATGTGGTCCTTCGTCAGAATGAATTTCCTTTACCAAAGCATGCTTTGTACGAAGTTTGTTTGAAATTGACACAGTGGTTCTAGAAAAGAAGGTGAAAATGTGAAAAATTATGAAGGAGATGGACAAATGCACAAATTTTGATCAGAAAGAGCTCACTTGAGCCTCCAGCTGATATGAGTTAATGCTAAATAGAGATATTAGTGTGAAATAATTAATTCAGGAGGTAATTGAATTAGATCCCTCTTCCTTAAAACTTTGATCATTTTTTGTGGTCCCATCCTACCCCAGGAGATCATGAATTGAACAAACTTCAATCTACACTACCTGAGGATGCTTCCCCCACTTCTGCCCCACTCTACACCCCGTGGTCATGATTTGAGCAAACTTCAACCTACACAACCTGAGGATAATTCAATATAAATATGACTGATCATTAGTTTGCTGTTCTTGAGAAGATTTTTAAAGATATTTCCTATATATTTCTATTTATAAATTTGATCCCCTGTTGTGGCCCCATGGCTAAGCTGTGCTTAAGATGAATATTCTTTAATGAGTTTTCCTATATATACCTATGTAAAAATTGTTCCCCTGTTGTGACCCCGCCCTGAAAAAAATAAGGCAGAACATTCAAGAACTTAATGAAAATTGTGGACTTCCTGATACCACATCAGAGCGGAAGGACATGCCAGATATAATAATGCCACCTTCAGTGCCATTGGAATAACCCCATTCCAAGCTGCCACCAATGTGACTTATACCACAAGTGAAAATGTTACTCAGAGGAAAAATGTTGTGGCAGTGTTGTGTGGGAATAAACTATGCAAGAAAGGCAGACACCTGAGAAGCAAAGGAAAGGAAGTTATCTGCCTAAGACACGAAGACTGCACTGCAACCATTCCTCCAGAGGCCACCACTGAAGATGAGAAGAGATGGGCTGCAAAATGGTGAGTTACAAAGTGATGACCGTCCACTAGTCATTTCCCATTTCACCAGTGATGGAGATGGAGCAGCTGCATCTGGTGAATCTGAAAAACAAGGACATGTCATTGAAAACCTTAAAGACTTGCATCATTTCTTTGACTCTCAAAGACAACAGAAGAAATGCAAAACTGCGAAAAATCCAAAACTGTTAAAATGCATGTACTGTATATATCTCAAAGAAAATACTGTAGATCTAAAAGATATCAGCTCTACAATAAAACATAGGTAATCAAAGATTACATAACTCAACTCAATGAATGTTTGTGTAAGGCAAAGTCCCACACTAAACAAATAACCTAGTAGTGTGCATCCCTAGATGCAACATTTATGCAATTTTGCTCTGATAGGGCTTTACAGTTACTTGGGAATGGACTAATCTAAGAACTTTTAACTTGCCAATTATCCAGAAATCCAGCATCTGAAGCAAGTTTGAGAATGTTCATCCCTTGATGCATCATCCTTGCAAGTTCGGTTCAGAAAGGCCTTATAGATTCTTGGTAATGGACCTGAACCAAAAACTTTAACCTGGTCACTCATCTGGAATATGTAGATCAAATCAAGCATCTGAAGCAAGTCCAGTAGTGTGCATCCTTAGATGTATCATCCATGCAAGTCGGGTCAAGGTACAGCAAATAGTTACTTTAGAATGATCCTACTCCAAAAACTTTAACCTGGTCACCCATCTGGAAAACGTAGGTCAGATCCAGTATCCGAAGCTAGCCTGGTAGTGTGCATCCTTAGATGTATCATCCATGCAAGTCTGGTCAACATGGGTCTATAGTTACTTTAGAATGAACCTGTTCTATAAACTTTAACCTGGTCACTCATCTGGAAAATGTAGGTCAGATCCAGCATCTAAAGAAGGGTGGTAGTTAGCATCCTAAGATGTATCATCCATGCAAGTTTGGTCACGATAGGGCTTATAGTTACTTGGAAATGAGACCTGCCCCAAAAACTTTAACCTGCTCCAAAATCTTCAACCTGCTTTAAAAACATTAACCTGGTCATCTTTTAGCTGAAATTGAAGCATCTGAAACCTTGACTGGTACAAAGAAACACACTATAAACATCTTCCATGCAACTCTGATTTATGTAAGGCATAGAAGTGCTGAAAAAGAAAACTGCTGCAAAAACTATAACCTGGGACGCCGGAGGTATCACATAAGCTCCCCCAACTTCTTTGAGGTGAGCTAAAAATCTAAAGACACTTACAGTAAATCAGTAACAGATTCAATATTAAAAAGGAAGTTGTGTGAAAAGGGAGGGGGGGAGGGAGGGGAGTGGGGGGCATTGATGCTGTGTATTTAATTTAAATGTATGAATTTTGTAATTAATAAATAATTTGTAAATTTATAGACTATATAATAATTGTTGTTATGTTTTATTATGCACTGATTCTATTCAACTGTGTAAATGGGGAAAATGTGGAAATGTAAATGATGTATAATTGTATGAGTAAAATGTGACATTTTCTTATATGAGGGAGTCCATACATGTAAAACTGTTTTAATTTTATCTTATTAAAATTATTTTAATTAATTATCTTGTTTTTCTTACCTATCTGATGAATACAACAAAGGTTACAGAGGTGATTGGTAGAAATACGGGTGTCAAAACTCTCTGTTGATGACCAGACAGCATACTGCATTGTATATCCGCCATTACTGATCTTAAACATGGGAGACAACTCCTGAAATCAGAGAAATTGTAGTCAAAATGAGAGTTACCTGTTACTCTTTAGGTCCGACACAATGAAATAATTTCACTACATGTTACTATATAGCTTCAATTAAATTAATTAATTAATTAAGACTCTAAGCAGATAATCAATGAAAGAGAAAATAAAGATTAATGCTTAAACAAACAAGAGGCCCAAGGGCCTTAACGGTCACCTGAGTACAATACAACAATTTGGAGGATCCATAAACTGATAAATGAAGCTCTGTTGCCCAAAAGCAAGAAAATAGTATGATTTGCATCAACAAAATAATTGGTCTAGTATCTATCTGTCCCCCATTTATCACTATTACCATGCAGAATATCAACAAACTGTCTATTTTTTAACCCCATATTTTTACTTCTCACATTGGCCTCTCTTGGCCTTTGAAGAACAATTAAAAAGGATAAGTTATTTTTGTCTCAATATTATTCATCTATTATTTCCAAGTCTACCTGGGGCCATGAATTTCACAATTTTGGAAGAGGCATTCTTCCTTGTAACCATGCACTTCCTTTGTTTGAAAAATACCCAGGAGTAGAGAAGAAAATTTTGAAAAAATTTATGCATTTTCCCTATATAATCAATATAGCCCCGCCCTTACACTAGAACCCCTGATCCAGGGGCCATGAAATTCACAATTCTGGAAAAGGCAACCATGCTTGTCATAACTATGCACCAAGTTAGTTTATTTAAAATCCAAGAGCAGAGAAGATTTTCAAAGAACTAATGCAATTTTACTATATAATCAATAGAGCCCCGCCCTAACACCAGAACCCCTAACCCTGGGGCCATGAAATTCATAATTTCTAAAAAGGCAGCCATGTTCACCATAACTATGTTCTTAAATACTTTATTTAATACCAAGGAGCAGAGAAGAAGATTTTCAAAGAATTAATGCATTTTCACTATATAATCAATATAGCCCCGCCCTAACACCAGAACCCCTAACCCTGGGGCCATGAAATTCACAATTTTGGAAGAGGCACTCTTGCTCATCATAACTATGTACGTAGTTACTTTATTTAATACCCAGGAGCAGAAAAAAAGATTTTCAAAGAATTAATGCATTTTCACTATATAATCAATAGAGCCCCAACCTAACACCAGAACCGCTGACCCTTGGGCCATGAAATTCACAATTTTGGAAGAGGCACTCTTGCTCATCATAATTATGTACTTAGTTGGTTTATTTAATATCCAGGAGCAGAGAAAAAGATTTTCAAAGAAATAATGCACTTTCACTAGATGATCTATAAAGCCCCACCCTAGCACCAGAACCCCTGACCCTGGGGCCATGAATTTCATAATTTTGGTAGAGGGCTCAATGCTTATTACAATCATGCTAACAGTTTGACTGCTTGATGTCCAGGAATAAAGAAGAAGATTTTTAAAGATTGCATTAATTTTGGTGGTTTTAGCCCCACCCCTTAGGCCCCAGGGGGGCAGGGACCATGAAATTCAAATTTTTTGTTCCCCTTCACCCATAGAATGCTATATGCCAAATTTGGTTGAAATTGGTTGAGCGGTTTCAGAGAAGAAGCTAAAAATGTTCAAATGTTAACACACATTGCACGATGACAGACAAAAACGGATAGCTATAGGTCACCTGAGTGACTCAGGTGACTTAAAAATTGAGACCAGAAAAAATACACCCGACAGTAATTAACAGTAAACATATCTACCCTGAAATACACGTAGGCTTCACATGTTAACAAACATACTACACACCATCCAGGATGTTGCACCATGCACACCTAAAAAAAAGTTCCCTTTAATTAAGTGGGACAATTCTGCTAAAGATATGATATTCTTAGCTCATGAGTCCAAAATTAATACTGTAGGCCTAAAATAAGATGCCAAAAATGAAAAAATAAAAATAAATTGTCTCTCGTTATATATACAACTACAACTGACTAAGTTCATTTTGATTGGCTGTTTCCTTTGAACATACTCACGTCTTGTAATGAAATCTGTATTCATTTCTGAAAATATAAGTGCATAACATCAAAATCACTTTTCTTAAAGTTCTCCTCAGAAGAATATTATCTATGAGTGAAGGCAATGTCTATCATAAATTGAATGTTCTAGTAGTGTGCACATCTACATGCCTTACCATACAAGTTTGGTCTAGTTAGGAATTATAGTTTCTTGGGAATGTCCAAAATAATCATCCTGAAAATAAATGTCTTATCATCCACTTAAGTCAGAAGCATCATCCATGCAACTTTTTGTACAGGTAGAGCTTATAGTTACTTGAAACTTTGGTACTTTGTAAAAGTTTTATGGGCAAGTTCATTCCCAAGTAACTATAAGCTCTACGCTTAAAGTTACTTGGGAATGAACTTGCCCATAAAACTTTTACTGGGATGTCAACACACTTCTAAAGCAAAAGCTCATCTCGACTTTGTTGAGGTGAGCAAAAAATATTCAGTTTACTGCCTTTTGAACATTTGTTGTCACATTGTAGAATTGGTAGTGTTTTCTTTAAATATGATTAATTATTATGCTGAGGAGTGTCCAAGAAATGTAAAACAATGTATTCTCTGGGGGAAAAAGTGATTCTATCACACCATCTAAGTTTGTTGGTATGCCAGTCTAACCTACCAAATGAACCACTTGTAGAAATCTTTATGGATGAGGAATTAGTGTCTTATAGTCATCCTGCCTCCCAATGATGGCATCATCAGAATCTGTCTCCATTCACTGTAATTATGACAAACTATTGCATAATTTTAAGTTGAAAGGAAAGCAAATGATATTTATATGAAATAACAAGATGTGTTTGTGAAACATTGTTGTCCCCTATGGCAGTTCAAGACAAAGGTTTGGATTTTTCAAATTTAGGTTGAGGTCTACAAGGTTAAAGTGAAGAGTTCAAAAAGTGTTTGTATTCAAAGAAAGGTCTTGTCACAACAAATACCATCTTCTCTAGTCAAAGGTTTCTGATCTGCTACTCTCCTTACAAACCCTTGGCATATGGTGCTGTCAAAAGATGGGAAGTACAGTCTAAGCAAAAAGTCTGAATCAGATCTGTTCATCAATTTTTAAAATCTCTTATACAGATAAAATGCAGGAATGTTTTTGAACTCAGTCAAATTAGTTTATCAGCTAAAAGACATGTTCAGGACATACATGTATATCAAAACATACAAACAAAGTGATTACAGTCTTTTGTCCCTTTTAAGTCTATTTGCTTTAAGGGGAGGGGATGGGTGGGTACTGATTACAATTACTCGCCCAAAACCTTCAATTAAATTACCATTACCATTACAAGGATTTTGAAATGTAATTAATTAAATTACAATTACTTTGCAAATGTAATTAATTAAATTACAAATTACATTAGGAAAAAACGTATAAAAATAAACAATGATAAATAGTCATGAACATTCATTTATATTCATATACATTTAGTAACTTTTTTTTTACATGAAGTAAACATTGTTTAGATGTTATGAATTTTTTAAAAATTGTGTCCCCTAACCTACATCCATCAGATTTTTCTGCCACAATGAAGATATTTTACACTGGGGCATTTGTGACATGAATACTTACCGGTAAATACTGACTAATAGCAAGTTTCAGGGCTTATTATAAATATTATTGACCCTTTTTGGTCCAGGGTCCTGTACCCTTTTAATTGTAAATTTTTCATAGAAAAGTGGCAAAATTGGGAAATGTTGTTGAATTTTATTTATTTTTTGATTAAAGAGTTAAATAGTGGACTTGTTCCCTATATACACATAATATATATCTTTAAAAATGATTAAAATTTCAAAACATGTTATTTCTATATATAAACAGCATCAAAAAATTGAATTTGGTCATCAGTTGGGAATCGTTACCTCAATTTAGGGAAAAAAAGAGAGCCAATTTTCAACTGGGACATGGTCCTTTTACAGGACCCGGATGCTGTTTTACATTAATTCATGTGTCCATTTTTAAAGCTTTCTGATATATTTATGGAAAACAATGGGTGCATTTTGCCTTGTTTCCTGCTTTTTTATCATCCTAAGCAATATATCTCAAAATGTTATATTTGACATATTGTGTGTCAAACTACTGTCTTCCCACAAATTTTTAATATATTATAAATATTGGTGTTATAACACCAAATTATATATTACAAAAAAGATTTGTGGGAAGACATAGTCAATGTATGTGTACAAAACTACCATTAGGTATATACTAGTCAAAATGAGTGTAAAATCTCTATTTAAGTTTAGTGTCAATATGAACATGACCCTAGGGCACTACTTAGCACCTGTTAATCACTTCTAAGACAAGCTGTAGGTATGGCAAACAAAGAATTAGAAGCCAATGGACTAGATATTTTAAGTGTCAATTCATACACAACTTAATGGAAATTATTTATTTTATTTTTACATTATAAACAAAGAGATAAATATGATTAAAAAGTTTTGAAGAAAATGCTTTTTAAAGAGGAAACAGCAATTCACTAAATAAAGGAAATATATGATTAAAAAAAATTATTATAGAACATTTTGTAAAAATAAATCAGTTAACCTTTCTTGAATAAAGTGTATGGGATTTGAAGGGGTGGAGGCTATTTCTCATTTATTAAACACAGGTGTAATTGAATGTAATTGAAAAGTAATTGTGAATTACATGCTTTTCTCAAAAGTAATTAATTAAATTACAATTACATGTAATTGAAAATTGGGTCAATTACACATTACTTTCAATTACATAAAAATTCTTAATTAATTACAGTCAATTACCATTACACATTACCATTACCCCATCCCTGGTACTAAATAGCATCTTTTGATTTTATCAAATGACAACTATGTTAACCTACCTTTTCTCATCTTTGCTCCAGCCTTTTCTTTCTACTTGTTTTACCTGGAAAAATGCACAAAATTTTCATTTTAGGTGTTGTACTACATTTTAACATCTTAGAATTTTATGAAATGGGATCTTTTTTCACAGTTTTCATCAAAAGAGCAGATCTGAAAAAAAATAATGACCTTCTTAAGAGATATATGAACATGTATATGCCCATTATGAAAGCATTTCAATATTCTAAGAAAATAAACCACCAAATACATGTACTTGTTTTTAACAAAAAAATACTGTATAAGTGGAAATCTTAGTGAGATGCCAATTTAGAAATTTACCCCCAAATTTTTAGCAAGAAGTAATTTAAGTGATTTTGTAATATCAAGAGAGAAAGCTATAACAGCCAAAATAGAATAAATTGTTAGCAATATTCAATTTTAGCAATCTCAGTTCCCTCACTAAAAATGCCAAAATTGAATCCTCCCTAAAAATTCTGCTTCTATGGTAATTTGAATTCACAGAAATTATACTCATTTACAGAATTGCAAATGATTTCTTGCAATGACAAAGAATTTAAAATAAGTATAGACGATTATAAAATACAATAAAAATCTTTGAGTATATCTGGTGCAGTTTTTTGGGGTTATCAAACACATTTTTAAAATTGTTCTTTCATTTGCAAAAATTCCAGTGAAGTAAAATATGAAACTAGGAACATTACTTCATCAACCAAACAATAATAAAAACAAAGGGGGAGTTTCGATAAGGCGGTTTTTCGGCCCCTCACGAAATTTTCTGAAATTTTTTATATTTTGTAGAAAAACTCCTTATCGTCCAAAAAATATGAAAATAATTTATGTGAAGCATTTTCCGGTCACGTGATAATTGAAAATTTAAGTATACCCCCTTTTGTATATTTTTGGAGTAGACATTTTTATAGGGGGAAAGTGGATTTTTTAAATCGTCAAAATAATAAATGAAATAGGGTAAATATGAATAAAGACATAAATTAACCAATTTCAACAATTTTTTTTACGGAAAATGGTATTTACCTTACGCGAATATTTTTTTTTTAAGGTGCGATATTTTTCTGGTGTGTTAAATGTTACTTTTCTTTAAAAGAGGACGAATTGATCTTATAAAACATAAACATATATAGAAAGTTTTAACATCATAATTAATCGACAGTTTATATGTAAACTTTACAATCAATATTTAACATTTTCCCATACGAAAAATGCAAATGAAAAGATATATGGACATGAGATAGGTAAACGTAAAAACGTCATATACAGGGATATGCAATACATTTTCATCAATGAGATTATACAACTACATATTTTATAAAAATATACCTTAATATCATAAAATTGAAATTAAAGAGGCTGGGGGGTTGTGGCCATTTTTAGACTATATTGATCTCCTTTAGAAGAAGAGCTCCATATGAAGATATAGAAAATGATCAAATTTTAAAACTAAAATTTTTGAAATTTTTCTTTGCCGAATGATAGTTGACAGCTTAAGATATCATATCTAAAAATTAAAGTTAAATCTGGTGGTTAATTTGTGGTTAATTTGTTGACCCCCCAGCCTCCTTAAATAAAATGTTTTGAAGTAAAAAGATTAAAAAATAAATGCAACTTTATATACATACATGAATAAGAAGTTTATTTAAAAGAATCATATTGCTATGTAAGCTGGTACGTTGTAGGTGCAAGGTAAGAAAAATATTTTATCTGGCAGCCACCACATAATTATTTGGCGGCCACTAGAAAAATATATCTGCCAAATAGCTTTCCTGCGGCCAAAACATAAATAACTGGCAGCGACCAGAAACTTATTTGGCGGCCAACACATAAATAACTAGAAGCAGGCAAGTAAGTTTCTTGAGGTGTAGACATGTAATCTTGCTAATAAGGCATGAAACTCCCAGATTTGACTACAAACAGAAGTTGTAGATGTCGTTAAAGGCAGAGATTTTAAGCACCGCCTTTAAAAATACCTGGTCTGTGTACCTCTGTCAATCAAGTGCATTAAGGTACATCATTGGGTGCTACAACTTGATTGGCAAACCACTAAATTTTTTCTGGCAGCCACCAGATATTTCAATGGCAGGCCAGATAATATTTTTTTTTTACCTAGCACCTACGGCTTCAGTATATTGCAATGTATTTGATAATATGAATAATATTAATTACAGTCAAAAATATTTTATCATGATTCGTAATATGTGAATAGCCAAATGATGGAAAAATCTATAATACATTGAGTGTTTCCTTTTCATTATGAAACTTAGAAGTATTTGCCTGCATCATGTTTTCAGCATAACTGAGAGAATCCCAGCCAGGACTAATTTCCTATCGCTTCCCCGCTCTCCATAGATACTTAAGTTGCTTCACCAACTCTAGTCACTCCTCATTTAGAGAGTTTTAGAATTCATTATAAATGATTTGCTAGACCAAAGCGCAGTTCGAAATACACGTGTAAATGCCAAAGATATGTGTTTAATCCTTAATCAGGCAGACATATGCGCCTAGACATTCAGACTTAAAACAATCCACGTTCCCTATATGTCAATCACACGGAAATACATGGGCACTTCTCTAGCATGTTGGAGCGTGAATTTCTATACAAGAAAGTCAAAAATATTTGTATTTTTGACTTTCTTGTAACTATGCATGATAAATAACGTTAAGGAATGGACTTGCTTTAAAACTTTTTTGTTCAGTTCCAGCATCTGAACCATGTCTGGTAGTGTGCAATCCTAGATGCATCATCAGTGCAAGTTTGGTTATGATAGGGCTTATAGTCACATAAGAATGAGACACACTTCAAAATCTTTAACCTGCTCTATCATTAAGGAAATGTAGGTCATATCCAGCATCTAAAGCAATCTAATAGTGTGCATCTGTAGATGCATCATGAAGCAAGTCTGATCAACAAGTGCTTACAGCTGCTCTGCTCCAAAAACTTGAACCTGCTTTTAAAACATTTACCTGGACATTCTTTGGCAAAAATCCAGCATTTGAAACCTTACTGGTGACAAGGAAACATGCTAGATCAGGTGACTGTGATTAATATAGGGCATAGATATACTTGAAAAAAAATCTGCTTCAAAAACTTTTACCTGGAACACCGATGCTGACGGTATTACAAAAGCTCCCCCAACTTCGAGGAGGTGAGCTAAAAATGTGACGTTAGCGTTAACGTTATATGTTGGCGACAAAAATAGTATCAAAATGAAGACAGGATACGATAATGTTTTCTACTGTTAATACATGTATAATCGAGAATCTTCTTTAATTCAACAAAATATGCTACTTTTGGCTTAGTATTTTAACACAGAGTCAGATCAAGAAACCAGGAGTTTCTACTTTTAGATATGCATGTTATGCAATTTTCAATTTTTGGATATGAAGTGCACAGGCGACACTCATCATATTTCAAGAAATTAGTGTGCAGAGTATATCTAATTACTGAACAAATTTAGGTGAGTGTCCCTCATGCACTTCATATTCTAAACATCGATTTATAAATGCCACCCTCTTATATTTTCCCATGAGCCTAATGTTAACGAATCTGAGTGTACATCTAAGTATGTATCAGCTACGGTGTTAATTCTTCTCATATTAACTTTTAAAATATAAATAACAAAAGTTAACATATTTATCTTGAATACTAAACTAGTTTTGAAAAAATAAATTGAAATTTATTTTTAAGAAAAAGTGGGCCGCTGAGCAGCCTTATCGAAACTCCCCTTTTAACATCAAAATTTCAAACTCAGAATGTCTGGATCTAAACTGACTTGTTTTGTTCCAGCTTGACTGGGTTAGGTTTTAACTAGAGTGGGTTTGATTCTAAACTGACTTATTCATGTTCCTGTCTAACTGGATTAGATTTCTACCTGACTGGGTTAGGCTCTAAACTGACAGTTTTATGATTCTGCCTGACTGGGTTAGGTTCTGAACTGACTTGTTCATGTTTCTGCCTGACTAGGTTACATTTTTTCCTGACTGGGATAGGTTCTAAACCGACAGTTTTATGTTTATATCTGACTGGGTAGGTTCTAAACTGACTGTTTCATGATTCTGCCCGACTGGGTTAGGTTCTAAACTGACTGTTTTATGTTTCTGCCTGACTGGGTTAGGTTCTAAACTGACAGTTTCGTGATTCTGCCTGACTGGGTTAGGTTCTTAACTGACTTGTTTATGTTCCTGCCTGACTGGGTTAATTTCTTAACTGACTTGTTCATATTACTGCCTGACTGGGTTATGTTTCTACCTGACTGGGTTAAGTTCTGAACCGACTGTTTTATGCTTCTGAATGGGTTATGTTTCTACCTGACAGGGTTGGGTTTTAAGCTGACTGTTTTCTGATTCTGTCCGACTGGGTCAGGTTCTAAACTGACTTGTTCATGTTCTTGCCTGACTGGGTTAGATTTCCACCTGGCTGGGTTAAATTTCTTCCTGACTGGGTTAGGTTCTAAACTGACTGTTTTATGATTCTGCCTGAGTGGGTTAGGTTCTAAACTGACTGTTTTATGTTCCTGCCTGAATGGGTTAGGTTCTAAACTGACAGTTTCGCGATTCTGCCTGACTGGGTTAGGTTCTTAACTGACTTGTTTATGTTCCTGCCTGACTGGGTTAATTTCTTAACCGACTTGTTCATATTACTGCCTGACTGGGTTATGTTTCTACCTGACTGGGTTAAGTTCTGAACCAACTGTTTTATGTTTCTGACTGGGTTATGTTTCTACCTGACAGGGTTGGGTTTTAAGCTGACTGTTTTCTGATTCTGCCTGCCTGGTTTAGGTTCTAAACTGACTTGTTCATGTTCTTGCCTGACTGGGTTAGGGTTCCACCTGGCTGGGTTAAGTTTCTTCCTGACTGGGTTAGGTTCTAAACTGATAGTTTTATGATTCTGCCTGAGTGGGTTAAGTTTCTACCTGACTTGTTTGGGTTCTAAACTGGCTATTTTATGATTCTGCCTGACTGGGTTAGGTTTTAAACTGACTTGTTCATGTTCCTGCCTGACAGGGTTAGGTTTATACCTGACTGGGTTAGGTTTTGAACTAACTTGTTCATGTTCCTGTCTGACTGGGTCAGGTTTCTACCTGACTGGGTAAGGTTTTAAGCTTACTGTTTTACAACTCTATGTGACTGGGTTAGGTTCTTAACTGACTGTTTTATGATTCAGCCTCGCTGGCTTGGTTTCTTAACTGAATTGTTCATGTTCCTGCCTGACCGGCTCAAGTTCTAAACTGATTTGTTCATATTACTGCCTGACTGGGTTATGTTTCTGGGTTAGGTTCTGAACTGAATATTTTATATTCCTGCCTGACTGGGTTAGGTTTCTACCTGACTGGGTTAGGTTCTGAACTCACAGTTTTATGTTCCTGTCTGACTGAATTAGGTTTCTTCCTGACTGGGTTAGATTTTAAGCTTACTGTTTCACAATTCTACCTGACTTTGTTAGGTTCTTAACTGACTTATGTTCCTGCCTATCTCGGTTAAGTTCTAAACTGACTGTTTTATGATTCAGTCTGACTGGCTTAGGTTTTTAACTGACTTGTTCATATTCCTGCCCGACTGGGTTAAGTTCTAAACTGACTTGTTCATATTACTGCCCGACTGGGTTATCTTTCTACCTGACTGGTTAAGTTCTGAACTGACTGTTTTATGTTTCTTACTGGGTTATGTTTCTGCCTGACTGGGTTGGGTTCTAAACTGACTTGTTCATTTTCCTGCCTGACTGGGTTAGGTTTCTACCTGACAGGGTTAGGTTCTACACTGACTGTTTTATGATTCTGCCCGACTGGATAAGGTTTTAAACTGACGGTTTTATGATCCTGCCGCACTGATTAAGGTTCTGAACTGACTGTTTCATGACTCTGCCTGACTGGGTTAGGTTCTAAACTGACTGTTTCATGATTCTCCCTGACTGCATTAGGTTCTTATCTGACTTTTTCATGTTTCTGCCTGACTGGGTTAGGTTTTTTCCTGACTGGGATAGGTTATAAACTGACTGTTTTATGTTTTTACCTGACTGGGTTACGTTCTAAAATGACTGTTTCATGATTCTGCCTGACTGGGTTAGGTTCTGAACCGACTTGTTCATGTTCCTGCCTGACTGGGTTAGGTTTCTACTTGAATGGGTTAGGTTTTAAAGTGACTGCTTCATGATTTTGCCTGACTGGGTTGGGTTCTAAACTGACTTGTTCATGTTCCTGCTTGACTTGGTTATGTTTCTACCTGACAGGGTTAGGTTCTAAACTGACTGTTTTATGACTCTGCCTGACTGGGTTAGGTTCTAAACTGACTGTTTTATGATCTTGCCGCACTGAATAAGGTTCTGAACCGACTGTTTCATGATTCTGCCTAACTGGGTTAGTTTTAAACTGACTTGTTCATGTTCTTGCCCGAGTGGGATAGGCTTCCACCTGACTGGGTTAGGTTTTTGCCTGAATAGGTTAGGTTCTAAACTGACAGTTTTATGTTCCTGTTTGACTGGGTTAGGTTTTAAGCTTACTGTTTTACAATTCTACCTCACTGGGTTAGGTTCTTACCTAACTACTACCTAGTCCTTGTTGCAGCCGGAGGCACATAGGGCAAGGATTAGGGATTAGGGGTTAGGTTCTTGACCTGCCTATGTTCCTGCCTGACTAGGTTAGGTTCTAAACTGACTGTTTTATGTTTCAGCCTGACTGGGTTAGGTTTTTAACTGACTTGTTCATGTTCCTGCCTGACTGGGTTAAGTTCTAAACTGACTTGTTCATATTACTGCCTGACTGGGTTATGTTTCTACCTGACTGGGTTAAGATCTGAACTGACTGTTTTATGTTTCTGACTGGATTATGTTTATACCTGACTGAGTTGGGTTTTAAGCTGACTTTTTCTGATTCTGCCTGACTGGATTAGGTTCTAAACTGACTTGTTCATGTTTCTGTCTGACCTGGTTATGTTTAATCCTGACTGGGTTAGGTTCTAAACTGCCAGATTTATGTTTCTACCTGACTGGTTTATTTTTCTACCTGATTGGGTTAGGTTCTTAACTGAATGTTATACAATTCTGCCTGACTGGGTTAGGTTCTAAATTGACTTGTTCATGTTTCTGTCTGACTGGGATAGGTTTCTTCCTGACTGGGTTGGGTTCAAAACTGATAGTTTTATGATTTTGCCTGACAGGGTAATATTTCTGCCTGACTGGGTTTGGTTCTAAACTGACAGGTTCATGATTCAGCTTGACTGGGTTAGGTTCTTAAATGACTTGTTCATGTCCCTGCCTGACTGGGTTAAGTTCTAAACTGTCTTATACATATTACTGCCTGACTGGGTTATGTTTCTACCTATCTGGGTTAAGTTCTGAACTGACTATTTCAGTTTCTGAAAGGATTATGTTTCTACCTGACTGGGTTGGGTTTTAAACTGACTGTTTTCTGATTCTGTCTGACTGGATTAGGTTCTAAACAGACTTGTTCATGTTTCTGTCTGACTGGGTTATGTTTAATCCTGACTGGGTTAGGTTCTAAACTGCCAGTTTTATGTTTCTACCTGACTGGCTTAGGTTTCTTCCTGACTGGGTAAGGTTTCTACCTGACTGGGTAAGGTTTCTACCTGACTGGGTTAGGTTCTTAACTGAATGTTACGCAATTCTGCCTAGGTTCTAAATTGACTTGTTCATGTTTCTGAACTGACTGTTTTATGATTATACCTAACTGGGTTAGGATGTGAACTGACTGTTTTATGTCCCTGATTGACTGGGTTACTTTCCTGAATGGGATAGGTTCTAAAATGAATGTTTTATGATACGCTCCGACTGCGTTAGGTTCTAAACTGACTAATTCATGTTTCTTACTGACTAGGTTATGTATCTTCCTGACTGGGTTAGGTTTTAAACTGAGTGTTTGATGTTTCTACCTGACTGGGTTAGGTTCTAATATGACTGTTTTATGTTCATGCCTGACTGAGTTAAGTTTCTATCCGACTGGGTTAGGTTCTTAACTAACAGTTTTATGATTCTGCCTGACTGGGTAATGTTCTAAACTGACTTATTCAATTTTTAGCCTGAGTGGGTTTTGTTTCTGCATTACTGATTTGGATCTGAACTGACTAATTCTTGTTCCTGCCTAAGTGGGTTAGGTTTCTGCCTGACTGGGTTAGGTTCTAAACTGACTGAAGGAAGTCACTTTAAGTCTGGGTAAGCTAGGTTCTAAACTGACTTTATCATGTCCTTCCCTGACTGGAATATATGTTGTTCTGAACAAGATTCCTAAATGACCACACTCAAGTTTTTGCTTATTCTTAATTATTTCCACTTGAAAGGGGGCATGATCCTTCATTTAAATCTTTACACAAGGATACTCTGTGCCAAATTTGGTTAAAATTAGTTTCAGAGAAGAAGAGGAAATTGTGAAAAGTTAACCAAAAAATCAATGATGTAAATGACTACATGCTACAATCTAATTGAAATTAAATCCTTTGATCAGCTCACATATGATCGCTACACAAAGTGTGTAGGGATCATATGTGAGCAGATCAAAGGATCTAATTTTAATTAGATTGCACATGCAATGGACAAATTTGGATCAAAAAAGCTCACCTGTGCCACTGTGCAAAAGGAGGAAGGAGTATTGATGCTGTGTATGTAGTTTATATATGTTCTATTTTTATTACATATTAAAATTATTTTCAACAATTACCTTGTTATTTTACCTGTCCAAAGAACATGACAAAAAAGATAACAGGGTGATTGGTAGAAATATAGGCATACAGGTGTCAAAACTCCCTTTTGGTGAACAGTCTGCATCACTCATTGTTTATCCACCATTAGTGATCTTTAACAGAGGAGACTATGTAGGTTTCACATGTTGACAGTCTACACACCATTGAGTAAACTACATCATTTCCAACTAAAAGAAATCTTTTTTATTCACAATAAATGGATTGAAATATGCTGCTCAAAATAACTTCAAAATATCAATAACTTCCTCATTCAATTTAAAAAAAAATCTTATTGAAAATACCAGATCATAAGTTTAGTTTAAGTACACTTCATACTTTCTTGGACGTTAACAAACCTAGATGAAAATGGCAGATAGGCAAGTTCAATTGCTGGTGATCAGACACAAGAAGCTCAGGCAGGTCCAATTGCTGGTGACCAGATACACTTAGTGGTTTGGATTGTGCTGACCGGGATGTCGGCATGGGTGGATTAGAGCAGCTTACAAGCTATGCAGGAGTCCAAGTTTGATTCCCTGTCAATCCTTTCCAGTTATAATATTAAATTAACATATGAAAAAGCATAGATATTAGCGAGCGCAGCGAGCAGCGCAAAGCGCCGCTCATCACTCGGAGCTCTAAAAGCAATGCCTGGGCGAAGAGAAAATTCTGACTTTGCAAATTGATCCAAATGAATTTTTTTCCACAGTTACCTGTGGTCCCATAATGCTTTGCGAATTGCTTCTCCCCACAAACAACGTTCTCGCAGTAGCAAGAAGTTCCAAAAAAAAATATACACCCACGTTGATTTGATGGATATATAGCAGACAAATAGTAGATTAAAACTTCTTTATTAAAATAAGCCCTGTTCAGACTTTGTTTTGGTAATGCTACTTACAAGCGACGTTGTATGACGTCAGAGTCTAGACGTACTAAAAGTCTCGTGCAGTTTGATAACTTTGAAGAGCCAGATCTAAATTAAAACTGAATATAGGTATCTGCGCTCACCCTTACGGTTGCACAGTCAACATATTAAAAATATACAAGACATTGTACGTTCGAAAATTACAAAATAATTCCCCTACTCTCGCACTGAAAGTCTTCAAACTTCTATACATTTATAATATATATATACACACTTTTGAATAAATTCACTAAATTCTAAAGAAAATAAGGAGCTGTGTAAGAGTGTAGGGTGCTAACTTTATTGAAAAATGAGAGGGGTAGATGTTGATTATACTAGGCCTACGTTTTCTAGTGGGGTTTGTAACATAAACCATAAAAATACACCTCACCCTCCGGCCGCCAGTCCGCTTCTTTTTTCTTATACAATGCACATAACACAGCTCATCGATGTAGCATCAATGTTTCGGTGTATTTTTCTTTGTGACCTCTTCGTTTCTACTTCCGTTTCATTTTCAGTTCTTGCTAATCATGCCAAACGTTATTTCTCCCGCCGCTAAACTAACTTCGGGATCGATGTACTCAGCTACATAATATAAAACTGAAACCATACCGGAATTAATTTTCCCGAACTGCTTGACTGGTTAAGTAATAGACTCTACCTTCTCAAACATCTAACAACATCCCATTCGGGGTCACGTCAGAGCGACCTTTCGATTACCCAATGAAATCGCCGTCGTCGAAATCTTGGCTTATAGTTCGGATGCGATTCTTTTTTTACTGCCAAACCTAAACGCCCGAGGGGTTTCGTAGTAAACAAAATATGCATGGTAAAGACCGTGCTATATATGAATGTGACGTGGGGGATATATAGTAGTTTGTGCATTTTCGTTTGCGTTATTCAGGTAAGAATGCCAGACTGGCGGACTATAGCTCAGTTTATACCAAAATTACTTTAATTCATCGTAAGACAGTCTACTGAGCATCAATAATGTAAAGAAGTAGCCGTGGAACTAATTTTAGAATTGTATACAGAAGGTTGAATCTGATTGGCCAAAATTTTTATGTTTATTCGTAATCGAAAGGTCGCTCTGACGTGACCCCGAATGGGATGTTGTTAGATGTTTGAGAAGCGGTAGCGGATTCAGAACATCTAATTTTAATTAGATTGGTGTGACCACATGCATTCGTCTGTTGTCTCCCGTGTGCAATTTATGTACCAATGTACATATAATTTATTTAAAAAATCCATTGGTTAATTATTCAATTTCTGCAATATAAATAAGGCGAACGGACCCTGTGCAAACAAGTGATGTTGAAGCTTCAAAAACAAAATTCCATCTATAAAACTTTCTCTTTTTAGCCGAGCGCATTGCTCGTAGAGCAATAGCCGGTTTATGTTACGGTGTTCAACCGGAAATACTGCTTCCTCACCGCCAAATTAAATATGAGTAAGAATAAAGTACGTATGCTCAACCACCTTTGAAGCAATACAAACACTTAATTAAACAAATTTAATTTAACTAAGAAATTCTCTAAAAAAAAAAAAAAAAAAAAAAAAAAAAAAAAAAAAAAAAAAAAAAAAAAAATTGATAATATACTTTCTCCCCTTTTCTTCAATAAATTATTTGTTTAAAAGATGCGATAGGTAATTTCATCAAGTCTGCCAGCTTCACATTCTATAGATAAAGGTTGTGTTACCAGGCTAATGCGGGGAGCATGTGACCCGATGCACACCTTTATGCAAAACTCCCCGCTGAGGACCCGTCTGTGTATAAACGTTTGACCTTGCTGCATCAATGTAAATTCAAACTGCATTTTATTTTATTTTATCTTTTAAACATTTTTTTATTTATACTATATGCCATAAATATATTTTTGTGTTACATATTCTTCCAGTGTCTTGTTGTTATTCATCTGTAATTACAATGTATGTTTCATGTAAAACGGACTTGTTCACTTCTCTGTAAATGAGCCCGGCTCTCTGTACTTCTCAGTACTTTGATTATTTATGATATCGAGCCCGATGCTAACAATATTGTATAAGCGATAATTTATTTTATAAACAAAATCTGTTGCGCGAGCGCGCCGACGCGCCGAATACAATTAGCCATGGGCAACAAGGATCCATTATTTATTTAAAAAAAAAAAAAAAAAAAAAAAAAAAAAAAAAAAAAAAAAAAAAAAACAGAAGTCTCTGATGAGACTGTAGCTCTACTCCACAGCACATGATACGCCTGTCAGATATTGTTTTAATATTCATCATAAAAAGATTAGTGTGCATGGAAGAAAATCATGTCAACCTTTGAACAAAGATTTCAATTTTTTCTCCATTTCTGTTTGATGTGCATCATCTCCTATGCTGTAGTTATTAATAAGAACAATAGTACTTCATGAATTTTTTAACTGGTCATGACACAAATGCCCTGTCTGCAGCTTTGTTCATTGTACTGTAGTTTATGTAATATGAACAATGCTTCTGCCTAATAAAACATCAAAATACTACCAATAATCATTTTATTTATGACAATACTGACAATACTTTTGCATCTGTCATCTTAATGATCAAGACATGACACTCATCAATTTGGTTGTTGGGATATAAAAATATATATATTACTTAATATGAAACTATAATGTTCAAAAGAAAAGGCTGGCCATCAAGATCTATTTAAATTTGAAAAATATGCTATCAATTGCAATTAAGAGGTCAGATCTTTAATTTCTCTGCCCAATGATAACACCTGCCTGATCAGAGATGCTCCTACAGAAATGATTAAAGCAGCCTTACATTCAACTCTTTCATTAATCTTTAACTGACAAATGTTGTTTGTGTCTATTATCAAACTAATGTTGAAGAAACTCTATGCCTTAGATCATAATTACTCTCGTGGGACAAATGGAATTACTATATTTGTTGTGTGATGAACAAGTTAATTCTTAGCATACTTGCAGTACATTTATTCATGTTATTGCAAGAAGGAAAAGATTTGTTTTTAAAATGTTGTAATTAGCTGTATATCATGAAAAAATGTGCATTTCTTGATTAATATTTTTTGAAAGCTTACTGCATTCTGCACACATATTTGTATGAACTCCCTTCCTTAATTTTTTTTTTTTTTTAAATATCACCTTATTAAAAGGTAACAGTGAGTTTAATGAAAGGTGTCACACATCTTCTGCTTAAGATACATTATCTGTCCAAGTTTGATGATTCTAGGCCAAATAATTTTCCAGATATGAACCAGATAGGGTTTGCCATATCATCTTAATCTAAAAAGGTCACAGTGACCCTAACAACTTCTACTAAAGATGCATTATCTCTCCAAGTTTGATGAATTTTAAAGTTATGAACCAGACAGGGTTTTGCCATATCTTCTTAATTAAAGGTCACAATGACCTGAATGTAGTGCTGGACACAACTTCTACTAAAGATGCATTATTTGTCCAAGTTTGATGATTCTAAGCTAAATAATTTTGAAGTTATGAGCTGGACAAGATTTTTTCATATTTGGCCATATCTTCTTAATAAAAGGTCACAGCTAGTGACCTAACTTTTAAATGAGACACACCTCCTACCCAAGATGCATCAGCTGACAATCTTTGATGATTTTAAGCCTCTTAGTCTTAAAGTTATGAGCCGGACACAAATAAATTAACAGACAGACGGACAGACAAACAGATCGAGAGACATGATTGTAATACCATAATACATCCCATCATAGATGGGCATATAAAAATTACAGATGGACAGATAGATAGAAGGATGGACACAATATAAAATGTGATCAGAAAAACTCACTTTTACTTTCAGCTCAGGTGAGCTAAAAACTAGAAAATTATTTCTTTTTTTCATGTATCTGAAAAAAATTGATCAATGCAACAGTTTTTGTCCTAATGCAAGAACATCTAAGAATGAAAGAAATCTTAAATTAAAATTCAAAATCAATCTTGAATTAAAATTCAAATGACCACAAAAAGAAATAAACAAACATGATGTAAATCATTTAATTGATCAACAAACTGTAATGTGATTTTATTTAAAGTAGAAATGCTAATTAATTTCATACACGTAACATCACTTCTGCAACATATTTCTCTCCCTTTGGTTTTGTTATCTTTTTCTCTTATTGCCAAAATGTGTAATATTCATGTATAATTTACAAAGCTTCTCAGTCTACATATTAAGGGTGGATATATATGAAGCATACTTGGAGACACAACTTTTGATGATGCTAATAAATGATCTTAAAGTACACATATGAAGTGCAAAACAAGTTTCCCTGAAAAAACATGTTCATGCATTTGACACCATATTCATAACGATTCTCGTCGTTTTGAAACAAAACATAGAATTTGAATTTTTTTTTCCAATTTCATCAATTTTTTTACCATTCAAGAGGAACAACCCAAATTTAGATACTGAAAACAAATGGAGAAAATTATTACATCTGCATGGTTTCCATTCTCATATTTTCGTGTGTTCATACCTTTTTTTTTTAACCAAGTGAAGATTATACTGTAAACATATATTAATTTTCAGATTACATGTTTAAATCTCTTTTGTAAAAACCATTACTAGAATAACTTAATTTTAATAGGACAACCCCTCTTCACAAACAAAATTTCGTACACATCACATACAAAAACACTTGTTTCAAGGGAAACTGTAATGAAATCATGAAGCACCCGGCCAACAAAGCAGAATTAATCTATATTTGTCTTGATTGGAATCATTTCACCCTGATTTAGTAATGATAAATGACTGATAGTCTTCATACATGTACATGTTACAATAAATATAATGCTAAACGTGAATCATAGAAACAATTCATACTCCTAAACTGTTTAACACCCCCATCCTCCATAGAAGGACAAAATTTTGTTTTCTTATAGTCATCTGCTGGGCTGTACACTATTTTACATACTTTCATTATCTGTCTCAGTCTGTGGTCATGTACTAAAAAGATTAAATGGAGCCATGACTTATCCAGGGATCATGACAAAGTTTATGACTCAAGGATTTATATATATGTATACATGGAGTTAATAATCTCCAGTTTAATGCCCACTTTGTATTTCCTGATTACTAGTTCTCGTGTCTCTTTATGATGATAGTGCAAAGAATGTACATGATCCATTAGAAAAACACTCCATAATCAATTTTTAACATCAGAACATGATTAATGTACAAGTTTCAGCAGTAGAAAATGTAACTAAAATCAATATTACAAAGTAGCTTCAGGAAAAATATCTGATATTTCAGATAGTGAAAATGGGGATTTGTGTACCTACTACATTTAGATTATTAATAAAACTAAGTGACTGGTATTTTATCTACTGCCTAATATATAGGCAATTTTATACATTCCATCATGCAGTGTATAAATCTGAATTCTAATCAGCTGCTCTTTCTCTTCACATACATGCATAAAACTCTATCAATTTTACAAGAAGTACATGTATATGATATACAGTCAAACCTCCTTATCTTCAACTTGATTGTACCGAGAAAAAAACTTGGAAATATCCAAGGGTTTGAGATACTGAGATTTAAAATACTTAGGAAAAAGAGTTTGGGACTTCCAAATCACTTTGACATGCATGGTATTCGAGATATCCATGTTTGAGATACCAAAGTTCAGCTGTACTTCATGTAAAATTGATAAAGAGTGAATAAAAAAAATTTTGAAAAAGTATTCAGATACTGTAAATCAACTTTTATTTGCATGCGAGAAATATTCATGAGTTTGTGACCTACATTTACCTGCGAATACTAATCGCAGCGACCATTTATTTTGCTTTGTTTTGTAGAGAATGTTTTCCGAGTCGCGGAAATTAATCGTTGCAGATTGATTTTAAACTGACAAATCGCGAATAAAAGATGACGCGAATAATAGTTTGTTTTACTGTAAATCATGTCTAAATAGTACTTAAGCCTGATTACTTACAAATTTCTTCAATTAGATCTCATTTGTACTTAAAATTTATCAAGTTTTCTATATATAATGGTCTCTTTTATAAATTTAAACCTGTCTTTAAAATTTCATAAGTTGTAATTCCTCGATCTCTATTAACATAATTGACAAGTTCAAAGTATATATAGATTGTACATGCATTTTGAGACATATCTAAATGTACTTCAAGAAGCAGGATGAACTATTTGAATACAAGTAGTTGATTCCTTTTTTGCATAATGATGATGTGGTTACATGTACTCTGTAAACCATTTTTTGAAGTTCATTAAGTACAAGTTTCAAAAATAATTACTGTAAAAATATAAATACAACTGTACTGAATCAAGGATAAATACTTCACCCCCATCCAACCCACCACTCCCATATTTTTTTTTTTCTATAAATATACCGGTATTCATTCTTATTGAATCTAGTAACTACAAAACAAAACCTGCTTATGACATGTAAAAGCTTCCATTTTTTTCAAGTTAATTAGCACACAGATGTTTACATGTACATGTATGAGAACTTTGTAAGAAAAGCTTCTAAATGAAAGGTAAAACAAGGAATAAATATTAATTATATATTATGCATGTAGATGTCCTTCATTCTCACATGACATTTTTTCCAAGTACAAAAAATTAATTTAATAAATGTGCAATTAATCCTTGCCTTTCTTTAACACAATGGAGATATATATATAATATATATGTAAGGTATGTACAGAAACATTAACAAAATTTGTTCATAGTGTAGAACGTTCTCAATTCTCACACAGAAACACTTCAAACACAACAACAAGATCACTGAGTAGCTGTCCATAGCAACTGACACAGCAACAGGTAAACAATATGGCCACATTATAGAAAACTGCCTCCTTGTATCCACGTTTATGACATTAACCAAAAAACTAAAATGCACCATGAAGATTTCTAAGAAATCTAAGAAAATATACATTTAATTTTGAATGATTATACACAAAAGTTGAAGTAATAAAATAGTTAAAATGCTCAATTTATCAACATTACAAATACTGAATATAAACTCACTCCTGATTTAGCTATATTGATATCTAAATTGTTTTAGTTATAATCAAGGAGATTACAAACCTGTTAATATTTTATCAATATTTTCATTAAATTCATTTAAAAAAAAAATGTTATATATGTATACTATTAAAGACACTTGGACATTACTTGGTGGTGTTTTTTTTAATATACCAGCACATAGTTTTATATATTACATATCCTGATATGTAAACTCCCTGAACTGAATCCTTTGGTTAAACAAAGCCAATGACTAAATACAGTGATGTGTGCATAAAAATCATCACATTGTGATTCATCTGCATATCCTTTACACCTGAACAAATTCATTCTTATATCATGTATATCTATATAATCAAATACATGTAATTAATTATAATTAATTTGATGCACTAATCATGCATCAGTATCTTAAAAAAAACATAACTGAGTAATGTCACACACATGGATGCATGCAAGCAACTTATTTTCTATATATGTGGCCCACATATGTAAATGCTTCTAAAAAAAAAAATAAAAACTGAGATCTCGTTATGTAGCTGTCCATCGCGCTGACATACCATGACCCAGAGGAAATTCACAAAATGTGCATTGCAGAGGTTTTTCCAATGACAACACAATAATATATTCACATTTTTCACATATGCAAACTGAAATTTTGCAATAGCATATCTTCCTTCAAAATTTTTCTTCCAATCTTCCTTTTTTGAATTTTAGAAATCTTATTCCTGAAGTTCCTTTTTTTCTATATCCTCTTCTTTTATTTTCCTTTAATTCAGATAAAGCTTTTTTTCCAGTTGAGCTTAAACATTTCCTGGAATTGGAATTTTTTTTCCTTTTTGATTCTGTATAATTCTTTTTTTTTTCTTCTCCTTTCTTCCATGATCAGGAAAATTTAAATCCTAGCTCTTCTGCAGTGCACACAATTAAAAAAATCTTCTTTCAAAATACACTTGAAATATTGCTGATGATTTTCTAGAAAGCTGGACACAAAAACACTCCAAGTATTTTCTGTTTGATAGCATCGATCGAAAGAGATAGATGACAGGTACCAGTGATCTAAATATTTTGGTAAATTCATGGGTTGACACATCAAAAGGGTACTTGATCACAAGCTTCGTTCACCTTACTCTATACTTAAATCTTTTGTACTGAAAAATTTACTGACTTTAGAAAATTTAGAATACTTTGGAGTCAAAACTTTAAAAATACTGACAAATTAGGTGAAATATATGACATTTAAAACATATCTGCATGCAACAATTCATAAATTTCTTTGTAGCTCTAGGTATGTTAAGCAATTTAAGCTCTTTTTGTAAGCATCATGGTACATGTGTAAATAAATATTACTTGGGCATTTCATAGATTTTTTTTTTCATTTTTGAACTTTTTTTAAAACCTAAATGAGAAAACTTTTAATTTTGATTTAGTCCGGATGAGAGGATGCTGAAGCAGCTCGGATAGAAAGGGTTTTTGGCAGAGTGTCTTCTACAGCTTGCTTTTTGGTGATGATATACTTAAACCCTTCATACACAGACCACGAGATGGCAGTGGCGGGCATCTGAAATATCACTCGAGCAGTCAGTCCTCTATAAAACCCAGTCAGGCCCTGAAACTCATAAACTGTCCTAAAAGCAGATATCATGCCAGTGATATAAGATGCATGAGTCCTTGTGCAGCTCTCCTGTGTATTGAGGAGGGTTTTGCATACATCAAGTGGCATAGTCACTGAGGCTGCCACTGCGCCTGCAGCAGCACCAGAAAGCATATGAGTCACTGGACTATAAGTTCTCTCATGGTTTAGTAGATCTTGCATGAATTCATAAGTCATAAAGTGCACACTTTGGAAAGGGATGTTCATTGTCAGTTGTGTGGTGTAGCTTCTATAAAATGCAAGGATGCCTTCCTGTTTAAGAATGGCTTTAGCACAAGTTCTGCAGCTTGCATAAGGACTGTTGAATACCTGCATTCTTTGCTTTACCACTGAAAAACAAGATGTGTTTGTGAAAAGCTGATGCTCCCCATATGGCAGCTCATTGACAAGGTTCTATTTTTTCATATGTAAGTCAAACTCCAAGGTTAAAAATATTGGTACTCAAAGAAAGGTCTTGTCTCAAGAAAAAAAACCCACATGAAATATGAAAGTCCTAGCACCAACTGTTCAAAAGTTACGGATAAGGTTTAAAATTTTTCAAAAGTAGATGAGACTCCAAGCTCAAGATCATGAGGTCAAAAAAATGTTGGTACCCCACAAAAGGTCAAGAAATATGCATGTGAAATATGAAAGCTCTAGAACAAACCATTATAAAGTTATAGGCAAGGTTAAAGTATTTCAAAAGTTGGTCAAACTCCAAGGTCATGTGGTAAAAAATGTTGGTACCAAACAAAGGTCTTGTAATAAGGAATACACATGTGAAATACGAAAGCCCTAGCACCAACCATTCAAAAGTTGCCGGGTTGGTCCACAAAGTCCGTAGATTTTATTGCGACTATCTACATGATCTAGAGTAACTTCCTTTGAGTGCGCTCTTTTTCATGGAAGTTTGATTTGATCCAATACGTACTACAACTACTGAAGGCGGCCCCAAGACCTCTCACTGAGATTGGTTTCCTGCTATTCCAAATGTTTCCTTCTGTTGAAAGTCTTATTGAAAACACTGAATACTAAGTGTTCATAAGTTATGGGTAAGGTTAAAGTGTTTGTGGACAGACAGACAGACAGACCAAAAACTATATGCCCACAAAATTTTCAATTACATGTATATGATAGAAATAAGCAATATATGAATATCTGCAATTATCCTTACTTTACTTTTTTTTTCTCTCTCTAAACTACACATTGGTTCAGTGATTGGGAAGAGCTTGCGCCACGCGCCATAGTCGCATTGAAGTGAAAATTGGTGCATTAAATCAACCATTGGTGGCGCCAAGGTGCGCATTCAAATTTTAACGATATTAGTTGGAAATATATTACGATCGACTTTCTTGCTTGTTTTACTTTCGTTTTAAATGCAGTCAGTTTAAAACAACAAATCTTATTGGTTAAAACCCGGCAAAAACTGCTTCCTGTTACATGAAGCGCTATATTTAGGAAAACAAAGGTACATTTCCTCACTCATTTCCAATGTTTAATTGAAATTTTGACGTTATTAACCCAAATTATGAGAAAATTATAGTGTTTGCGGGTTCTTTTAAATGTGCTACACTGCAAATGTAAAAAAAAAAAAAAAAATTTGGTTAATAAAGAAACGCGTTTCCTTTCGTATTTCACGTTTTTCATTTTGTTTTTTCTTAAAATGGCCCCTCAGAATATATAGATGGCCCATTCACTTTCAAAATGGCCCATTAAAAACATTGACAGTTGCGCCATAGTCCCTTTGACCTTTATGGCCTTCCCAATCACTGTTGGTTCATGAGGAATGTCAAATAAATTAATGTATATCAATTGTTTCAAAAATATGTTGTGACATACTGTCACATACAACACTTATTCAATCATTTCCACTAGATGCACATGTACAGATTAAAATAAGGATAAGTTCAAGGGAAAGATCAAGATTAATAATTTAAAGCTCTCACATAAATGCATTTAAAAGAAACCTTCCAGAGTTCATGAAAATGTAGAAATAAAAACCTTAAGGTCAAGGTTATGGGAAGGGGGGAAGACAGGGTGTGTGAAGAGTACATATACAAAATTTCAGCATTGGTAATATGCACTTAATAAGATTTTTTTCCCCTATAGGTAATTGAAGGTATCACTGACAAAAATCTAAAAATTTATGAGGTCAAGGCCAAACTTTGCAGCATAATTAACTTACTCTTACTAAAATGTTTCAGCATATTTGTAAGATGAATCAAAATATATATATATTACAGATTCTTATGAAATGAACTACAAGAAACATAAGACAGAATGTATATATTATGAGTACATGTAGTTATATCAAAGGAGTTTGTAATCACTTGCAGGTGCCCTCTAGTAATCACTCTATATGTCATTCCATTTTTTCTGAAACATTTACATAATTTATCAACGTTATCTGATACACTGTTTCAGCAGGTAGTGGTATCTTCGGTTTCAATTTTAATAATATTTATTGTAAATCAAGTACACTTTTTGATATAATAGAAATCTAATTTGTAAATTTTAAGCCAAGGGAGATAAATCTTTGACTCACCATCAACAGGAACCATCACAGAATCGTGAAGCAATGTCGCCACTGATCCAGCTACACCTACAAATATATAAACATAGAGTGATAAAAGATTACATACACTAGTGTAAATTTTCTTGATTAATGCCAGCTATGAGACCAAGTCTCACTATATATGAATATACATGTCCAAAATTCCTCATTGCTAAGCATTTAGTTATTCGTCTGGAAAATACAGGACTCATTAGTTATCATATACCACACACTGGACTTTGGCAAATGAACAGATAATAGTTATTTCCTCAGGTAAGAAACAAATCTCCAAAATCTGCATGTTTATCTTGAAAATAAAGATCTATAACAAATGTATATGCAGTCAAAAGTATAACTGTCAGATAATGCATTCTCAACACACATTCTTCCTAGATGCATTATTCACAATAACACAATGTAGATAATGTAGGGTTTTGAATTCTTTGACAAATGAACATAGAATGAATACTTTAGTCAATTATTCAAAAATTATTAAAAAAAATTCCTATTATATGCAAAAATTGTATCTCTGTCTCAATTGATCTTGCTTTAATGTATATTTCTGGGACTGATTTTGAGATATTAAATTAAAATTAAACTAAAGAATTAAGTAATAATGATTTTACAGGACTTTCAATAACGGGAGGCAGGAGGCAATTTTTCACCATTTCAATGATCAGAATTTGCCCCTTCATATTTCATAATTCGCAAAATAAACTATTGGCAATAATTCTAAAACAGCCTCTTCAGATGAATAAAATCACCTCTTCATTTCAAAATAATGAAAAACCCTGATTTTAGATTTGTCTATCTCAATTCTAAATATATATATATATGGTCATTACGACCCATCAGAAAACTCTGCAACTGTCCAGTCTGAAATGTAGTAGGTAAGTTTACAGTTTTACTACATTATGTATGTTTGCCTCTGCCTTCTTTACAATTACTGCATATATATTTCAACATGCCAATAATTATATTTAACACCTACCATGAACAATATGGTTGCCCTTCTGACCCCCACTAAGAGTTTTTTTAAGATATTCATAACATGCAAAGTAGAATGCATGTGCTGGTCCTGCCCCTATCACAACTATAGGAGCTCCTTTCATTGTTCTTAGTAACCCCTCATGGCGAATAATGGTGTTAAATGCATCCACTACACTGCGATAGTCAGCCTTTGGATCTGGCACCAATGATTGCATACGTGTCTGAAAAAAGAAAGAATGTAAAGGACTAAATGTAGCTACAATTTCACATAGAAAACCTATGGCTTTAAAAGATACATTTTGAGTTAAAACTATTGGCTTGTTACAATCATATTGTGACAGTCATTTGATCTCTAATAAATCATATCTCATCATGGAGCATCTATATGTTTAGACTTAACATTTTAAGCAAATCAACACATTTAGATAAAGTTATACAAGTTTTCCCAAATTCTGACCCCTCACACATTATCTCTTTGAATCTTGGCAGAATTGAAATCATGTCAACATGGTCACAGTGGAACTATACCTATGTAGATTAATTTTCCATCCCTATTAGGCTCTATTGGTAACACTTCAACATGTCTTGCATATATTATCTTTTTTTGTCTACACCTTCTCACCCCAGCTCATAGAATTCTTATGTACCCTTGAGATTTCTGCATTTCATAATTTCTAAAATACACCATCAATTAGCATGTCTGTGGTGAACTACTTCTAGTATGCATATCAGAAAGAAGATAAATTACAAATATTTTAAATTCAATTAATGGTGAATAGTTGAAAATTTACAACCCACTAATTTAACACACCCACAGGAAGCCCGTTACGCAATATACCATATGTAACGTTACACAGACCTTTAAGTCTCAGTGAAAGAAAACAAAATTATGAGCAAGACATGCCCTTTGCTTGCTTCCTAGCCCGTATTTTACTGTAACACACACCTTGACACAGTCAACAGGGTACATAACACTGTGCTCCAAGACACCAGCTGCCGATCCAGCTAACATATGCGTTGTCGTGGTTGAAGTACTTGGTAGACTCTCATATGGATCGTCGTAGTCCATTGCATATGTGAGCCTTAATTACATATGCCTCAAGTATACCATATGAGAATAAAACTTTTCACACTAAACAATAATACAATTCACTATCTATTTCTTCGTTTAGCCTCTTGTTCTCAATTTTGGTCACCCTTTTCCCTCTGCCATGCTTGCAAAAACACTGTAATATTGAAACCGGATACGTGATCTTCGGAAAATGATAGATTTAGAGGTCATTTAAAAATGTTATGTTAGAAGCTCATTGTTTATATAGGTGAGGAAAAATTTAAACATTTCAAGTATAAAATGAATGTTTTCAAAATTAACGTATAATTCTAAAGTAAAATATGAAAATTAGTTTTACAGAAACTAGAAAGTGAGCAAATTATTAACTGTTAAATTTCAATCTGAATAATTTTTCGAGGTAATCTTTTTTCTTACATTCAAATACTCTTGATTAAGCTCATTTCTTATCTGTTTTCAACTGAAAATGACTTATTCTGTTTGCATTGTAAACTTTTGGTTAATTTTTGCATCGGGCTCGGATGACAGTAATAGAGGGCGCTTTTGATAGCGGAAGCTAGATTATCGGCGGAATTATCGTTATTGAAATGAATGAAAAAGAAAATGCCATAATCTTGATGTTTTGAAGTATTTGATGATACGCAAATATAAATAGAATTATATTGGAAATGACAAAACGAAAGGTAAATCGTATCTCAACTCATAAATTTAGATGGCTTTTAGAAAAAAGTTGTAAGAAGAGAGAAAAATTCACTTAGCTTGCAAAATTTTAAGGTTTTGGTTATCCAGAGAAATTAACTGTATTTTTTGACATTGGAGATGCAGATTTCCTCTCTTTTCAGTGTGTAATGTCACTTCCTGAAAGCAAACATTTCACACTGGGATCAAGTTAACTATTTACAACCCTATTAATCCGTTAATTTCTCATTAACTAGACAGGTCCAGCACAATCTCTTGATTTAGCTTGAATTAGCTATATAGCTTTTTAAAACTATTCAGAATAGCTTGATAAAGCTATTTTAATGTAGTTTTTCAGAAAAAAATGTTTTTGTAAGAAAAAGGCAAAAAGTCACGAGTATTTGCTTATTCATATAATGTACTTAGCACTATCTAAAATGCAACCCGAATTAAAGATAGTTCTAACATTGCAGCTTTTGAATACTTTGGAGCAAAACAAGTATTTCCATTTTTGAATAACTGTGACCACTTTGTCACAGACTTGTGTGAATTGAGGCTTGGAAAAGTAGGGATTGCTTCAAATTGTGCTTGAATTATTACCAATCAAGTATCCTACATAATTCCATTCAATTGCTTTTATATATCCCCAAAACTTGAATAAGTCTCTAAAGGAGATGTAATTTGAAGAGCAATTTTTACATGCATTGTTTTCAGAAGAGTTTAAAGTTGTATACTATAACTGTACCAGTGATTCATTTTGAAAATGGTTATCATGGGTCCAGAGGACCCCTCTTTATGACAACAATGAGTCCCGTGCCAAAATCAATGCATCCAAATCCAAGGGTACCGTATATTAGATGTTACAGAGGAAATTCTGGTGAAATAAAAAAGGTATTGCACGAAAGTGCTAATGTTTTATTGTAGGTGTGAGTGATTTATACTTTTACTATCAATTGTCCAAGATTGTACGTCATTTTGTATCATAAAAATAATATATTGTCCACTGTGCACTTTGGTTCTGTTTTTAGATCGTACATACAATCTCACACATTGTATCAGTCATAAAATGCACAAAAGCAGAATGAAGTTTAAAAAAGTTTAAGAAGAAATGAAAAAGAGTCGGAAATAAAAATGATTAAATTTTATACTTCTTAGCTTGTAAGGAAAAAACGAAAAGAAAAAAAACAATGATACAGGTTACAGCTTATTAATAAATACAAAGGTATAGTATTCGTTTCAGAAACATTCCACGGTATAGACATAATCAGTGATAATCGAACTATGCTATCTAACTCTCAAATATTTTCTGATAATTCTTTTAACTGCAGTTGTGAAATCTGACCTGTTGTTGGCAACCTTGTACCTGTTAAAATCGTTCATGCATATCGCTTAGCACGTGAATATGATGCAATCGGTCAAGTTTTGAATCAGATTATACCGAAATAATTTTAAATAGTACATGTCCTTCTATAAATTATTGCGTCCATTGGGATGCACATTTATGGAAATAATGTGTCCTGGGCAAAATTTGTGCGTAATTTATGCAGGACGCACACCAAAATGAATCACTGTGCACCCAATTGTGACTTTTTGTGCATGCTGAAAATATAACGCATTTAAAAAGAGGGTGGTAAAATAGCTAATTCAAGCTATATAGCTAAATCAAGAGATTGTGCTGGACCTGCTAGATGTTAGCATCATTTGGCCCCTTGTAAATCATAAATGCTAGAATATTTTCCTATTTACTATTAAACTAAACAAGTTTAAGAATTGTTCAAATGAGTGACTAACTTTTGTAGGGCATTCTGTAGATAGAATGTCCTAATCGTTAAAATGATATGAATCTGATTCTTATTTTTAAATGAAAATGCAAAATATTCTTCACTGAGAATATTAAAAATAACCATGTAATGACAAATTTTAAGAAAATTGAATATATAGTAAATACATCATTTCAGAGAGCAACAAAAGACTCCTCCCTATCAGAGGAGAGTGAGGGCTCCATGGGGGATAGTGAGGCAGAGAGCGTCACAGAGGCCAGAGTTACAAGGAGGTCTGCAGCAGGTAAAGATTTTCTATAAAAAATAAATCTTGTTGGACTTCTGGAATGGAAGTTCATCCTTTTCTTTTAGGTAAGCTAATTTGTTCATTAGTAAACACTTAGAAGTTTTCAAGTAAAACTAGCCTGAATTTTTTTTCTGTGCCATTTCTAATGTTAAAAAGATTGAGAAGGTGTTAACTTCCCTGGTTATTAGGTTTCACTACCACTCTCTTTTATAATGGCTAATTAATTGTTTTCTGTTGACATCAGGCCTGAACTCTCCACCTCCACCAGCACCACCAAAGAAAAAAAGAAAGCCCAATCTTTCGGAGTCCTTGTCTGAATCAGAGAGTGAACTCCCACCCACCAAATCAAGTCGCAGCAAGACAGGCAGTGTGAAGAATAAGGGCAAAGCAAGCAATTCTCGTTCTAGTGGGAATTCTAGTGATTCAGATAGAGGACCAAGTGACAATAGCCCTGGAAAGGGAAAATCTGACTCTGGTAAAAATAGCAAGGGAAAAGATAGGCGAAGTGGTAAAAGTGAAAAAACTTTGACACCAAGAGGAAAATTTGGTCAAACTTCAAGACAAGGAAAGTCCTCTAAAAAGCAAACAATGGAGTCGTCCTCAGAAGATGGGCTGATGTCTATATGGACAGAGAAGAGGGCCACACCTAATATGGACTATAACGAGAGTAATGCTAAGTGTCCACTACCTGGTTGTGATTCAAAAGGTGTGTGGTAGTATCTTAAAGAGAAGTGTTCAAGTCATAAGATTGTATTTGCAGTTATTATTTCACTTATTTGCACTTATATATTCCAAGCGTGTATTTATTTTATGAATGGAACAGTTTTGAATAGTTGCGAAAATTCCCCAAACCAGGTTTACTGATAGTGATTTTATTTTCAATTTAATTATAGATAGTAACAAGCAACATAATTTGTCTGTGGTTTAAAGAGTAATGAAACATTCAACAAATTACACAAAGATTCTGTTAATATGTTATAGTATAACCAAAACTTGAAAAACTATGGAAGGAATGCTCTCTTATTATGCTTTTAGCACACAGCCAAATTTAAGCCATATTTTAAGTTGAAAATCTTTTTTTCCCTACAGTAAAAAAAAAAAAAAGCTGAATGCATGAAAGAAAAATTATAACAAATTAAAATCTATAGAATATGCAATTAAGCACAGCTTGAAAATATTTTAATGTTTAAAAAAATCAATTTTTTTTTAAATAATTGAAGAAAAAAATACCATTATTTTAACAGTATCAAGTACATGTATATAACAAGCTTATTCCAAAAATTTTTAATGTCAAATTATCAATTGACAAGGAACTGCCAACAAATTTCCGAAAAATTCTATATTAAATCAAATACAGCAGCTTTTGTCCTTAGAGTTGGGAAAAAACCCAAAGAATTTGACTCTTCTGAAAATGAAGATGTCTTTAATATCAGTAAGTGTTGATGTTAGCTTTTTTTATGGTCTACATGTGTCACAAAGTAGAAATTTGTGTTTAGGTCATTTGACTGGAAGACATGAAACTCACAGGACATTAGCATCCTGCCCTTTATACCATAACACATCTGCAGATGAATGCAAGGTATCTCTTATGTTATATATGCAAGTGGCAGAATATTTTGCAAAGTTAACATTGCTCTAAAATTAAAAATCAATTTGTACAGTAGTTATTTTTCTTACACTTCCCAACTGAATTCCAATTAATGCTAAATTTTTGGAATGAAATCTATTCAGTCAATAGTGTTTGTTTGTAATATTAGTATTTTAGTGAAATACCCTATGTGCAAGTTTTTTTTTGTTTTCCATACAGAAAAAATATGATGAACGCCAGAAGCATCAAGAGGACAGAGAAAAATTTCTAGAAAATACTTCAGGAAAGAGGGACATGAGGAGACTGGTACGACAGCCAAAAAAATTTGATATCCTCTTTGAAGTTCCATGTTTTTTTTATTATACTGTTACTAAATTTCCTATTGTGCCTAAATCTTTCATACAAATTAAAACATCAATGTGTGCTACAAAGAAACTATGTTTTACTTTAGTTTTGATATTGAGTAACATAAGATATCTTATAAACACTTTTAGGTACAGACAAATGAACAAAAAGTTAAAGTCCGTGCAATCCGAGATGAGAGGAAGAAGTTCAAGGAGGTTTCCGAGGACCTGAGGAAAAAACATCGACAACACAAGGAAAATTTTGAGAGGGCAAGGGAGCCCCTCCTCCAGGGTCTGGCATCTAAGAATGATCTAAAACTGTTCAGAGAGGCTCAGGCCAAGGCTTGTGAAGTACTGGTAAGGCAGTCTTCTTTCTAAATTTACTTTTATATTTTGGGGGTAAGGATTGGGGAGGGGGGTATTATTTCATTTGAATGTAGTTAATGTTATTAATTTAATGTGAAGACACACACTTTTCTTTTGATGTGAATATTTAAGAGTCAATCACAATAATCTTATGGTTTTCTTTCCTTATAGGTAATCTATGTTTCTATTTTTATTTAATGCAGGAACATGAGATAACCACCCATTACTCCAGAAATGACCTTCAGGAGTATAGAATTAAGAAGCTGGAGATTGGAAGATACGAAATGTCCACATGGTATTCAAGCCCATATCCTGAAGAGTATGCACGCTTGCCCAAGATCTATCTGTGTGAATTCTGTCTCAAGTACATGAAAACTGCTACAATTCTCAGGAGACATATGGTAGGTTTAGGATATTTTAATCTTACCAAAGATTTGGCTTGTTTCCCTTTTACTTTATTTTGATATCTAGTAACTACACATAAAATATTAATTGTATTTTGAATGTAAGATTTTCAAAGAATGTGGGTGAAAAGTTGCATGTTTTTCTCTATTGATACTGTATGTCAGTGTTAAATTGTATCACTGTGATAAGATAAATATCTTCTCTTTATCTGATTGCATTAAACACCATTTCAGGCCAAGTGTGTATGGCGACATCCACCTGGAGATGAAATTTACAGAAACAAAAACATTTCAATGTTTGAAGTGGATGGTAAAAGAAACAAGGTAAAAAAAAAAATAATAATGTTTCAAGATTAATTTAAAAAAATGGCAAATAATGCCAAGAAGATAGATAAAACTTTATAAAAATTGTAATATAATACATTAAACTATTTGTAATGTATTATAGGTGTACTGTCAGAACCTTTGCCTACTGGCTAAGCTGTTTCTGGACCACAAGACACTGTATTTTGATGTGGAACCATTCCTGTTTTATGTTATGACGGAGAATGACAATCATGGATGTCACATCATTGGTTACTTCTCAAAGGTTTGTTAGTATTCTCATAATTCCACAGTGTCTTGAATGTTTAAATTATTTCTTATTTATAAATATTGTCAATAATGATTCTTTTAACAGGAGAAGAACAGTTTCCTGAACTACAATGTGTCCTGTATATTGACCCTTCCTCAGTACATGAGACAAGGATATGGCAAAATGTTGATAGATTTTAGTAAGTACTCTGCAACAAAACCCACAGACTATTAATAATGAGACAGTGCCTCATATCAAAGAATTGTCTGAAATCAATATATTTAAAGATAGATGTATTTTGGAGGTATGAAAATGATAGTAGAAAACTGTATTTTCGTTCAATACACTTAGAAATTGGAGAGTATCTGTGTGTATTTAGCATATGTGAAATGGAGTTGTATGGATTTTTACAGGTTATTTATTGAGTAGAACTGAGAACAAAATAGGCTCACCAGAGCGTCCGCTGTCAGATCTGGGTCTCATTAGCTACAGGAGTTACTGGAAGGATGTACTGCTAGGTTATCTACACAAATACCAAGGGAAAGAAATCTGTATTAAAGGTAGAGAACAAACAAATAACTACTCATCTACATGCATTTTGGCTAGAAAAAATGAGAGAAAAAAAGTTATATAGATACATGAATATCTAGATTCTTAAATTACATGTAGGTGATTATGATTTGATACTAAATATGAAAGAAAGTCATTAGTTAAATAAACAAATGATGCAGTGTGTTAAATTTTCAAATCTTGTTGCATGATTGATATGCTAATCTTTACAATTATTAAATATGGTGACTTAAGTGTATGTAATATTTTTCTTTGGTAGATGTGAGCCAGGAAACAGCCATTAATGCTAATGACATCGTCAGTACTCTACAAGCACTGGGCATGTTAAAATACTGGAAGGGAAAGCATCTAGTCCTTAAGAGACAGGTAAATTTTTTCAATATTCTGTTTCGTGGGATAAACATGTAAAGTGTATATAACTTCATGCACATGTAATCTAAGGTCACACTACTGGTTCTTTTTTTTATTATTATTATAATTATTCCTATTAAGAATTTGTCATTGAAGTATTGTTACTTTTACAAGTTTTGCAAACAAAAAATTGAGGAACATTACCAGGAATTTGTGCAAGATACTAGAGGATTGTGATTTCTATGTGATCCTGCTGGAAAGTCATTTGAATTGCCAATATCCCAGTATTTCATGTATATATATTATAAAAAGAGATGAAAGATTAATTGATTATCAGTTGATATAATGATTTTGTTTTGTAGGATTTGATAGAAGAATTCTTGGATAAGAAGGCTAAAAAGCCCACAGATAACAGAGCCATTGATTCACATTGCTTGAAATGGATACCCCATTCTAAAAGGACACAGCCCCAGCAAGCGTGAAAAAGAAGACTTTGCAAAAGATAGGGCGTGGGGATGTCTTCAAAAACACTGGTGCCATGTTCTCATGTTTTAACTGTGTTGTTATTCAAGATAAACCATATGTTTATGTTAGTCTATTTATGTGTATTATTCCTATTGAAAGAAAGAAAAATATGAACCATTTAAGTTTTATGTTTTGAAATTTGGTAATAAATTAATTACTTGTTCACTTTGAAAGAAGATATAACACAATTATTATCCCAAATGTGATATACATGTATTTCCTGGTAATTTGACCTTGTGAATTCACCTGTTTGTATCACTATATTTGTTGATAATGATTCCTGAAACAAAGAATTGAGAATCTCATTTTTATGTCGTGCATTTTTTATTCTGACATGACTCACTGATAAATGAGGTTTTGTGTGTTTATCCTCTCTGACAACTTGTATCATATCTATTAAAGAAATTTGAAGTAGTGTTTTAAGGTCCTGTTATAATGCATCAATGTGCTTTCACTTTCATAGATCCTTTGTGTACCATGTAGTGAAAGAACAAGGATTATGTTCTTACACTGTATGGCAACTGTTGTAAATATTTATCTTCATAAATTCTATTTAAGGGGGCCAACTGGGGTTTTCATTGTGCAATACTTCGCGCAGCATAGTAAAATAAAGCGTATTTACTCTTTAAAGCAACTAGTTTTACATAATTTATAAAAAATAACTAATTTAGGAAATATGAGGTCAAAAAATGTAATTACGTTTTTAATTAACTGATTTTTTTTAACGATTTTTCAAATAATGGGTAGAAAGACGTCGTAATAGTGTGTTTTTGACGTTATGAATAACCGAATTTCTTTAAGCGGGGTCATTAATTATGCCATAAAATAAAAAGTATAAAATGTATGCTCTTGGAATTTTAAACATAGGAAATTGAGAATATAGCAATCATTGTTACTATTTTTTATGTAAATCTGTGGTATCTGTCATGTTTTGTTTTACTCCATAAAAAGAGGAAAATATCATGAATTTTGAGATGCCCCCTCTGGAAACCAGACGGTAGAATTTTGTGTTTCTTGCACAAAATGTACAATATAGTATTACCCATCAAATAATAAAATTTGAGCAAAAAGTCTATAGTAGTATTTGTATAATTTGCTCCGAAGTGCGAAAAAATGGTATTTTCCTACATAATCCTATAGTAAATGTACCCATATTTTGAGACGGTCCCTGAAAAATAACCAGACGGTAGATTTTCACTAAACTTAGCATGTATACTGAAGTCAATGTAAGGTATATAGGGTATAAAATTAAAGAGTTTCTTTATAGTAGTTTTCACACAATAAAACCCCAGTCGGCTCCCTTAAAGCATACATTAATACATTTATTGTACATATTTTGTCATCTTATTTTGTAAAAATGATGTTTTCCCAACTAATTTAATGCCATTATAAAACTTGAATAGTGTTCATTGACTTATGTTTTTATATATGTTTAAAATAAATAACTTAATGACATGCATCCTTTTTTAAGCTATGAAAAGAAAATTAATATTGAAAAAGCATAATTTTTTTTCATGAATTAAATTTTAACCTGCTTTACATCTGTGAAATATCACTGGTAGACTTTTTTTCCCTTTCCTTAAAACTTTACAGAATATTGAAAAATGTGACAATAAAATTGAATAAGTAAAATTTGAGTTGTTTTTCTGCCTTGTGAATTGGAACCAAAGATTTACCAGTACCATACTTCATTTTTTTCAGGATTTATTATCTAAGTACTAGCTAAAATAGTAATATTCATACATGTACAGTGAAACCTGTCTTATCCGACATGCTGCGGGAAATAAAATCAATGTCGGATTAGACAGTGTGTCGGATTACCCAGTGTTGAATATTTCTGAGTGTTATGATTGGTGTCAAATGACTTCAAAAACCATTTTTCATTAGGTTTAGAGTACACGTGTATTTAATTGTCAAAATGTTTGCATAATTGTGTCTTTCTTTGTTGTATGAAATATAATACCTTCGTCAATTAGCATTTCTTTGAGCATTAGTAAACTCTGTAGTAATATACGATGTTTGTTTTTTTAATGGACAAAACAGATGGAACTGCCGATCGCTTCGAGATGTTGCAATTTAATTTTTAGCATTTTACTCAGGCAGTAGATGGTTAAGTAAATATTTCGTTTACATGTACCTTCTTTACATAGTGGTATTATTTTTTTTTCTACACTACATTTCTCTCCGAATTTTCTACACTGTTTACCTCTCAACATAGACTGTGCTTTTAATACCGTCACGCGACTTTTCATATAAACCGGACGTAACTCTAAAACATTGTGATTTTTATCAAACAATCGTAATATTTTAAAATTGAATGGGCAACTTAAAGCGGTATTTTTGCTTCCGGCAAATCCTTTATGTGCACAGCCTTGCGTAAGTCAGTGTATATTAACCCTGAAATGAAACTTTTTCTTTTAGACAAGATGAACCATTCAACTTGTGTATTGTCTACATGTTACGTTCGCCGTACTCTTTTTTTTTTCGGGACATGGCTTTATGAAGGACTGACTGCATGTTTGATTTTAATTTCAAGCTAAAAATCTTAATGTAATCAAAATATCATGTACTCTTTTTATTTTCTGTCGCGTGGATGTTATTTCTTAAATGCGAGAATAAAACTGATAACAACAAAGAGAATTGATTGCCTATCTTTTTTAATTTAAAAACTGATCATTTAACGCTTACATAAACACTTTCAAACTTACATGTAATTAACTACTCTCTAAGTAGACCAATCTTGTGGCCAAACGGGACATTCATGTCACCTGGCCTGCGGCTTATTACGGAACACCCGTGTAATTATGTCGGATTACCCAGGTGAAATCATAATGTAATTATCTAGTTTTGATGACAAAAAAGCGCCGGAATTCGGAATGTACAGTGGTCGGAATATACAGTGTTTTGTTCTATATAAAATTTAAAGAAATTTTTGGGAATAAAATATTAGGTCGGAAAGTCCAGTGTGCCGGATTGCACAGTTGTCGGATTGGACAGTGGGCACTGTATTTCAATATGAACATGTATGTATGTATTTAAAAATTGACATATATATATATATATATATATATATATATATATATATATATATATATATATATATATATATATATTAGGGATGTCAAATCGGTCAATTTTTGATAATCGGTTACTCGGACGTTTTTCCGATCGAGTACCCGGGTACTCAGTTAAAAATGCAAATACAAGTGTGTTAATTTTATTGAGCCCCGTTAAGCTCTGTTAAACCCCAAAGCTGTTTTTATCACGTTTATAAATGCATATAAACATCGATTCCAACGGAAATGATTTTTTGGTAGTAAATTTATTTATCGAACACAAAAGACACAATTAATACATCAAAAATTACAAATGGTTTACTGTTCTTGATTAGCACATATTTCATCAAAAGGAGGAAAATCTGTTACGCATGACTAGCGAAAGAGCACAGGTGCTTGGGGATCCCCCCCCCCCCCCCCGAGAACTGTTCTCTTTTAGTAACAGAGAGTTTGAATTTTTATAAAAGGCTAGTTTTAGGTTAAGTTTTGGATTTTTTTTAAATAGTTGTAATACTTTGTGAATGTGTCAAAGAAAAATATTTTATTTAAAAAAGTCAAAAAACCCTTGGGGTACGGAACACGGTGGAGGGCGTCCCCCAAGCACCTGTGCGAAAGAGAAGGTATGGCCGTTGTTGGGATCACTAGTCTAATATTATTTCATACGTTGATGGTTTCCCCCGTATACACTAAACTTACTACGCAAACTGACTTTCAACATTTTTTTGAATCTTTAGTTATTTCTAAATATATCTTCACTTTTGAAGTTGGTAGCGGCATTTCTATGCATGTCCTATTTCACTGCCGTATATTAACTAAATAATTTTAAAATGATTTGAAGATAATAGACCTTCGATGTTCACTGAAAACAATCATTGAAGCCATCCAAAATTAAGTACCACAATAGGTGAGAACAGCTGGGCGATTGGTCACTAATTAATGAAAATTCACAGCCACAGGCGATAACGGGTGTTTTACAGGTGTAAATGACGACACGCAAATTACCGTATGCATATTTATGTTATTTTTGATTAGTTTTTGATAAAAATATGTACTTTGAAATAAGTAAAAATACACATCCGAGTAACCGAGTACCATTTTTAGTATTCGATACTCGGACGTTCGATCGAGTACCCGGTTAACCGGGTACTCGTTGACATCCCTAATATATATATATATATATATACATATATATATATATATATATATATATATATATATATATATATATATATATATATATATATATTATACCCTTTTAAATATCTTTCTATATAATGGTATTAATTACAAATAAAAAGTCAAACAAAGTAAATGTTTTTTTTTCATCGGTCTAACAATTTCATTGTTGACCAGTCTGTCAGTCCAACATAAGAATTGTTAGACTGCAACGTCACTGCTACATCACAAGTAATCAGTCAATTTCAATATCAGCGACATGGAAATAGCCGAAGTTTCAAGAGTTACTGCGTATGCTATTTGAAAGATGGCGTCACGGGAAAAAAAATGTTTTGTGATAAATAATTTCTGTGTTTTAATAATTTTTTTTCATTTTTCGTTGTCATTTTTATTGAAAAAGCCAAAATATTACTTATAAAGAAATTGTTTAATTATATGAGTAAATCTGTTTAAAAGTTTTAATATTAGTGTTCTATCTAAAGTGAAGGGTATAACAAAACAGTTATAGACTGGGTATGAGGGCAACATAAGATTTGTTGGACCTGAAGGTGAAAATGTTGCCCTTGGCCTGAGGCCTCGGGCAACATTTTCACCTTCAGGTCCAACAAATCAGATGTTGCCCTCATACCAAGTCAATAACTGTATAATATATATAGCTTTTGCATCCCTTAGGGGAAGGCAGTGCCCTTAAAATTGGGAAAAATAAATACGTGACTTTTTGAGGAATTCTAGAAAATGCATAATAAAACATATTTTGGGTGACCTGGTGTTTGGGTTTAGCATGTAAATGCACATACTTGTATATACATAACACTTTGGGAGGCTATTCCAATGATTTTTTTGATTAAGAGTGTTTTTATTTATTGTTAGCATTCCAGTGGTTTGCATTTATGTAAACATACATTGTGCCAAACAAAAAGACCTCCCCCCTTTCAAAATTTTCTGGATCCCCCTTGCAGTGTGTATCTGATAATTTTTATCTTACAATTTAATTTAATGAAAGACTGAATGGGTCAAATTTTTAAGATGAAAAAGTTTAATATGTGTCGGAGATAAAAAGCAGTAATCACAATAAAAAGTGGTTTTTCAAGGAATCAAGGGAGATAACAAAATTTTTTCATAACTATGTTACTTGTTGTGAACTGCAATTTCATTATGCTTTCATATTTGACTTCAATTTTCTTAAAACTAGAAGAATATTTGTAACAGCAGAAGCATCCTGTAGCAACAGAAATACTTTTTTCCCTATCATTTGAGATCTTATTCGTAAAAGATGTAAATTTTGATACTTTTAACCTCTAGGAGAAACAAAATCAGTTTGCTATATCCATTAATTTGTTACATCAGTGTCCGTAAAATTTGATAAGCAATTGTTAAGATTGTAGCAAAGGATCTCAAAAAAACTTTCCAATATTTGTAAATTGGCTATATCCGTGTTCGTACTGAACAAGTTTTACTGTGCAACTCCTTTTATTCCCGAAGAAGTATTGTACCTTATAGCAAGTACAAAAATGGTTAATATATGAATAATCTTTCTCTGAAATCAGTTTTGATGTTGTTAACTTTTTAATTTCAGGGGGAAAAAATTCAGTCACAGCAAAATGCTTCAATTTATTGCAAGTTGTTCTTATTTGCATGATGTCTAAGTAATCTATGCACTGAATACAAATCTGAGTACATTGGAAACTTCAAATCGTATTGTGAATCATTATCAATAAGATTTAAGTCAGAACTATAGAAACAGAAACAAATATCTATTAGAAGAAAGAATTAAGTAATAATAAATGAAATTAATTTAAAAAAAACAACTAAAATTTAAAGCCGAAATGGACAAAATTCCAAAGTACTCAGAATCTGGATTAGACAAATTATGCTGTATTTCCATGGTTAACATAGAGATGGACATGAGTCTTGTATTTAATTTTTTCACAATAGCACCTTTCATGAAAGCAGAATTAACCTAAAATTACAGTACTAAGTTCATTTGTGTATCACCAGACGCCTCGAACAATTGTTTTGCCAACTTCTGTCTGTGGCTAATAATATATTGCACATTCACAAGTCCCACATGCATCATAATTAATTCATAACAATTCACAGAGATTGGAATCATGTTTGGGAAGCAGTGCCTCTTTAGTCCAGTGTAGAACTGTCCTGATAAAATTCCTGGCAGGACATTGATATCCCCCTCCTGATAAGTATGCTGCACAGGTAAAGGTGTTCCCTAAAGGTCAACAAAATGTTATAATAAGTGGTTGCTAAATTTCAGAATCGATTATTTCTGGCATGTTTATATTTTAAAGAAAATTTAAGATGTTTAATAACTGTACAAATTGTTTTAAGTCTTGTAATCATTAGAAAAAATTTTCTACAAGCTTAAGTTAATATTTAATCAGTTTTAGCTCACCTGAGCTGAAAACTCAAGTGAGCTTTGTCTGTCCATCTGTAAATTTAAACATTTTCAACTTCTTCACAAGAACAACTGGGTCATTTTCAATCTTACTTGCCACAAAGCCTCCTTGGGTGAAGGGAATTCAAGTTTATTTAAATGAAGAGCCACCTTTTTCAAGGGGAGATAATTAAGAATTAGTAAAAATTTTAGTGGCATCTTTCAAAAATCTTCTCAAGAACTACAGGACCAGAAAAAAATGAAACTTATGTGAAAGCTTCAATACATAGTGTAGATCCAAAACTGCTCACATGACCCCTGGGAGTAGGGTGGGGCCACATTTTAATACATAGGATTATATTTAAAAAATCTTCTCCTCAAGAACAGCAAAGCCAAGATAAGTCATATTGATATGGAAGCATCCTCTGGCAGTATAGATTCAAGTTTATTCAAATCATGACCCCCCCCCCCCCCACCACCACCACCACCAGGATAGAAATAGGTGATTTTTCAAAAATCTTCTCAAGATCAGCAGAGCCATGATAAGTCATATTTATATGGAAGCATCTTCATATAGTGTAGATCCAAGTTTGTTCAAAACATGAGCCCTGGGGCTAGGGTGGGGCCACAAAGGGCGATCAAAGTTTTACATAAAAATATATGTAGTAAGAAATCTTTCAAAAATCTTAAGAACAGCAAAGTCATGATAAGTCATATTTATATGAAGGTATCCTATGGTAGTATAGATTCAAATTTGTTAACGTTAATTTAGACACCAATGGTAGAGTGGGCCACAATATCAAAGTTTTACACAGGAATATCAAGGGAAAAAAATCTGCTGCTGAAGATCATCAGGGCCATACTGACTAAAGTGCACAATGTGGCCCATGGGCCTCTTGTTCTATTTAACATTTGACTTTTCCCTAAATCTAGTTTTTGCATTCAGAATTCTATGAAATAATAAAAAAAATTAATTTACAGAAATTCTTATGAAAAAATCCATATATCTTTCAATGGTGAAGTTATTCATTCACAAAACAAGTTGTAAGGACAGATGGTAAAAACAAAAAATGGATGCCTGGATTGATGTACATGTATATTTGTGGACTTATTTTGTTTGTAAATGATGCAAGTATCAAAGTTCTAAAATATAAAGAAATTGCAAACTTTCTATGATGTTCAAAACTCCACCTTTTTTGCAGTCATCTTTATAAATCTATACGACTTTTTATCACTTTTTAAGACATTATTGTGAAACTTTGAATGAAACATAGGTAATCAAAGATTACAAAGCTCACCTCTACACATGTTATCTATAAGTAAGGCAAATTTCACACAATATTTTTTTCTAGTTAGGGTACATCCCAAGATCAACATCCATGCAAGTTTGGTTTAAGTGGGACTTATAGTTACTTGGAAATAGACCTGGCCAAAAAAAGTTTTAACCTGTTTAGTAATCAAAAAAATTGTGGTCAGTTCCAACATCCAAAGCAAGTCTGGAAGTTTTCATCCTTAGATGCACCATCTATGCAAGTTTAATCATAACAGACCATAATATTATAAAGCTTCTCCAAAAACATTACCCTGGTCACTCATCTGGAAAATGTAAGTCAGATCCAGAATCCAAAGCAAGTCTGAAAGTGCCCATCCCTAGACACATTATCCATGCTAATTTGGTAAAAATACAGTAAAACTCAGTTATAACAAAGTCACTAGGACCTGTGAAATTACTTTGCTATATCCGTAATTTGTTTTATCCGTATAAGAAATTCGTTAAATTTATATAGCTGAGGATCCAAGAAAAATTCGCAATATCCGTGAATTCCCTATATCCATGTTCGTACTAAACGAGTTTTACTGTATGGTGAAAATCTAGGTCAGATCCAGCATCCAAAGCAGGTTGGTTAGTGTACATCCCTAGATGCATCATCCATGAAAGTTTGGTCCAGGTAGGGCTTATAGTTACTTGGGAACAATACTGTTCCAAAATCTAAACCTGGTGTGGAAAATCTAGCTCAGATCCAGCATCCAAAGCAAGTGTGGTAGTGTCCATCCCTGGATGCATCATCCATGCAAGTTTGGTCAAGGTAAGGCTTATAGTTACCTGGGAGTGGACCTGCTCCAAAAACTTTAACCTAGTCACTCATCTGGAAAATCTTATTCAGATCCAGCATCCGAAGCAAGCGTGGTAATGTCCATCCCTAGATGCATCATCCATGCAAGTTTGGTCAAAGTAGGGCTAATAGTTACTTGGGAATGGACTTCTCAAAAAACTTTGATCACTCATCTGCAAAATCTAGGTCAGATCCAGCATCTGAAGCAAGGGTAGTAGTTTCATCCTTAGATGCATCATCCATGCAAGTTTGGTCCAAGTAGGACTTATAGTTACTTGGGAATGGGACTTGCTCCTAAAACTTTAACCGGGACACCGATGCTTACACCGACGCCGGGGGTATAGCATAAGCTCATCTCGACTTCGTTGAGGTGAGCTAAAAATGAAAATCTACTCTGTTAAGTTTATAAATTTTACTAAAATATATAAAAATTACTTAATTTGTTATTATTTTCAAATTACTTCAATAATGAGGTCTGTACTGTGTAAAAATTTTAAGACAATTTAATACAATTATCTTGTTGAATTCATCTGTTAGTACTCAGACATCAAATAAATCAACCCATGACAAACTCAATTTTTTTTCTTACTTGAAAATCTGTAAACCACAAAAAATATGAAAAATAGTAATCTCCCTCTCTGGCCATTGCTACTGTTACCCCATTTGTTAGTTTGCTATACATCCAACTAGTCATGGTCCAGATCTAGAAAATAAATACAAAGTAAGTTTATGCAGAGAAAGATCGATTCACAAAAACTGTCTAAAGGGAGCTAACCTTGACCAGAATCAACACAAATCTCAATATCTATATCATAAAATCTTAAAGTCTTTTTATAACATAATTTTTTGTACATCAGTATACAATTGTATACAATTATACATGTACTTTATTCTTTAGGAATTGAGTGGCATCCAGAATTTCTCCCTCCTCTGTGATATTTAAGGAGGGTGCAGTCAGTTGATTGGTTCTCCTATCTATGTAAATAAAGTGAACCAGTCCAGGAAAGGCATCCAAATATCTAATTTTGTTAAGAATTAATTCACTCACTGGGTCAAATAGATGTACAAAATAAAAACATTTCTTTTGAAAACTTTCAAGGATAGAGGTGAACAATCCACATTTTTAATACTTGGTATTAAAAGTATTGAATTTAGAGCCACTTGTCCTGCTCAAAATATTTATACAGGTGGCCTGCAAGGTGGCATTAAAGTATTGATAAACAACTGTGGTTTTCATTAAGAAATAATGTATCATTTTAAAACTTTTATCGGGATGTAAATATGGGTTGGTCACGTGATCACATCCCATAAAGCCCCAGGGATTTATGGTAGATTTGATCACTTGCCAACCTGTATTTACATCCCAATAAAAGTTTTGAAATGATACTTTATTACTAATATTTACATTTCTGACTGATTTATTACAAATAGTTGGGGACTTAAGTTTTAAACACATAAATGATATATTTTTTTTCAAACCTCAACGTTGAACACGTCGTTCACTTATGACATCATTATGAAATTACGTAGATCCTTAATGACTAAACAATTGATTAATGGTCACATGACGAACCTGTTTGTACACAGGTGTAAAACGCCTTGCTCAAATAGTGTTATATAAGGGAAAACTTAAGCAAATGTAAATTTTAACAAATAAAGGAGATATTATTCAGTGAATATAAATAACATATCTTGAGCCTAAAATATATTTTTAATATTGTATAAGCAGCACTTTTAGTGAGGATTCAATTTTGGCAATTTTAGCGAGGGTGAATTGAATTAATTCTGCATTGGAGATTATCATTATCTTTCTAGGCATCATAAAATTGGTAAACTTACTTCTTACTAAAACTAAATATTGATTTTTATAGACAAATCCCAACATTTTCATCTAAAAAATTTCCACTTATAATTATGGTAAATCTTTTATAAATACTAGTAACTGCTTATAAAAATAAGTTTAAAATATGAAAGACTAGAAGTGCTAAAATCAGGGTTGGCAAAAAACTGGGAAATACTCATATTTCCCAGGACGGTGGGAAATACTGGTAATTACCGGGAATTACTGGTATTTCCTGGGAAATACTGGGAAATAAGAAATAGCTACATATTTCATTCATATTGATATGTAGTACACCTTATTGGCTAAGATATCTACCTCAGGTATCACTGTCCCTGATTTAAAAAATTTTGGTTTCCAAGTAATTCATTATACCAGTCATGAGTGCCATGTGTTTCATGCTTGAGTCAGATGTAGTCTATAAAGGTCCATGAAATGAACCCAAAGATCCCAAAAGGGTTTTTTATGTAACAAAAGAAGGATATAAGAAAATTTTTAAATGTACAGTATGGTATAAATATCAAACCTAAGAAGAAACCTTTCAGTTCTACTCAAGGTACTAATTATATCTCAGAACGGGAGCACTAAACTGTCCAGAGCAATTTGTTAAAACAACATGATTGATTGTAATAACTACAGTGTTTATAGAAGGATTAAAACAAGTTTGTTTTGTTCTTGGATTTATAATTAATAAACTTATAATAATAATTTTACAAAACTGAAAAGAAACTTGAATTGGATAACTTCAGTTTTATACAACACGGAAAATTTATGTTTCAGAATGCTTATCAGTATGGGACCTAGAGTAGAGATTTATTCATATTCAATATTATTCATCTTCTGTTTTTCTATTTATTTTATATTTGTTTTGTATAAGATTGAATGAATTAAAGAAATAAAAAAAAACTTTAACTTTGTATTTCCCAGTATTTCCCAATATTTCCCAGTTTAGAGAAAATTTGTAGTATTTCCCGAGACGGGAAATAGCAGTATTTACCACTGGTAATTCCCACCACTGGTATTTCCCGGCCAACCCAGGCTAAAATTAAAAGAAGGATACGAAGTCATGACAATGTTTCTCTGTGATTTGACGGACAGGTAATCTTTGTAGTCAAACATTTTGACCTTTGCCCTCTCACATACAGAGCTCATGGCCTGGCTGACCGAGGGGGAAATGTCATAGGGATAGAGGTACAGGTGTAGAAACAAGTCCTTCACCTTCTTATGGAGGCCGGTCAGAGATCTTTCCGCACTACAAATAATCAAAGTTAAAGTTAATGATACTCAATGTATTACAGTAAGTGTAAATTAGTTAATGTTTATGGCCAGACATTATTTTGCTAACAAAAATTATTGAATAAACATGTATTTTAAAGTTCATTATATCAAAAAAATGGGTAGGATACTCAGGGTCCTGAATACATATTAGTCAATTTTCTATTTAAATCTAAGTCCATATAAACAACATTCAGTACAAGGCACTGCACAAACTGTAAATCAATTTTTATTCAAGAGACCTTTATTTTCAGGTTAAGCGAGGTTGTCTGCTCGTGAAAATTCAATTGTTGTGTATATTGGTATTGTTAAAGATTACATGAAGCAATGACTGAAATTCTGAAAATTTTGTCTCGCTTATATAAACCAAATTATAATCCTGCAAAAATAAGGTGTCACAAAAATTAAGTGATCTACAGTATGTTAAAAAATGTTGTTTACCCTGGAGGGATGTCTGTTCCAGCTCCTTGTTCTAGATAGGACAATAGAGCTGATTTAAATTCAGCATTGTCCCACCTCTTACGAATATCCTCCAGAATTCTCTCAATGTTGCCCTGTACATATTTGATAGAAGATAAATTACACATTGACAGAATAGTATGTACACATCTCTAGAAATAATGAACATCCTGTATCTTACATGGAACAAACAATAGATGAATGCAGTTCACATCATAATAATTTTCTTCCTACCCCTTCTATTAATTTACACAATTTACCGGTAATGTAAAACACACAAACAAAAACTTACTCTAGCCTTTTTCATGGCTGAGGCCAGTTTGTAGAGAATAGTATTGATGAGGTCATAGAGGACATGACCTTGTACCCTTTGAACTTGAGTTTTCTGTCCTGATAGGAGGTCATTCAGTAGTCTTAACAACTGACATAAACTGCCTGCATGGTGGGCTCTTGGTATCTTAAAATACAAAAACAAAAATCAGAAACATTTATAAATTAATATACATTTTTTTACATACTAAAGAACTAAATGTCATTCCATTCATAAGGACCCATGCACTTGATTTGGTGAATAGTTTGTCATTTAAAAATACATTTTAAAAAATTACCATCTGCTGATTATGCACAAGACTGAATCAACATATGAATGTTCATTAAATTTGACAATTAGAAATAACCTTGTTGTCCTTAAGAATATTTTAAAGGAACCTATCTCACATACTCCTACTTAGTACTCTAGCACTCCAATTGTGGCCATAACATTGCCCTAAATTTAAGATTTTATAAAAATTAGTAAAGAAATTATGTGATTTTAATATTAATTAATGATGGAAAACATTGCTTTTGGTAAATATTTTGTCCCCGTTTGAATCAGGAAACTTTAAAGATGCTCTCCACTCCTACCAACAATCATTAACAGAATATCAGTTACATGTATATGATTTACAATCCATGACACAGAAAAAACTACAAGAACTTGAGTTGACCCTTAGTTCAAACTCGAAGAGGTCTGATACAGAATGAAGTGTGCAGTACACATATAAATAAAGAGAAATTTTGAATATGTTTTCCATTAGATGTCTACACATAGACCCTTACCAGTATTTACCTCTTATGATAAAATTGAGCAGAGTTTAAATATGTTTAATCAAGTCAGTTTCGCCACTGGATGCCTCATCTCCAACCTAATAATTGTATATTAGAATATTAGATATTACCTCACTTAGCAGAACTATGACCATTCCTGGGAATATCTGGATAAAGTCCAGTTGATATGGGGAGAAACTGCACAACTGAGTGGACAGAAAGGCAGTTTGCCGAATGTGATCTGGGCTTGACCGGATAACTGGTGACATAGGCTGCTCTGGTTCCTGTCTTAGTAATGGTGAAGAGTTTCTTTGTAAAGGGGTATTATCTGTAACATTAATGAGATTGCACAATTAATGTAGAAAAATGTATGGTTATGCATATGGAAATTTGGAAAATAAATTTTTCCTAAATTATGCATTGTTTTTTGTTTGTTTTAAGATATTAAATGACAAAATCTGAGGAGGAATAACTCTTAATGACTCAAATATTAATGCACTTTTACATTCAAATTAATTAAGAAAATTAATTTTCAATTTCATTTTGAATTTTTCTAATTTACTCTGTATTTTCTAGTTCTTATTTCCTATATATACATGTAGCCGAGTGAAAAAAGAATTTCCTTGGCAAAGTGCAGATGTTCAGTTTAATAAGGATTCTCAAACATTTTTTCCTTAGAGAATTTACTCAAATACAGCAATTTTTCATTATTATTGAAATAATGCAATTTACTTGTTATAATACTAACATCTTTATAATTCCCTCCATCTTTTGTTACTTTAACACGACATGAAATACCTTAGAAAATATTTGCAAAGAAAATAAGATCTGTCTGTATCAATTTAAAAACATAGGTAATCATAGATTACAAAGATTACCTCGATGAATGTTATCTATATGTAAGGCGAATCTCACACCCAATTTTGTTCTAGTTAGTGTGCATCCCAAGGTCAATATCTATGCAAGTATGATTTACGAAGGACTTATAGTAACTTGGGAATGGACCAGCACCAAAAACTTTGACCTGTTCACTCATTCAGAAAATGTAGGTCATTTCAAGCATCAAAAGTTAGTCTGGTAGTGTCCATCCCTAGTTGCATTATCCATGCAAATTTAATCACAGCAGGCCACATGGTTATAGACCTAATCTAAAAACATTTCCCTGGTCACTCCTCTGGAAAATGTACGTCAGATACAGCATCTGAAGCTGGTCTGCAGTGTCCATTTCCTAGTGTGTCCATCTCCACACTAGTTTGGTTCTGGTAGGGCTAATATTCACTCATCTTGAAAATACAGGTCAGATCCAGGATCCAAAGCAGTCCTGGTAGTGTACTTTCCTAGATGCATTATCCATGCAAGTTTGGACCTGGTAGGGCTTATAGTTACTTAGGACTGGACTTGTTCAAAAAAAATCTTTAACATGGTCACTCATCTAGAAAGTGTAAGTCAGATCCAGCATCTGAAGCAAATTTGCTAGTGTCCATCCCTAGATGCATTATCTATACAGTTTGGTCCAGGTAGGGTTTATGGTTACGTTGGAATGGACCTGCTCCAAAAAACTTTGACATATTCACTCAGCTGGAAAATTAGGTCAGATACAACATCCAAAGCAGGTCAGGTAGTGTGCATCCCTATATGTATCATCCATGCAAGTTTGGACCTGGTAAGGCTTATAGTTCCTTGGGAATTAAATGGGTAAAAACAAATTTCACTCATCTGTAAAATGTAGGTCAGATACAGCATCCATAGCAAGTCTGGCAGTGTCGATCCCAAAATGCATCATATACTGTATACAGGGTTATTTTCACCCCTTGTTATTTTTGCACTTTTGCACTCACAAACAATCATGCCCCATTTTAAATTCACCCAGTTACAGTTCTGTTTTAAGAAATTATACTGTTTTCTTTGAATTCGCTCTGTCTTAAATTCTCCAACATATCTAGGGCAAAAGGGGCAAAAATAAAACGGAGGTGAAAATTTCCCTGTATACAGTATGTACATTTGTGTTTGGTCCAGGTAGGGCCTATAGTTTCTTGGGAACAGACCTGCTCCAAAAACTTTAACCTGTTCACTCATCTGAAAAATGTAGCTCAGACCCAGCATCTGAAGCAAGTCTGGTGGTGGTCATTCATAGATGCATTAAGTATGTAATTTTGGTCCAGGCAGGGCCAGTAATTACTTGGGAATTGACTTGCTCCTAAAACTTAAACCAGGACACCAATGCCGGGGGTATAGCATAAGCTCATCTCGACTTCATTGAGGTGAGCTTAAAAGGATTGATCTTAGATACAATACCAAGTTTACAGGAATTTCTTTTTCAGTGAAACTAAGATCCTTCAAATCAGGATTTTAAAAAAAATTTTGTCATAGAACTTCAAATTTTGTATGGTCGACCAATCTCTTATTCCTATTTTGAAATGTTATACAGCCTGTGTAGAAGTAAACTCTGACTGTAAGTCTCCCATCTTTGGTAGCCCACCACTGATTCACATTGATTCTCTCTTTATCATCATTGGGTTTGAGAGAGCTTGTGGACTCAAAACTGTGGATTGTGATAATGTAAGTGGCTAGAGTCAAATAAAATGACAAGAAATTTTTCTAGATAAACCTGTTACCTCTTATAACTTGATTGTCTTGGTTAAGACTTCGACTCCGGGCCCTCCCAGGTCCTGGGGTAATACGACCAGTTGTAACCCCACCAAAAGTCCTACTGCGACTCCTACCAATAGGTGTCAGTCTACCACTGTTATCTACAAGCTAAAAATATTTAAACATATTGTATATCAATGCTACATAAAAACAAGAGGCCCAAGGGCCTTGAATCGCTCTTCGGATAAACTTTACAACCTATCACTTCTATTTAAGGCCTTTAAGTATCCTGTATATTTAGATAAACCCTTGAAATTCCAACGGTAGGTTTTTGTGACCTACATTTTAAATGAAACACTCTAAGAACCCAAGATGATTCTAAGCCAATTAGTACCTGAGAGTTGGTCATGGTGACCTACTTATCACTTGTCATTCTCTGAGGACCCAAAATGCATCAACTAAGTTTGATGATTCTAAGCCAATTAATACCTAAAATATTTTTTTTAAATTATAACCATACAATTTCAAAAGTAGGTCACAGTGACCTACTTTTCAGTTGTTGTACTCCAAGGACCCAAGATGCATCAACTGACAAAATTTGATGATTCTAAGCAAATTAGTACCTGAAATATTTAAAGCCATAAATTTTCAAAAGTAGGCCATGGTGACCTCCTTTTCAGTTGTTGTACTCCGAGGACCCAAGATGCATCAACTGACAAAGTTTGATTCTAAGCCAATTAGTTCCCGATATATTTAATTAAAGCCATAAATTTCCAAAAGGAGGTCATGGTGATCTACTTTACAGTCGACCTACTCCAGAGACCCAAGATGCATCAACTGACAAAGTTTGATGATTCTAAGCCAATAAGTACCTGAAATATTTTATTAAAGCCATAAATTTTCAAAAGTAGATCACGGTGACCTACTTTTCAGTTGTTGTACTCCGAGGACCCAAGATGCATCAACTGAAAAAGTTTGATGATTCTAAGCAAATTAGTACCTGAAATATTTAATTAAAGCCATAAATTTTCAAAAGTAGGTCACGGTGACCTACTTTTCAGTCAACTTACTCCGAAGACCCAAGATGCATCAACTGACAAAGTTTGATGATTCTAAGCCAATTAGTACCTGAAATATTTAATTATAGTAATATAAATTGAAAAGTAGGTCACGGTGAACTACTTTTCAGTTAAAGTTTTTTGAGGATGCAAGATGCATCAACTTACAAAGTTTTATGATCATAGGCCTAAAAATGTCCAAATTATGCCTCTAAAATGCTTTGAAAACGAATGCCAGCAAAGTTCAAAAAGTAGGTCACTGTGACCTACTTTTTGATAAATATGTTTTATGGCCCCAAGATGCATCATCTTACAAGATTTATGATTCTAAACCTCTCGTTATTTGAATTAATGACCTTAATTGTTTTGAAAATGATTAGCCATAAAATTCAAAAAGTAGGTCAAAGTGACCTACTTTTTAGTTGACATACTTCAAGGATCCCAGATACATCAACTGACAAAGTTTGATGATCATAGGTCTTAAATTGTTCAAAATATGCCTCTAAATCATTTTGAAAAAGAATGGCTGCAAAATTTAAGAAGTAGGTCACTGTGACCTACTTTTGAGTCAACATGATATGAGGTCCTTAGATGCATCAACTGACAAGATTTGATGATCCTAGTCCTTATAGTAAGCAAAATATCAACATTTTAATAAAATGTAATTTTTGGTCAACTTTGAAGTGACCTTGAGACCACGCCCTTTGCCCCAGTGTATACCCCCATGCAAATTTTAATCTACAGTATATCCTCATCCTTTTGTGTAAGTTTGGTGATAATCTGTCCAGTTGTTCTTGAGAAGAAGATTTTTTAGCAACCAGTACTTTTGTTTCTATTTTCCTAATTATCTCCCCTTGTTCAAGGACCACAACCCTAGTTTTAGTACAAAAGGGAGTCCTTGGGCCAAGGATACCCTGTAACAAATTTGACAATAATTGGCCAAGGGGTTCTTGAGTTATGTCCCATATTCTAAAAAGTTTACGCACACCGCACAAATGGCCATAGTATTAGCTCTTTGAGCCTTTGGCTCAGAAGAGCTAACAATTAAAGTGATTGCTCCAGAATTCAACATTTTTTCAAGGATTTGGCCTTTGTATAAAATAAAAACATAGGATTTCTTGAGAAAATTAAATCAAAATATCTACAGAGATATGGGCAAAGCATAATCTGTATAGCATGCTGCTTTAAAAATGTTTCACAAATATTTACTTTTTATTGAAATACCCTGAATGACCCAATGTTGAACCACTTCAATGAATAAGATGATCCTGCTTTTTTTAAATGAAGAAATTTATTTTTAATTGGTTTTCAGATCAATATATATTAGGGATGGCAATCAAATACAGAATTGCCAATCGGTTAATGGCAAGACGTTCCGACCGATTAATCGGTTAATCGTATCAAAACTTCTTGAGATATTTCTTCATTGTAAGCTATATTTACACAAACAAGACAATAAAAATTTACTTATAGTACACTGTACATAAACATTACCGGTATGTTTATAATCTATCAGATTTATACATTATTTCATTATACATAATTTCAATTTTAATAAGCCCCCCCCCCCTCAAAAAAAAAAACGGAATATGCCTGGAGTATATCAATTACATAAAAAATTTCAGAAGAGATGCCGTGCTTTGTCACTATAATCAAAATTAAAACTGGACTATCGCTTAATTTACAATGTTTGTTTAATTATACAATTTGATAGGTAATTGCAAAGGATAGAAAAGTAAGGTACACATTATAATCAGTTCGCAGTACTCAACGATCATTTAATTAAAATCATTAAAGAAACACAGGACAGATTGGGTAACGACATGGTGTTTACACAGCAATTAACATCTCGGAAAACTAATTACTCCCACAGTGTCCATCTGGAGAGCCTTAATTATCTCCAAATCAACTTAAATAGATAGGTGAAAATGCTGACATTTCAGATATTTTTATTGTATCTTTTTAATTGAATTTTTTAATGAAATTGCGTTTAGATTTACACATACATTATTTTTCCCAACTAACCGATTACAGATTTTCTAACCGATTACCATTGTTCCGACCAAGTAACCGGTTAACCGATTACAAATTGCCATCCCTAATATATACTGGTATATATTTTGTTTCAACATATGTCAATATTCCCAAATCATATTTTAATTAAACTTACTTTCCTGTGTACTATAAAAATTATACAACTAACCAGTAAGCAAGGGTGCCACTGAAGGATGTAATATGGAGGGATGTTATTGTGAAAAGTCAATAATGAGGAAAAAAACATAAACAATGCAAATTTTCACATTCATTGTCATTTATCTATTACTTTATTTATTAATCTGTTGGAGGGGCTAGTCACACCTTATTTAAATCAGTAATAGATGGTGAAGAATCTGGTGTTGTGTATCCCTCACTGGTGATGTCCCCTGGCCTATGTTCTGGTTCAGTGATTCCCTCCAGTACCTTGTGTTCTGGTTCAGTGATTTCTTCCTCAGTTACATGCTCAGAAACAGCTGGATAGGGATTTTCTGTCGAAGAAAAGAGAAGACAATGATCAGTACAAAGAGAAGAGTAAACAAAAGAAGTCTGCCCATTTTCCTTCTTACCGGTAATTATGTATTTTTTCACACTATAGAGTCAGCTTGTCTGCTTTAAATTCCCCACAATAATAATTGTCTTTAAAACACAACCCCCTTCATAACTGATAACATATGACCAGGGGCTGAAAATTTTCAAGGAATTTATTGCAATTTTGAAGTTAATATTGAAATACTGAAATTCAGGAATAACAATTTTTTCAAAACCGTATGGACAAGTATATAGATTGAATCAAGTGAAGTGCTACGTCATCAGTGTCCTTTATAAAGTCTATCTGATAGGCTGTCCTTTATAAAGTCTATCTGATAGGCTGTCCTTTATAAAGTCTATCTGATAGGCTTAATTAATCCACTATAATTAATTAGTCTTTTCAAGCAAAGGCAGTCCTTTTTTTCAAATTCATGTTTAAGAAGAGTTTGTAAATATAAACATATTTTAAAAATATGTATGATTTTTTTAAACAAATCTAACTAAGACAATGAACTTAAAAGGAGAGATTGTGAGATCTTCAAATCAAATACATGTAAATCTTAGCTTTTCCTCATTTTGACAATATATATATAATAAATTCAAATATTATTGTTTTGTTGTTTCTGTACAAAATATCTGAAGCTAAAGAGCAAACTTAAATTACCAGCTTTTATTTTGGTTGAAGGTGTTTCTGTGGCACTCATGTACTGCAAATAGAGGCACAATCAATATTTTTTCAAAACTTTTGTACATGTATATGTTTAGAAACATTGTTCTTATAATTCTCTTAGCAATCAGAACTAAATTCTGCATTTTTAACTCCAGGCATAAAATTATATACATGTATATTGATTAAAAAACATCTAATTTTAAAAACAAACCAAAACCTAAAAGGGCGAAAAGGCATTTAAAGATTTAAAGACAAGGTATTTGTAGGCAAGTTCTTACTACAAAATCAAAAAAAAAAACAAAATTGTGATTGTCATACATTATCTTCATCTACCGAGTCTTCCCCTTCTACGGCACTCTCATATCTGTCACGAGGAGGGGTCACAGTTATAGAGGCTGGCGACTTCATTTCCTCTGAACCACCATTGTCATCAGGCTTACGATAGGAAAACAAATCCTCTAGCTTTTCATTGGTAGGAAAAAGTAATCTTGCCAACAAGATGATGCACAAAACATCAGATTCTGCCAAAAGTGGTGAATTGCGGCTGTTTTAGGAATTAAACAGAAGACAGAATATATTATAAATAGTTACATTTTAGAGTTAATTTCTATTTGGTTCTTAATTTTTTTTTTCAAATTTACTTACTTTGAATAAAGGGACAATAACTTGCTATTAATGATCAGTAGAGCATGATGGGTATTTTTCTCTCCCGCACTCTGTAACCGATTGATGGCGTTTTCCAAGATTTCCATACACTTCTCATTTACCAACTGATTCACATGGAGTCTCTCTATTGCCTAAAATAATTCATCATCATCTTCATTGGCAGGGATGGGGTAATTGAAAAAAGTAATTGTAATTGAGTGTAATTAATTACATTTTTCAAAGTAATTAGAAGTAATTTGTAATTGACCAATTTTTCAATTACTTGTAATTGAATATAATTAATTACATTGAAAAAAATACCCTGTAATTTCAATTACTTTTCAATTACATTTCAATTACTTTACATAATACATATTATGTGTATTTAATAGGAAAATATTTCCAACACAGTCACATTTTACAGTTATTTTAAATTTATTCAAAGAAGCCCTCTGTTTTTCAAAATCTTAAACTTTTTTATAGCTCAATAAATGAATTTGATATATTGGCTTGTTTATAAAAATATTAGTTTGTTTTATAATTATGATACACATAAAGAATTAATACTAGTTTATAATGTTTATCAAATATTTTGTTCTACCAATCATAAGTATAGACATAAAAACATTTCAATTTCTTAATTGTTGCTTGATTATCAAAAAAGAATAGAAAATAATTTAATGTGTCTTTAGGTTTAGCTTAATTGCCTACCTGTAGCTGAAATAATTTGAGAGTATTTTATGGTTGATTCATAAACTCATGAAAACTCGCTTTTAACCAAATTTCCTAAATGCAGTCAATTGATAAATGTACATGTAGGACTAAGTCTTATGTTGATGAAACACAGAAACAATGTCAAAAATGACAGGTACCTGACATTATTTATTTTAAATATCCCCCCTACCTTAAATTGTCATGTATTTGTTCTTCAAGATTTTTGAAAGTGAAACAAAAGTAATTGAAATGTATTTAATTACATTCTTCAAAGTAATTGAGAGTAATGAATTACATTTGTAAAAATCAATGTAATTGTAATTTCAAGCAACTGACAAAATTTTCAATGTATTTGAAAGTATTTAATTACATTTCAAAGTAATTGACCCCAACCCTGTTCATTGGAATCTGCAACATCACTATTGTCAGCAGCAGGTTTTTTTTGTTAGAATATAATATGTTTTATCACATTGAAGTATTAATACCTCCACAAGAAAAGAATGTTCCTCTTTTCTTAACAGTTCCCAAGTTTTCATTAGATTCTGTAAAAATCTCCACCTGTCATTTCTTCTGCAGAAGATGCTGTATCCTATTCTAAATTAAGACATTGAATAAAAAAATTATATTTTATTCAAATAATTATATTTTCAGCTTACATGTGAACTGACCTCTGAGAGGACATAGTACACACAATTTACATTGATTCATGTTTATATGTTATGCCATGAAGCAAAAAAAAAAAAGAAAGAAAGAAAAAAAGAAACACTTTTTAATATTTAACAATGCCTGTTACATCATATTTTACCAAACTACATATGTACATGTATATCAATTTGCCCTGCAAAAGAGCAGTTCTGCAGTTATTGTGAAACAGTCTATAGATTGTAAATTATTTTAGCCTGAATACAGGGACTCATATTTACATGCTAATCCTATATTGTAATAGATATACAGTATGTAATATATACTCTATAAAATAGTTTTAAACTTAAGCAACAAAAAACTTTTCTATAAACAGCTCACTCATTTGTGACTGGTCCAAATAGGAATTCTATAACCCGAATGAGCACGCCAATCTTCTTCCTTAAAAAAAGCTCTGTGTCTTCTTTGTCTTGGCTTATCGCAACAATAAGAAATTCTTCATACTAAAGGAAAAACATCATTATTGGTTCTCCGAACATTTTCTTTCATACTCTATAAAACTGGTTCAAATACATATTATGAGTTGAATACACTGTACATTTACATCAAATTTAAAAAGCTACATAATTATGTATCTCTAAAACGCCTGGTGGAAATTTTACATTTGATTGTAAAATATGCATATCAAATGTGAGTACAACTACTAGAGGTCCATTGGCCACATCACTCACCTGAGTACTTTGGTTAGAGAAAAGCAGAAATCAGTTCAGTAGTGAAAGGATATATGTATAAGTGGTTCCATCCTATCCCCTGGGGATGATGATTTGAACAAACTTGCTACTATATTAATACTTGTATAACTAATCATTTTTCCCCAATATATTCCCATATAAAACTTTGATTGCTTTATCTTGCCCCACCCAACCACTGAGGGTCATGATTTGAACAAACTTGCATCTACACTACCTGAGAATGTCTAATCATGGCTTTGCTGTTCTTGAGTAGAAGATTTTTAATGTTCCTGTGTATAACTTTGATCCCCTGTTCTGGCCCCACCAACCTCAGGGTCATGAATTGAACAAACTTGAATCTACATTACCTGAGGATGCTTCCATATTAATATACCTAATCATGGCTTTGCTGTTCTTGAGAAGGTGACTTTTAAAGATATTTCCTACGTGTTCCTGTAATTACCTGTTTTGACCCCCCATTCCCTGGGGTCATGATTTGAACAAACTTGAATTTACACTATGTAATGAAGCAGCTAGCTTTCACTTAAGTTTCAACTTTTCTGGCCAAGTAGTTTTTGAGAAGAAGATTTTTGAAAGATACCATTAAATTTTGACTAATTCTTCATTATCTCCCTTTGAAAGAGGGGTGTGGCCTTTCATTTGAACAAATTTGAATCCCCTTCACCCAAGGATGCTTTGTGGCAAGTAAGGTTGAAATTGGTTCATGGTTCTGGAGAAGAAGATGAAAATGTAAAAAGTTTATGATGATGATGATAACAACTACCATATACATGTACAACAGAGTGGTGAACGGACAAAATTTGTTCAGAAAAGCTGACTTGAGCCTTCAGCTCAGTGAGCTAAAAATAACATGATATTACTTCACCTGTTTAAATACAAATAAGAAGCCATTTTCACAAGATATAGATGAACAAGGGTTTCTTCTTTGCTCTATCAGAAACCACTGTGACATGAACAGAGGTGAAAACAGCTGCATGACAATGCTCGAGTCCAGCTCTTTCTCATCATACTGGCCAGCCTAAAATCATTATAAAACACAAATCACAAGATAACATTTTATATCATAGAAATTCAAATGATTACCTCTTGATTGGTGCTTGAGCAATTGAGTAATAGGACAAATGCAATCATTTATACATACTGAATTGGGGGGGGGGGGGCAGTCGATCTGCATTGATCAGATGGAATCAAGGATTAATATACTTGAACATTAATCAGTGGGTCTATGACAACTCATCGAAAAATTTATATACAATAACTCATCAATACAACAACTCATAGATAAGACAAGTTATCATGGTTATAGAATGGATATCTCATAGATATAACAATTCATTGGTGCTCATCAAAACTTATTGAAAGAAAAAAATACATGTAAAACAAATTACAATATAATTTTTTTCAGTTTTTTTTGGTTAACTCATTTATGGTTCATAAACCCTTTAATCACTCATATAAAATGTAGCTACATGTAGTTTCCTTTTTCTACCCTTGAAAAAAGTGAAGAAACTATAGTGTATATTTTTTCTTGTAATTTCCTTTTTGCAGAGAAGATCAATCTTGATTAATTAAAGGCTATTGTTTGAATATTGGGAAGTATGCACACCCATGGTCTTTGCGCGGTAAAGTGGACTGAGCTTGCAAGGTCTGCATCTGGCATTCTGCACAAAGACTGAGGGCAGGCATTTTTCCAGATATTCAACCAATAACAATCAATCTCCAAAGACACTAAATGGAAGCCGCCTGATCCTATCAAATATTTCCAGCTCAATTCGATCACCTGGCTTAAAGCATGTGCAATACTGGCTCACAATAAAGTGTGTTACCGATCATCCGAGATCCCTATGTTACCTGGGCGCACCAGATCATCAGAATCAAGTATGCTAAAGGCGTCATTCCAAATATCCAGAAATACTGAATCTCTGCCAGGGTTACCCCTTATCCCCATATTCTCGACTCCCCTTGTTTCCCTTTCCTCGTATTCCCCGTCCATTAGTTCATCTATTCCTCCTTATCCCATTTCTACCACCACCCTTCCCATTTTCAACTGTCCTCTTCTATCTCCCGCCCATCTTTTCCCTTGTCCCCCATAAACGGCCTTGAGCTACACAGCTCAGCTGTTTATCAGAGGAAAAAGCACACCACCTGAAGTAAACCTTGCTCCACGGCCTGTTTATTCACATGATTCACGAACTCCGTGTCACAATCCTGGTAAAACACATCGTTAATTTTGTTGACAATGAGTAGTCCTCTCATGTTTGTTCCTATAACATCTTTCCCAAATTATTGTGGTCATGGGATCTTCCCTATAAAAAGTTCACTTCAATGTTAAATTTCGTTTTTTAAATTGAATATTTATAGATATGGCATACAAACATCCAACAGACTAAGATCAGAATGGTTAGTTTCGTATTTAAGATATATTTGTCTAATGATAATTTTTCTGAATATTTTTTTTATGATGTTTTAGAAAATATTTCAGTAAACAAATGATTTGATTGTGCATTTCTTTTTTGTATTGTAGATCTAGTATTTGTTCAATAAATAAAATACGAGAACAAACTGTAAACAAACGGTTAAGATCAAAATGATGGAAGAGGTAATGTGTGTGCATCTGTGTTCTGTTAAATAAAAATCATACAAACAGAATTAATAAAAACTGTTTATACGGTCTATAGAGGGGTGGTTGGGTGCACAGTCAAATGGCAGATGCTTAGACTGGGGACTTGCTCCCGGGATGAAAGGAATAATCCCCCCCCCCCTCCAATTAAAAAAAAAGCCTAGTTACCATGCTATATCATACTAGTAACAACTAAATCAACACCTGTTGTTTTTTTCTTTAGTTGCTAAAGTAGGCAGATAATATTTTTTTATAGAAATATTTTGAACTTGCTCAGGGCACCCCCTGCCTCCACCACCCAACCCACCCCCACTTCATCAACAGCTAGTGGACAGTGGTATACAAACTCAGACTGAGAGTGCTTAGTAAAACCCACCCCCACTTCATCAACAGCTAGTGGACAGTGGTATACAAACTCAGACTGAGAGTGCTTAGTAAATAGTGAATTGTAATTCGCATTCTTATGAGTTTCACATCTGGTAACAAATGATTTGTATATAGCATGGACTCCTCCAGTCCCCACCCCCACCCTAACCCCTCACACAGTCTTTTTAATGAAAGTGAGAGAAATCAGACAATGCATAGTAGTGGCCCTTCACTTCAATAGCAGAAGAAAATACATTTATAATAATGCAGATCTGCCTCAAAATCATCACCCTTTCTTCCTCACATTTGAGCACATTCTTCTCTTAACATGTGGAACCTGTGTTCCCTCTCAGAGATATTTTGCATTTGACTGAGGGGGAGGGGGGGGGGGTTCAAACATCTGAATCTTTAATTGAGTAAATCATTATATTGAAATATATAATCATTTCTTCCTTTCTAGTTCTTGCACATTTTCCTGATCTTTGCTTAAAACTGTATAGTCTAGAAATCTATCTACAGATCTTTGAGGTATTTTGCAAAAGCTGTTGCAGCTGAACTTTATATTATAATGGCAGAAATATTAATGTTATAGTACTATACACATAACGCTTTATTCTGATTCAGGTAAATTTAATGCATATTTGTATTTGTAATTGATATGTAAAATTGCAGCTTAACAACTCAACATTGCACATTTAAGAATAAAAATCATTAATGAGATGTTTGATTTGTACATGTATCTTTTGTCTGAATACACTTATAGAAATTATCACTGACACTGAAGTCATTAGCGTTCATATCATACGGACTTATTTTTAGGATTTGAAGATACGAATACAGCTGATAAACCCCCACATAGTGTGTTCCATGTGTGCCGGATACTTCATTGATGCAACAACAATTACAGAATGTCTTCACACATGTATGATATAATATCCTATTCTAAGTATGAGCAATTCCAAGTTTAGTTCAACCATAAACTATATATGCACTGGTGTATATTAAAAAAGAAATACAGACTTTGATAACTAAATATCTCATGAGATATTTCAGATGATTTTAACTATTTAGTGCTTTCAATTTATACAATATTTTTTTGGAGAATTACTTACATTTTTAAAAAAATCTTTACGCTCTCTATGCTTGGGCTTACTACTTGTCTTAACATAACAAAAATCAATGGCCCTGAAATACTCTGACATTGAATGCTTTTTTAAAAAAAATAATTCACTATGAAAACTTGAAGCAGAGATTTTTATCAATATGTATGTGATGATTTAGACCAATATATATGATTTTTGAGTTTCCAATTTGAATTGCTACATGTATCTTATATTCTGTTTTGGTTATAATTCTTAATATGAATATGCTACTTGTTTCCAGTTTGCAAAAGCTGTATCGTGAAGCACCTTCAAAGTAGCAAGAATTGTCCACAATGTGGGGTCAAAGTTCATGAGACTCAGCCTCTTCTTCATTTACGAGCAGATCGTACACTACAGGATATTGTATACAAGCTGGTTCCTCATCTCTTTGAAAGTAATGTGTGAAAATGTTAAAACCAAAAACAGAAATGAATTATAGCTATAGACATTGTTTTCCCTAAGAGCCAAATTGACCACTTCAGTTGATAAAAATGCCGCTTAGAAATCAAAAAATTTACAAAATAACTTTTGTAAGGTCCACAGAGATTTTTTTCATAAACCTCAACCCCTTAAGCCTCTTACAATTGATCTCAAACCCTTTACCTTGAAATAAAGGGAAAACGTTGAATAGATCAAATATGGAAAGGCCATAAGTGATATGAGTTTAACTTCTGTAGGTGAGGAAAAAAGAAAAGAAGAATTTTACAATTCAAGAGGTTTTGAAACACAGAAAAAAGGACAAGTATTGGGTTAGTACAAAAGTAGAAACTTGGATTAATACAGATAAAAGAAAAAATATTTCCAGTGACTTTCTAAGTTCAACATTGGAGAACTATTAAATGTAAAAAAAACAAAAAAACAAAACAAACAAACAAAAAAACAAAACAAAACAAAACCAAAAAAAACCTTCAAGCTTAGAAATTTGTTCAAATTACTTCTCTTGGCCAACAGCCATGATGGGATCTCAAAAGATTTAATGCTGAACAAGTTGGAAAAATAATTTCAATTGTACAAAGATTAAAGTTGCCTTAATTAATAGAAAAGTGCCTATATAATTCAGATATGTTCATTTCTCTGTCAGAATTGATGGACTGCACTTCTTGTTCATGTTTCATTATATGAAAACTGTATTTGTAATTGCAGCAGGAGTAGTTGAAAAGAAATCAGAGCCTAAATTATCCTGTATTTTTTCCAATCCTTATGCTCATCAGTTCAAATACGATGAAAAGATCTGTCTGTGTTTGGAGAGGTACAGGTAAATGTGTATCTTATTTACATCATGTTAAGGATTAGTCTATTTGTCTAAACTTCAGGAATATCTGACACCAACTGCCAAGTGGAATCCCTATCATTGCAGAAAAACTTGCAAGTTTCTGTAAAAGTATACAGAAAATATTGAGTTGACTCAGTTTGTCACATGAGTTTAAGAAAGAAGAGAATGAATTCTCAACTCAATTTTGTACACATGTACCATGTTACATAGGAGTGTGCAGTTTTTTGTTTTAAACTTCAGAGAGAATAATTTTCTTTTTATCAAAGTATAAAATGATTGTTTTTTCTCATTGTATGATAGTATCATAAATGTTCATGTATTATAGAGTAAAATCTTTTTTTTTTAAATAATATTGATTGTTGCAGTAATAAATAATCAGGAATCATCAAATGTATTTATTATAAGCACATACATTGTATGTACAAATGAGAATTTTATGTCTTTCAGCATGCATCCTCAACACTTTGTAAACCGATCATTTACCCTGCCAACTCTAGAGAAAAAATTTTTGAGATGTTCAGCTCGAGTCTGTGTGTCAGATCTAAAACAGCATTTACATGAACGCCTAGATTTTCCATCTCAGCTAAATGTAAGCTACACCATACAAACATTTGTATACAGCATTTAAGTAAGATTTTATTTGTTAATACACATGTATATTGTTATATTGTAAGCATATGCATGTATATCTTCATTGTTAAAAACCCATGGCTGTTAATGCCACTTGATGCAAAGTGACTGGGTTTCTACCAATGTTGTTTTATGTAACATTGAAATTTCATATAGTGTAATTCTGTGCAAGAAGTTTTAAAAACATCTTTCATTAATACAATGTAAATTTTCAATTTTAGCTGAAAATTTCACATTCAGTATTTACCACTGTCATCAGTGTCTTTTACAGATATTTTTCTTTTGTTGTTAACAGTTGTTATTGATGTGTGGAGCAGAGGAACTGACAGATGAAATGTCACTAAAACAAGTTTACCTCATGAACTGGAGTCCAAGGGTGAGTAACAGACATGACAAATATTTTGATTGCTCTATGTGGTGAATTCCTGCATATAACAAAGGCATATCTTGTCACCAAATAGTGCTACAGAATTTAATTTTTCAATTAAAATTGTTGGTATATAATTTGTTAACTAAATATAAGGAATCCTGAGTATTTTTTTTTAACTAAATCACTATACAGTGTATATAAAAAGGAATCAACTTTATGTTTCTGTATTTTGTATGGTCACATTTCAGTACTACTGATAAATTGTTCATTTAAGCAGGAATTTAAAGCCCATGAATAATGTTAATCTCTTACTTTTAACTAAAGCTGCTTTAGAAAAAAAGGCTTTATTATCATTACAATTAAAACATTTTTAGCTTGTATTTACATTTATGTATCTTGTATTCCTCTTCTGAAATGACAGAAAAAAATAAGTGCATTCACATGATCATGAATATATACTTCTATATATTTTTAGCTCACCTAAGCCGAAGGCTCAAGTGAGCTTTTCTGATCACATTTTGTCTGTAGTCCGTCTGTCCGTCTGTCTGTCTGTCCGTCTGTAAACTTTTCACATTTTCGACTTCTTCTCAAGAAACACTTGGCCAATTTCAACCAAACTTGCCACAAAGTATCCTTGGGTAAAGGGGATTCAAGTTTGTTCAAATGAAGGGCCACGCCTTCTTCCAAGGGGAGATAATTAAGAATTCGTGAAAAATTAATGGCATCATTAAAAAATCTTCTTCTCAAGAACCACTGTGCTTGAAAACATGAAACTTATGTGGAAGCATCCTCAGGTAGTGTAGATTCAAGTTTGTTCATATCATGACCCCCGGGGGTCGGGTGGGGCCACAATGGGCGATCAAAGTTTTACATAGGAAATATACAGGAAA